TCGATTCGGTTAAGCCCACCTCCATAGCAGCCCTAAGTAATTTGCTTGTACGCCTATAAGTAGAATTTCGCTTCTGTTACAAGCAGACTTGTCAGCGCCTATCGTATGGCACTCGCATGTGAGTAGGCTCTTCTTGTGCGCCGCCAGCTCTCTGTGGCTCCCATGTCAAATCGTAAATTGAGTGCTCAACAACGTGCTGTCAAGCAGTCGAGTTTATGCTCATAAGCACACACATACACGCACACTCACGACACATCCACTGACGTTTACAAGCTACGCTCTGCTGTTGTCAGTTGCATTTCGTGCATAAAATGCCGATCATATTTCAAAGACGCAATTGCAACGCTGTATATGTATGTACTTCCTCATATTGGCGCTACTATTGTTATCTCGTTCACTCGCTCGTTCGTTTGCTCGTTCGCTCGCTCTCTTGCTGTAGCTATTTTACTTGATAGATATTCGTATTTAGATTGCGAGGGAGTTGCATAAGTGTCTCAGTTGATTGCCATCATCCGGATGTGTCCACTTGAGTTTTGTTGCTGTTGCTGTTGCTGTTTTGTTTGTTTCAGCACATTAGTACGCTAATCAGATGTGACACAACATTTAAGTGGCTGTAAATGTTTTATTTTTTTTTCTTCAAAATTTTCAAAAGCGAAGTTTTTAAATGGCTCCGCGGAGAGCAGAGAGACTTTAAGTCAGGGTATCATTTCTGTTGTTGATGAACGATCAAGCAGGCATTTAATAAGTTGTTTGGGAGATGAAGCTGGTGTTCTTGGGAATCATTATGCCAGTTAGGTTAGGCTTATGGTCGCCTGATGCGGCTTACATAGACCCCTTAGTCCTATGTAGTGCCAGACGGAGATCCGTTTTACTGCGAACTTAAGTAGTCGGCGTGTAGGACGTCAACGCCAAGGCTCAAGAGAGCCTTCATATCTGGGTTTGAAGCGTCCTCTAGTCATTTGAACTGCAGAGCTCCAAGATATTTTAGACGAGTGCTGGCTAACGCCGGACAGAAACAGAAGGATGTTCTAATGTCTCATTCACGTCTTCCTCTCTGCATTTTATACATGCGTAACTACTACTAATGGCCATTCTGCTTGCATGAAAAGTCAGTACGTTGTGACCTACCCTTAGGCCAACAGCTGTCCTGCAGTCCGTGACCGTGTGAGAAAAGGATGTTTTTTTTGCTGCTATTACAGATGATCTTGGTGGCTTTTCATGTCAGTAATGCGTTCTCACTCATTCTAATCCGGTCTCCAACTCCTTCGGAAATTTTAATATTGATAGTTTTAGCTACTTTTGTGTTTCGCTCCTAAGACGGAGGGAGCAGCAATATCAAAAATAATGACAGATTTTCACTACGGACTGTGAAGGTAATGGAAAAGTAAAGTCCTCTCTCGACGAACGAAGACCAAAGCCTCTAAGTCACTCATCATTGCCGTCCCAGCATATGTCGCAGAGGCCTGGATGATGTCGAAATCTGATGAGTTGACACTGGGAGTCTTCGAGAGAAAGGTTTTGCGTAAGATTTATGGTTCTTAACGAGTTGGCTAGGATGCATACAACAGAGGATGGAACGATGAGCGGTGCGATAAATTCAGCGAAAGGAGAGACGGCTGCTATGCTGACTGTGTCAAGTCGTCCAAATGGATGAAACCATTCCAGCTTTGAAAGTATTCGATGCAGTAACTGCGGGTGGGTGCAGAGCAAGACGAAAATCTCTACTGCGTTAGAAGGTGCAGGTGGAGTGCAATCTGGTTTTGCTTGGTATTTCAAACTGGTGCAAAACAGCGAAGAGAGGGAATGAATGCCGCGCCAGTGCTGGTTCGGCTATAATTGCATAAGCGGTGCCCACGACAATGAAGAAGAAGAAGCATTGGAAGTAAGTATATGTATGTATGTATATATTCATAACCTTATTAACACATCTTCATTAAATAGAATGCCATAAATTTTGTCCAAAAATGTGTTTGTAGTCGGAGAAAAGTGTTGTAAATTTGACAGCTGTCGCACGTCTCAAAGGACTACTTTAGATATCGATAACAAATATACTAATATTATTCTACACACAACCGTATTTATAGGCTTATTTGCAAGTATGACTTGGGAAATCATGCTTTTGGGAATACGACTTACGGAAGCAGCGAGATTTAATTTCAAGCCTACTCACACCGTTAAATACTCGTACATCCTGCCTAAGGACAAATGGAGTGAAGGAAATCATGCTATTTTTAGCTGCAGAAAGATCGGTCATTACAAACTTCAATTTAGAAATATTTATAAACATATATATATCTATATCAGAGACATATATACACACATATGCCTTATAAGCAACCAACGGTTGACTTCTTAGAAATATTTTATCCAAAGCGATCGCAGCAATTAATGAGGGATCATGACAACGTCGCGGCGATTGTCTTTCCCCGTGTGGATGTGGTGACGGAAATTTGTTTAACAAATTAAATTTTGCGTAACGAAAAACGTCATATTACACAGTGTGAGTAAAAGGCACGATATATACATACATACACAAGTACTCCTGTGTGTATGTATGTGGAAAAAAAAAAACTAACTCCGTCTGTTTACAATGAAAAATAATTTAGCGTTACGGGAAAAGCGGAAAATACGAAATTATGAATATCTACTAAGGGGGGACAAATAATATGGCTACATATATATAAATCGGCATATGTGTGCGTGTATGTGTTGCCGAGTTGAGCCACCAGCGACAGTGGCAATAAATATAGCGCAATCGTTAAAACATCTCACGCTCCGGTGTGTGCCAAGAAGGATTAAGTTGAGTGACAACTGCCAGTGGAGCAAAGCGATTTTTTGAAAAATGTCCAATAAATAATGCATTTCCATCGGCCATAAAATCCACATACACATACGTGTACATATACAATCTCTTTTATTACGGTGTATTTTTTTTTTTTGATATCCTGTGTAATTGGCCTTCTAATGCACGTACATACACACACATACACTGGTATATATGACCGCAATTTAGTTGCTTAATGTTGTAATTAACATTTATGCATATACTTACATACGTTTATTTTGAACACGTTTGCACAAAAATATTTTGATCATAAAAATTATTTTTAAATTTATTTAATAATTTTGGCCTTAATATTTGTTGTGGATTCTTGAGTTGTCAGCTTATCGAATATGCATACATATATATGTACATAAAAACATATGTTCTATTATGTATATATGTATTTATGCAAATAATTGCATTTGCATTAAAATTTTGTAGGAATCACATTCCGTCGATTTGATGAAAATTTTTTTGTTTATTGAGAAAATAAATTAATAATTTCAAGATTAATTCGCCTTCATTCGTTAAATTAATAAAAATAATATATAATATTATATCCATGATATCAGAATTAATTTATTAAAAAAACTTAAAATATTTTGAATCAGGAAAATTTCCAACAGTTTCTAGTGTGGTGAAAAGCTTCAACTTAACCTTCTTCTTCTTCTTTATTGGCGGTGGCACCGCTTACGCGATTATAGCCGAATCAATATTAGCGCGTCATGCCTCTCTTCTTGCCGCTGTCCAGCGCCAGTTGGAAATATACCAAGTGAAACCAGATCAGTCTCCACCTGATCATTCCAGCGAAGTGAACCTCTTCCTCTTCCTCTACTTCCACCAGTGGGTACTGCATCGAACACCTTCAAAGCTGGAGTCCTTTCATCCATTCGGACGACATAATTTGGCCAGCGTATAGCTAGTACAGCTCATCGTTCCAAAGTCTCCAGTATTCGCCGTTGCCAATGCGCAAAGGACCATAAATAGTTTGCAAAACTTTTATCTCGAAGACTCCTAGAGCCGACTCATCAGATGTTGACATCGTCCACGCTTCTGCGCCATATAGTAGAACAGGAGAGAAGAGGGACTTGCAGAGCTTAGTTTTCGTTCTTCGGGAGAGGACTTTACTTTTGAATCGCTTCCTTAGTCCAAAGTAGCACCTGTTGGTAAGTGTAATTCTGCGTTGGATTTCAAAGATCACGCTATTATACGTGATAATATTGGCCCCTTGATAGGCGAAATTATCTACGACCTCGTAGTTATGACTGTCAACAGTGACGTGAGAGCTGAGTCGCGTATGCGATGGATGTTTGTTTGATGACAGGAGATATTTCGTCTTGCTCTCATTCACTACCAGATCCATTCGCTTTGCTTCTTTACCAAGTCTGGAGAAAGCGCCAGCAGCTGTACACTCTTATAGAAGATTGTACCGTCTCTATTCAGCTCGGCGGCTCGTATTATTTTCTCCAGCATCAAATTCAAGAAATAGCAGGATTAATAGATACCTTGTCTATAATCTCGTTGCCTTCCTGATCCTGATGGAGCTTTTAGTGCTGCTTAAGGTCAGTTTACACAGCTCCTTTTCGTGCTGTCGGAGGCTGCTTTAAAATCGGCGAAGAGGAGGTGGATGTCGATGATCCTCTTTTCACGGCTATTTTCCAAGAATTGGCTCATGGTGATATCTGGTCATTGGGTGACTTACCAGGTCTGAAGCCACATTGATAACGTCCAATCAGTTTGTTGACGTTGGGTTTCAATCTGTCACACAAAACGTTCGACAGGACCTTATACGCGATGTTGAGAAGGCTTATTCCATGGTAGTTGACGCAGACTGTGGAATCGTCTTTTTTGTGGATTTGGCAGAGCATCCTTAAGTTCCAATGCTTTCATCCGACCATATTCTGCAAAGCAGCTGAAGTATGCACTTGATCAGTTCTTCACTGCGCTATTTGAATAGCTCGGCCGGTCACCCAAAGCAGGCTAGATTGCTCATTCTATAAATAGTATAGCGAGCCGCTTACTTAAAGATCAGCACTTGCCGTGAACAAACAATACCGATTATACCGATTAGCTCCTATAAAGTTTCCTCTCTTTTAAACCTAACATTAGGTTCAAGATGGATTAGTTACTTTCTATCATCAAACGAACTCTCAACACTTTTACGTCTTGAATTCCACACAGTTTTTGGCAGTTTTCACTGTATTCGTTGCATTAACAAACTGATGGAAAGAGAGGCAGAGCCAAACCTTTACTCTGTTGGAAAGATTAGGCGGAGAGAGAGTCCTGACTTTACTTGCTGTTTCTAATTGGCGGCGCCTGCGCTAATAAAGCAGAAGGAAAATAACTCTATTTAAATAATTCAAAATAATGGAAATTTATTTACAACAACATTTCGATCACAATCGCTCAGCATACCTAAATATACATAATTATGTATAAAGAATTGTATGCCAGGAATTGGCTGGTATACTGATTAATACCTCACCGCGATCCTTATCATTCAGTAGTACATCGACGGGATTATTTTCGCTGCAAGAAAATATAAATATATAAATAATAATAAAATATAAAGAAGTGAGATGAAATAAAATAAAATTAAATTAAAAAAAAAGAAAATAAAATGAAATAACAACAATTTAAATAAAATAAAAAAATAAAAAAATAATATATAAATAGTATAATAATATAAAATAAAACAAATTTAAAGGAAAAAAATTTAATAATATAAAAGAAAATAATAGCCACGAATTAAAATAAAAACATAGAAAATAAATAAATAAATAAACAAAATAAAATTGAAATTAAATAAAATAAAGCAAAAAATAAAACAAAATAATATAAATAATAATGTAAGAAAAAAAATTTTAAATATAATGATAAAAAAATTAAATAAAGAGAAATAATATAAAATAAAAGACACGAACTAAAATAAAAGAAAATTAGAAAAAACAAATAAAAAAATAAATTAAATTAAAACAAAATTAAACAAAATAAATTAAAGGAAACAAAAGAAAATAATATAAAATAAAATTATAGAAAAGAAAAAAATAAGCAAGAAAACAAAATAGAAAATGGAATAAAATAATTAAAATAAACATAAAATAAAAAAATATTAAAATAAATTAAAAAAAAACTAAAGAAAAGAAAAGAACAAGTAGATTAAAACCAAAAAAAATTAATAAAAATATATAAAATAAAATGGTACAAATAAAAATATTGTATAAATGTAATATGTAATAAAGGAAATAAAAGAAAAAAATTAAAAGAATCTATTATCATTTAAATTAAAATAAAATTATATAAAATGAAAAAATTAAATAAAATAAAAAAACTTAATATAATATTAAATAAAAGTAAAGAATTAAAATAAAAAATAAATGAATATATTTAAAAAAATGAAAATAAAATTAAATTAATTAAAGGAAACAAAAGAAAAAATTTAAAAAATAAAAAATACACAAAATTATTTATTATATTATTATTATTTTTTTATTGAAAAAATATTAATAGGATATAAAATAATGCGGACCACAATGCCAAATGCAATGAATTTAAATTCAGCTTTCCTAAACTTTAATTTACATATAAATTTTTCACTTTAAAAGCTATACACATACATATAATAAAAAAAATTTTAAATAAAAGCAAAAGATTTAAAAGTTATGTACTAAAAAAAAAATTAAATGAATAAAACTTAAAAAATTAAATTATAATTAATTAATTCAAAAAGAAAATTAAGGGATACAAAAAAATATAATAAAACGAAAAAATAAATAAAATTATATTAAAGAAAATAAAAGTAAATAAAACGAATTAAAATAAAAAATAAATAAATATTGTATATAAAACTAAAATTCAATTAAATCAAATAACTTAAACCAACCAAAAAAAAAAGTAAAATAAATAAGACAAAAAGATAAAATTAAAAGCAAAATTTATATTAATGAAAATAAAAATAAAAAATAAATGAAATTAAAAATCTGAAATAATATAAAACAAAATACATTTTAGTCAAAGGAATTAAAAAAGATTAAAATAAATAATCCAAATAATTAATTGAAATTCAATTAAATATAATATTTAAAGTGAAGGAAAAAAGAAAAAAATAAACAAAAATAAAATAAAAGTTTGAACAAAATGAATTAACAAAAAAATATTTTTTTTTTTATAAAAGGAAGAGAAATAAAATGATACGGAAAATAACTGCAAAATGCAATGAATTAAAATACAGTTTTCCTAAACTTTAATTTACACATAAATTTTTCACTTTAAAAGCTATACACATACATATAATAAAATGAAAATATAAAAATAATATGAAATAGAATGAAACAAATTTAATAAAAATAAAAATTATAATTGAAAAAAAGTTAAACAAAATATTAAATAAATGCTTGTAGAAAATATACATATATATTTATAAATTTTGCTATTCGAAACTATTTAAATAGATATTCTTACAATATATTTATGTGCATGTACGAGTATATATTATATGTATGTATCTTAGAAAATTTTCATTCAATATTAACAGGGTGTACTTTCATATTAAACATACATACATACATACACTGTTACGTACAAAACCATTAACATACATATATACAAATATATGTTTATAATAGAGACATGAATAAATTCGAAATCATGGTCTGTCCGTTGAATATTTGCAGCGCAGATGCAGACCGTAAGTGACAATGTACGCACCTCGGCGGCATGCGTCTAATAAAGTAATAAATACGCTCCCAGGGCGAAGTGATCGCGAAGAAACACTCGAATGCTTTCACCGTTTAATAGCCGAAAATAATGCCGCACTTTTAGGAAAAAGTACTTATAATTGAAAACATGTCGCACATCACTTAATGACTGCACAAGTGGGCTAAGTGCGTGCATATATATGTATGTACATACATACATGTAAGTGGAAGTGTAGTGCAGTGGCAACAACGGAATATAAATATTGCTGCTTTGGAGTATCTTAATTGAGTTCTAATAAACTCGTTATATTTGATTTTTTTTTTTTGATTCTTTAAAGTAAAGCGTGTCAGACAGCAGCGGAGTGAGGGTGGCACTCATATATATATAAGTACTACATATGTTCATATACTCGTCTATATAAACACCTACCTATTAAGTAGCACCACTGCAATGCGCCCATCCGGCCTCTTGAAAGCCACCGTCTCCACGGATAAACTCAACAATTGCGCCTCAATACGCACCGAACCCTCTGGCACGAACTTCGAAAAGTGGCCCATTGCGTAAAAACTTGGTTGTTTGTAGATTTCAGCGCGATCTATTGGTGAAATTAACAAGAAGTTATATTGAAAATTACAATATTTCTATACAAGAGAGAGTAGACACTTACTTGTCGCATTCACAATAACTGGCGAATCTACAGTGTTATTAACATAGCTTGGTCCACCCTGCTCATCCAATATAATATTCCAATCGATCCAACCGTTGTAGGAATGTTTCAGATTATGTAAAAAATCAACAGCATATTGTTCGCCACGCTCCCACGAGCCCAATTCAGGGCCGTGAGTTTGCCACGGCTTGTCTCCTATGCAGGATTCCGTATTTAAAAGAAGTTTATCGGGCATTTGTTTCAGCGTCAGATCCATTAGACTGGGCGCAAATACTTCATCCCAATACCAGTGCACGGCGAAACCGTCGAGATAATTGAGAACGCCGGGTCGAGTGCTATTCATCTTGATGGCAGAAAAAAGTGGTCTTTAATAAATTTTATAAATAATATAGTTTAATAATATTATTTAATTAACTAAAATACATATAATCGACACCTCCACATGCCGAGTGGTTAGTATTGCCTGCTAACACTCGCAGGCTTCGTCCAACCTCAAAAATTTTAGAATAGAAATTTTTCTAATTGAAGTCGCCACTCGGCAGGGAATGCCCAGCCCACCTCACAAAAATCCAACGCCCCTTCGGAAGCGGTTTAGAATAAACTGTAGTCCTTTTTGTTTCGATTTGTGAAGCCGGAGCTCGACAGAAAACCACTTCAGCGGTGTGAATTCAAAACAATTTTGTGCTGAAACTCACCCTATTAAACCACGTCGGAAATGAAAATCGTTGATCATCATTGCCGAATATCAGCACATCTTTATATTTGGAATTCCGTATTGTCGGACCGAGGAAGTCGTTCAACCAAATAGCCTATAAAATAAATTTTGCCACATATTCATATATACGTGTATATACACTTTCATTTACATAGTTTTCAGCATAAAGACATACCTGATTCTTTGGTATCCATCCAAGACTCATGAAATGAACGAAGAAGAAGAAAGCGATTCCGTTAAGCGGCTCATTACCAGTTGATATGGCCCAAATCGGCATATTTTTAGCATCCATTAACTCTATAAATCTGTGAACGAGTGTAGATAAATAAGGGAGTATGTAAGTTTATGGTAAAAAATAAAAATAATATTTCACTGCATAAGCACATGGATACATTGTTGGTGTGAGTCATTGATTCTGTTTGCGAAGGTTTTGCGGAGAAATTTCAGCTAAAAAAAAATATTTATTTGGTACAAAAATAATTTTCGGGATTATTTATTATTTTTATTATTATTTTTACAGCATTTTCTGTTTTTTTTGGGGGTTTGACTGCACTGATAAATCCCAACTTAAAGCAATCCTTCTCCAGTGTTCCTTTACGGTACATTGCTTTAGACAACATTTGAAAGTGGTGAGAGATCTGAGGCAGTTGCTGGTGACGATGGTCGCGAGTCAGCTCATTCCCCCTTCCCATTGCCTTCTGCAGCCATGTGACCTGGAACCCAAGTGATACTGTCTCTATCTTCTTAAGCATTATTGTTGTGTTGCCAGTTCACTCTCTACCGGCAATGAAATAGATTTTCCCATTAAAGTGGCTACCCATTTGACAGCCTAAGTAAAGCCCAAAAACTACGCTTGGAAGACCGAGTTGTAGTCAATGAGTGTGAAGCTACCTTGGTTATTTGGCTGGTCATAGAAGAGCTCTACTCCTGTGTCCATTCTTTTATGATTATATGGAAGGAGTAGGTGGCATTTGCCCGGTGACATCAAGCATTCGTTCCTCGATTACATTTTACGTTTAGCTCTACTTCATACTTAGATGCCCCCATAAATAAATATATAAAAGGCAGCCGCCTTCCTTCTATTCTTCACTGCAGCTATGGAAGGAGTAGGTGACATCATGTATCCATTCCTCGGTTCCTCGGTAACAGTTTACGTTCAGCCGGTCCCATTTTATACATCCCTTGCACTTTAACTTCCAGGGTCTTTGTTGAGGAAGTCCATACCGCATTTGCTATATCAAGCAAGCAAGTATGTTGCACCTATTTCAGGGGTCTCATGCGACATTTCTTCTTTAGCCACCAATACAAGTCATCCATTTGTATGGGTCTCACCTCAAATTATTCAGGGCGGAAGTCTCAGTGCAAATTATACTGATTGGCTACAATAACATAGTAAGATTTAAGGTTTCATAGGCTGCATCAAATAGAACTATGCATATTCCAATGCGAGAGCGTACAGCAGAAATATAACACCATAATCAACGATGACTCTAAGGGACGCTCTCTTTTTCTCTCTCTCTCTCTCATCCAACCATATTCTTCGAAGAATATATTTTCCATAATTTTCATGCGAAACGTTGGGAAATAAAAAGTGCTGTCTCCTTTTTACTCTCCGCTCTTTTCCACTCACTGTTCTCGGTACTCAGCTATAGCTATTCGGGAAGTAAGTTCAGAGAGCAAATATATCTGAAACGATGTCTTTCACAACGTAAAATGTAAACTGGTCTACGTTTCGGTTCAATTTTGAAGGTCTGCCCGTGAAAACTTGATTTTCCGACTGTTTTTATACTTCGTTTTTAATGTTAAAAAGACAGCTTAAAATCGGATTGTTCGCTTAAGAGAGCGTCGAGTACTCGGGCAAGCAAAACATCTGCCTATTAATAGAAATAACAGATATATCGCTCTCTGTCAGTTACGCCGATTGTTAAGCGTTTTAATCTGAGTACTCAACGTAGACGTGAGAATTGAAAATGAAAATAACTTTTCTAAGGACGGTCCTCAATCCATGTCATATAGCGGGAAACAGAAACCTGGATCTCACTTTGTAAGATCAGACTGATTTTGGGGTAACCGGACTAGTTATGAGCGGCCGCCTATCAGATTAATCTCGACAGCACGTACCGGTTGTAAGGGTCTACGTCCCATTTTTTGCTCAGATTGAGGCAAAATCGACGAGCGCATAAAGTGTAAAAATCAAACCGAACTCATATTATTTTATGAAAGATCTGGGCACCAAAGTGCACAATGTGAAGGAGGCCAAGCTGATTTCTATCCTTCCTAATAAATAGTGCGGAAAGGACCAGCGACGATTGTATCAAACATATAATTCGGACAACACGCATACGTTGAAAGTAATTTGGTTGATAATGGTCTACATGAAGTAGTTGAAATAATTAAAAATTATATTCAATACACCCTTGCGGCAGAGGGTGCTTTTAACAACACAAACACTCCGGCATTACTTTCGTCAGTTAACTCTTTTAATATCAGCCTGGTTGAGCCCTATTTTGAGCTATAGACGGACTGTTTATGAGGAAGAAGGTTTTAAAATTATTCACAAAATCCTATGTGGCAGTCCAGAAGGTGCCATTTTTTCTCAGCTTTTGGGAATCACTGTAATAAAGCAGCTACTCGAACTGCTTGCAGGAGAAAACTTAAAGTTAGTTAAGTGTGCGAATGATCTTGTCATCGTTTCTTTTGGGTAAACATCACAACCGACTACTACAGGCAATAGAGAGATCACTTGAAGTGGCTGAGAAACAGAGACTATCAGTAAACAGGCAAAAATGTGAGGTTTGTCTCTTTACGAAAAGGACAAGAGTTCACCAATTTAAGACATTCACATTTTGATATCCTCCAAATCGGTCAAGCATCCCGGTGCATTTCTTGATAAAAATAACTCAGCTTGAAGAAACATATTCTAAACGCTCTAAGTTTGGAACACCTGCAGAAGGCCTTAAACAAGTGCCGTAAGTTGAATTCAGTCTTATGGACCACTTCAATTGAGGATGACCAAAGAAGAAGTGAGGCTAAACGCCTGAAATAGTAGATGCAACGTACCTCTCTACTTGGTATAGGAGATGCCATGAGGACAACAAAGATCTAGGAAGTCTCGCTGACAACAGCTTACTCAACATGCATACAAGTGATGTATGAAGCAATCCAAATAGCTAGCCGTTCACTAATTTTGAAAGATAAGATAGGATACAGAAAATTATATCAGGACTCGGGCTAAATGCAACCGCAAACCTTTTGCCGGGCAAATGTGATCTACTCGGAAGGCGAGACATTCCAAGCAGACATTTTGGACATCACTAGAGATTTAATGAGAATATCTATAACGTCCTTGGTAGACAGGCAAGCGGCAATTAAGGCATTTAAGTGTGCTAACGCAAAGTGCAAATACTGTGGAACACTCATAGAGACTTTTGTGGGAAAATCCAGTGAGTACTTATTGTGTACCAGGAGCACCATGAAGAGTATTCATTACATGATAAAAAACATACTCATAAATTTCGGTCAGCCGTTCGGAGGCGGCTTAGTATAGGAAGGACCTGCATCCAATTGTTGGAAGAAACATAAAGACGTACCCCACAGACTGAGGGCGGAGTTCAGATGAAAATCGTTTCGGCGGTTATAAAGGGCCAATAAAAATATTTAATATTTATTGACGCACCTAATAACACTGTTAGATTAATTCAACTCACCTTAAGTGATAATCGGCCCAAGCCTGATAATATTCCGTCTTCAGCACACCAAAACCAGACCATACACCATTCGATTTCATCCACGGCGGTGGACTCCAAGCAGCCGCCATTATCTTTAGATCATCCAAGTTGGATACCGATTTCAGACGTTTTAGATGCGCAACTTTCAATTCATCGTGTGGATCTAACTTAGTAAAATTTGAAAGCTTCGGATCGTCGCGTGGCTCTTCATTATACGCCCACGGTGCCATGTCGAAATCACAGCCGCCAATTGGTGTACGCAAAAGATTGAAACCGAGGCCATCCTTATGATAATATGACCTTCAAAGGTAAATGAATTGGATTACAGTGACTTTAACGAAGAAAATCGGCTTGTTTAGTTCACTAAAGCATACTTGAAAATATGATCCTGCAACTGCTGATCTAAAAGTTCCAATAAATAGGAAACAGTGCCAGTGACGGCACCACCAAAACCAGTAATTTTTTGATATTCCACCGAACGGTCTACCTGCAACTCGAGGGGTCCATTCGAGGTAAGTCTGGAAGTTAGAACTGAGATGTTGAGGTGCAATGAGTAATCAATGAAAATCACACAAATTTCTGTATGTAAAAGTAGAAACAAACTTTTAGTTGTATTGAGCAAAAGCTGTGCGAATGTTTGCCCACTATCGACAATCACCGCTGCATTTTTAAACTCTTCTTCTTCTTCAGCTGAACTGCCCAACGGATTTGATTTGGTTATAGTTGAATTTTCGCCAAAACGTAAATTGCTCACAGCAAAGCGGAGACCTTCCTGTGCCGGGCGTTTGATTGTTGTGTAAGCGGAATCAGTAAGGGCGTTGTGTATGTGTGTGTGTGTGCATGAGAAAGTGGGTGAGAGAGAGAAAGAGAGAGAGAGATAGAGTTGGAAAAAGAAAGCGGTTGTGTAAAATTTTGTATTGTACGAGGGCGGCCTTATATATTTCGGAATTCGGTTTGTTGTTTTACAAAATATTCTCCATTAAGATCTGTACCGCTTTGCAAGCGTGCATCTATCGCCTCTTCAGATGTTGTAAAACGTCGACCCCCTCAGTTTGGGAATAAAAAAAGTCGTTTGGTGCGAAGTCCGAGCCATACGGTGGATGACTCTTCAAAGGATGTTTCAGTAGCTCATAACTGTAGTTGTTTTTGTCGAAGTGTGAGAGCTCGCATTGTCGTGGTGTAGAGTAATCCGTCTTTGGTGGCTGGGTTTTCTTGTATTTTTAAAAGACAAAAAAAAAAGTGGTTATGTACCACTCAGAATTTACGGTTCTACGTTGTTGAAGTGGTGCGGAGGCGATACGTCCAGTTTTTCCAAAAAGAAAACCATTTGCTTGTAAGTGCTTCGTGTGTGTGGATTTGCCTCATCCTTAACCATAGAAACGACTAGGCTTCGGGCTCATACGCATTTCACGATGTCATAAACGTGTTTGGATGCATCGCTATCGTGTCCTGGTCCTTGACGGAGTAAAAAAAAAAAAAGAAGTACGTCGAAAGAAGTTTCTAAAGAGATGTCATCGATTCTTCGGGACTCCGTCCCTTCTTACGCGATATTGAAAAAATGGGTTCGGCTATTTTACCAAGGAATGGAGACCTGAAGATGGCGCACAGTGACGGTCGTGACCGAAGAAAATATTCAGAATGTCAAAAAATTAGTACTGTTTGTTTGAAAAATTAAATTGTGGCTGACAGATATCAGAGGAACGACGATTGGAGAGTTGTATGTAAAGATTTTTTGGGCTTGTGCCAAGAAGATTTGGATAAAATTTGCAACCACATTGTAACAGTTGATGAAACTTGGATACGTCAGTATGATACCAACTCCAAACAAGAGTCGATGCAATTGATATAAATAAGGGGGTAAAGGCTACCAAAAATATTAAAAGTGGGAAGTTCCGAGTAGAAGATTATGGCTACCATTTTCTGGGTTAGCGAGAGAATATTATTAATTGATTACTTGCCAAAGGGAACTGCGAAAAACGGCCCATGCCTTAAAGTTACCCTACAGTTTACAGAATCTGGCACCCAGTGACTTTTTCTTTTTTTTTCAAATTTAAAAAGGAGTTATGGGAACGATGATTTTCAGACGACAGTGAGATACAGAGGGTGTGTGAGGGTGACTATATTTAAAAAAAAAATAAAAGAAACATAACACTAAACATTGTTTCATTAAGTACTTTACGTTGCCTAGGCTCACATCGGGAACACTTTTTCTTCCGTAAACTGAGCTTGACATTAATCTATTCGAATAAAATCGCACTTATGGTTCGAGTTGCTTAATATTTGGTATATATGTATGTATATAGATAGCACTTTTCCTTACGTCAATATATGGAGAACAATTCTTTCCGAGAAATGGGTCGAGCTGTTTCAAAAAATCGGGATTTTGGTTCGAATAAACCTAACAAAAAATCTTACAAAACCATACATAAATTCCATGCCGACAAAGTCGCGGGCGAATTCTATGTCTTAATAAAATGCAGGCATTTAAATTTCTTAATTTTTTCGAAATATATTTTTTTTTTAATTTTTTTTTTACGACTTTGCATATTTTTCAATGCAAAAAAGATGGATGCTAACAGACGAAGCACGAAAAAAGACGATGTAGATTTTTTTTTACCTCCTATTTTTCGGGTAACAAAATTTACAGGGTGACAGTGAACTCAGAATACGAAATAGTAAAAAAAAATTTACTGAATGGTAAATTTTAATATCAAAGCAAATTTTGTTACCTCGACAGGCCTGTCTGTTAATGTCAGATCGCTAAGAAGCCTACTGTGAAGAGATACTGAAACTACATACTTTTAAATTAATGTATGTATGTATGCATGTGTACAACAGCAGACATATAAAAGGCAACCCTCGTATTTAATTTCACATAAACAATGTTACCTTGCTTGAGGAGACTACGACAACCTCATTATCATTTGGCTGTGGATTCTCCAAATAATCGCAATGCGTTGCAGTGCAGACACACACCAAACCGTATTTTGTACGACGCGGCAAGCACTCGGAGCTACCTGCGTTGGCTTGGATAAAAGAAAAAAAAATATTTTTGAATGTTTGCATTGCTTTGCAGTATGTTTTATTTATTACTTTTGAATAGGAAATGTAAATTTGTATATTTTTTTAATTATTTATATTTAATTTTTGTTTAATCATATTTTTTATTTATATTTTTTAAATTTTTTTATAAATTTATTTTACTTTTTCTTATTATTAATCTTATATACAAATATATTTTTTTTTTACTTTTTCACTATTTTTTTACTTTTTCTTACCATCAGAGATATAGCAAGAAAAACTTAAACAAAAGACGAGTAAAATTTTATAAAACATTTTAACATTTAAACCGCACTTTTTTAATTATTTACATACATATACATATATACTATGTTTGAGATACACAACGAGAAAAATATACGCCAAAATCGCAAAACCGCACGTCAATTGATAAGCATTGCCCGGATCGTCGTTCCACACTATTTAGCGGTTCAAAGCAAACTAACCTGCTGGTCACTTCGCGCTGCTCATTATTATGTTATATGCATACATATATATGTATGTTTGTGGTTACATATGTTTCCGACTTATTTACTGATTATTAATTTTTACATTTTTTTCGTTTTTCGTTTTGTTTTGTTTTACTTTCGCTTAGTTTTATTTATTTATTTATTTTGCTGATTTTTATTTTGATATCACTCTTCGTGCCCGTCGCTTGTTTGAGGCTCGTTGAATGAATGGAGCGTTCAATTCAATTCAATTCTAGCGAGTCAAACATTTCTAACGAGCAAATCGAATGTGAAGAACGAAATAATTACTCGTTCTAGTTTTTGGTTACTTTGGTGGAGATTCAAAAAATAAGCACGAAATGTTTTCAGAATCTATTGAAATTGATCCATAAGGCCTTAAAGCACGTAAAGTTTTCATATTTATACCCTTCACGTGAATGAAATGGTAAATTAAAATTGGTCCGCGGTATCTACGTAAATACCACAAGGGGAAGATAGAACCAACCAACCAACCACCGATCGGATCAAAACGCCGAACAGAGTTGATTCAACCTTGTTTCCTACGTGGTAGCGGTTCAAGAATTTTCCCGTGGTTTGGCATACCTATCGTAAGAGGCGAATAAAATCCAAAAGTTCCCACGATAGTCTGGAACAACCCGAATTTTTATTCGGTCAAGGACTGTCACTCCCGCAACATTCCACAAAAAATACTTTGGGGAATGTTTTGTAGATACAACAACAGCAACTACAGTCGTGACCCTACAGTTTGTGAGATACCAATTAAATCGGTGCGATCTCAAAAGACTGCACCACCTGGGAGTTGGAGACGATCTTGTAAGCGATTATCTATTTTATTGCGTGAAGAAAAGTGCAGCGGGAGGCCAATGAATGCTTGTGGCAGTTTATGGCGAACCGCCGACTGATAAATCATGCAGAGAATGTTTTCGACGCTTCAAAAGTGGCCTCCTGGCGGGAACTGACAGTTGTGGTTGTGATATACCATGAGCTGCTTATAAAACTACTGGGAAACACGAAAATAGAAGGCCGAACCCCATCTTTCGTAATCTGCATACCTTGCTCCTTCCGACCTCTGGTTGCAAAGCGATTCGGGAGCTCACCGGTTTGATTATTTTGAAGGAATCGAAGAATGGCTCAATGATTGGATCGAAGTACAGAGAGGATTTATTTTTTTAGAGATAGTATTCGAAATTTACGAGAGAAATGTGAAAAGGTGGTCGCTTCCGATTGGCAGACTATACAAAATTCCTACTCTTGCGTGCACGAAGCACACCTTGTAAGCATGGGCAAGCCTTTTGCAAGATGCAGTAACCAGACGCTTGGCTCAGGGCTAAAAAAGTGATCTCTTTTGTGGAGCCATACTAATATATATCTGTTTTAAGCGTTTAATAGAGTGATTTTGCAGCGTCTGTTCCACAGAGTTGCGGTTGCGACAGATGTCGGTCGTTTCCTTGCGATGTTGTGCGCTGTGTTTGGGACTCGCTACGTGGAATTTAGCTCCAATGAAAAAAAGAAAACAGACGCAATATTGCACGGTCGACCACAATGCGATTGGCGTTAAAAATACCGAGAGTTGAGGAGGGAAGGGACATGCATTTGTAGACAAAAAAAGAGGAAAGAGGAAGGGAACCTGAAAACTGATGCTCACAGTAAATTGAGTTTATGGAGGAAACATTTCTCTAGCCTTTTCAACTGCAGAGAAAGTGTGATACCCGGGCATGGCGAGCCGAAACTGCAATCATAGGACTATGACGAAACCCGAACAACGATTGCCAGCTTACGAATAACAAAGCAGCAGGAAATGATGGTTTACCGGTCGACCTAAGGTAGCGAAGAACTGCCTAGATGCATGCGTCAATATAGAATATGATCGATGAAAGTCTGATCGACAATTGGAACTTAAGTGTCTTCTACCCAAACCATAAAAAAGGTGATCCCACGTTTTTCTGCAATTGCCGTGGGATAATCCTCCTCAATATCGCTTATAAGAATATATATGTATATATTGAGTGTATTGTGGGAAAGAATAAGGCACCGCATCAACGATGTAGTTAGATCTGATTTAGTTCTGTTGAACTCACTATTTTTTACCAAATCTTGGAAAAGACCTCTGAAGAAAGATCGGCCCTCCCTCCCTACTTATATACATATATTGCGCTTTTTTAACCGCTGAATCGTTTTTCGGCCGAGCTACTTCCTATTTTTTTCTCACAAATGGAACGGCTGATGGTTTTTTATGAGGAGCCTTTATTACATGTCAAAAATACACTCGGAGAGGTTGAGATTCCCTGCTGAGGGGCGATCGCAATTAGGAAATTTGCTTCATTTTTTATTTAAATCTATTTTCTATAATTTTTGGATGTTGGTAAGCCAACGTACCGCTAATCGATCGCCCGGCAAGTACCTCTCCAAGCCATGCGGCGCTAAATAACGTTTCTGACAAGATGACAATATCCTCTGGAGTATACTACAGCCTACGATTCGATAACAACCCAAAGCTATTGAGTCTGGTGGTGAGCGGGAACATTACGAAGTATCTGCTGTCATCAAACCAGCAGTCAAAATCTTGACAAAACACAATCAGTACAATCTCAGTCTCGACATAGTTTGACGAATCAAGAGACAGTGGCGATGTTCTCAGAATGTACGAAACGGCAGAGGAACATGGCGTACTCTAAGCTATTGGCCGAGGGGAAGGATCGCACTTCACTTGGTGTTCCTGCTTGCAGCATTTCTCAACGCCACAACAAAGTCTCAATATCTTTAATTAAAAATTTATAATTCTGTTACTTTTTGTTTGTTTTGTAATTAGTTTTGAAGCACGTTCCAAATGCAAAAACACTACTGTCACGATGTTTGATGAAAATTTCATCTTGAAAGTTTGTACAACTTTGAAATAAGTGTGCAGATAAGTGAAATAGGCTAACGGGACGGGATGTATAATAAACAGTTTTTTTAGTTTTAATTAAATTCACTTTATTTTTATAACTCGTTGGAGAAATTTAGTTGTATAACACAGTATTGATGGATTTCGGCGGAACGCTGAAATTAATTTGGCCGCGCTTTGTATCCGAAATGGTAACATTAACGCCAGCGGAGCCACTAGAAGTGCAAGAGAATATAAGGTACGAGTGATATAATATTTTCATAAACAAATTCTCCAAAAAAAGATGAAGCTCAAACCTGTTGAAAGCGATAACCGCCAAGCTGCCATCCGGTCTCGCGAAGGCAACAGTATCCACATTGATATTTGTGCGTTCGGATAGAACACGTATCGAGCCCTCTGGTATGAACTTAGAGAAATGACCCATCACATAGAACATTGGCTGCTTGTACACTTCACTAAGAGCTACAAAAAATTTAATATATATATATGAAGAAGTTTAGAGAAATTTACACGCAGAAAAAATCAAATATTTTCTACTTGTCATATTGGCAATGGACGGCGCATCAACGAAATTTTCTACGTAATTCGGACCACCCTGTTCGTCCAATACAATGTTCCAATCGATCCAGCCATTGAAATCGTGCTGTAGATCTTGTAAAAAGGCACGTGCGAATTTTTCACCACGACTCCAATCGCCCAAAACTGGCGCTGCCTTCTGCCAAGGTTTATCACCAATGCACGATTCCGAGACGAGCATAATTTTATCGGGCATTTCTTTGCGTGCGATATCAATAAAAACCGGTTTGAAAATTTCATCCCAATACCAATGCACAGACAAACCACTGAGATAGTCAACCGAATCGGCGCGCACTGCTTTCATCTAGATTAAAGGAGAAATAGACGAAAGCTCATACATACGTAAGAGTGATGTGAAAGTATTATATTATGAAAGCTCACTTTCGCGTCGTTTGCCCACTACTTACCATTTTAAACCAAAATGCGAAAGTGAAACGCTGATCATCATTTCCGAATATAATCACATCCTTGTATTTACTGCGCATTGTAGGCCCCAGATGCTCAGATACCCAGATAGCCTAACGAAATGATTTTGCAAAAAAAAATTATCGAAAAAACCTTTCGCATTTTTTTCTTAACCCACCTGACTCTCTGGTAACCAACCCAAACTCATGAATTTTGCAAAAAACATAAATATTACACCGTTAGATGGCTCATTGCCCGTCGATATAGCCCAAATGGGTAAACCTTGCTTCTCCCACAACTCAATCCAGCGCACATGATAATCAGCCCAAGTCTGATAGTACTCCTCCTTCAGTCGGCTAACACCAGTCCACTTATTATTGGTCTTCATCCATGGTGGTGGACTCCAGGCAGCTGCTTTGATACGCAAATTTTCCACATTCGTTACCTCCTTCAAATGCTTAATTTGCTCTATTCGCTTCTTCTCGCTCGGGTCTAAATCTGTGAAATTGCTGAGGGCAGTATCATTTTCCGGTTCCTCATTATATGCCCAGGCTTTCAAATCGAAATCGCAACCACCAATGGAGGTGCGCATTAAATTAAAACCAATACCCTCTTGCGCATAGAAGGATCTAATTGTGTGATGGTCGCATTGCATTACAATTGATTGAGATATTAGTTAGCATTTTACATACTTATATATGTGATCCTGTAGTCCTTGCGGTAGTTTATCCAAAATGTAACTAACGGAGCCGGTGAAAGAACCGCCGAAGCCTGTAATATTCTGATACTGCTTCTCTCGGTCGACATTTATCGTAACCTTTCGAGTTCTTGCTAAAAAATGTGTGTATGTATGTTAATGTACATATGTTTTAATTTTTTATTAATTTACTACCTAAAAGAGTATAAAATAATACGTTAGAGGAACTGTGTCCTTTACCGCTAACCATGCATAATCTAAACAAAGCTATTGTTGAAGAAATCATAGAAATTCAGACGTGTTGTGAACGAGTATCCTACGTTGGCCATTGCGATCCAACCAAAGCTTTAAGCTCTTCTCTCACAATCATAGGTTTTCTCTCATTTTGATATTTTGATGGCAAGATAAGTTTTTAATCGGTCTGCTTAATGATGGAAATCTCTACTCTGTAAAAAGCTAGCATCTTGATACCGAAACTCAGAGCGTTCCAATATATTCGTAAAGCACATTCCAGTAATCGGCAGATTTGTATAACGCCACTGTTATTGGTTTACGGAAAGGTCGGAAAACCACCTGATAAGGATTGCCGTGCCGCACTGGAAAGAAAACAGGCTGCCTACCCACAGCTTTGCGATCGACCATTACACGCGCAGGCTGAGTTAGAGTTAGAGTTAGAGCTTGGGAAGCTGACCAACAAGAGTAATGTTTGAAGATACTACGAAAAGGAACAGTGATTTATAAAAGGTTTCAAGACCGGATCAAATTCTTATAGAGCCCATATGCCCAAATTATAGTGAATTTTTGAAGCGAGCGCACCGAATGCTCGAATAGATCGAAGTAAAGCAAGCGGGGCCGATGGATTAACAGATGAGCTACTTATATATATATGTAGTTGGGAAGAACTGACAAGTTGCGCTCAGCTCCTCAGCTCCTTTGTAAAATATGCTTGCACGGATGCCGTTGGTTAGAACCCAAGCCTGCTCTATTAATCGATTAACCGAGCTATCCCAATTATCGTGCGAAAAGGCTCCTCAATATCGAATATAAGGTCTAATCGAGCGTATATGGAAGATCAAGGTCACCACTTGCCAAATTCTGGACAATATCAGTTAGCAAAAGATCAAAACACATCTTACGATTGCTTCTACACTGTAATGTCAAAGTTTGTTAACCTCGAAAAACTTATACGACTATGCGAACTGACTCAAAGCAACACCAAAAGCTCTGTCAACATTGGGAAGGACAGCGCGACTCTCTGGGTTGCAAATCTAAACGTCACTGTACACACTTCGGAACTTCGTCTAACTAGGAACTTCCGCCTGGCAAATACAACGCAAAGGGGATCTTCAGTTTATACCAAACCGCCTCCGAACGGCTGATGGTTTTTTGAGCCTGAGCCTTCCGACTGTCAGTACGCAATTCTAACCACTCGGCTACCGTGGCCGCCGAAAATATTGACATATGTCAATAAATAAGGGGGCACCGTCCTGATGGGCGAAAAACACTCCAATGCTGTTAGCATTCTTTACAATACCCACTGATAGAAGCAAAGGAAAACGAAGATCTCCACTCCGTTGAAAGGATTAGTTGAAGAAATGGCTGCCTTCTCTCTGGGTCTCCAATTAGCCGCGAACAGCTCCAAAACTGCCGAATCAATTATTCAGAAATAGGTGGCAATCAATTCGAAATAAATGAAGAGCCGAAAATAGAAAAACCAAACTCATTTATAACCCGGCTCCAAACCCATATATATAGCTACTTTCTCGTTAAAATTCTCATTCATACTCACCTGTAGTCTTATTGTAGTCTAGAACGGTCGTGAATGACGTATCATTAACTTTACCGCTGGTAGTACCAAATCTTAAGCCAGCCTGAAACGGAAATATTTTATTAGAATACAATTATAATTTCTAGAAACATGTAGAGCGAGAGAGTGTAAAATGCATAGTTGAGTCATAAATTATAAATGGATAAAAAGCGTCGTGAATGCCCTTTCGTTTAATTTGATTATTAATCGTTTATTTCATATCCGAAGCCGCGCCAAAGCATCGAGGTGACCACGACAGAATTTATCCCAGAATACTCGTAAGTCGTACAAATGCAAACATTTTTCAAATCCTGCATAACCATTTTGGCATGACAAAGGTCAGCGCAAGATGAGAGCCGAGTATGCTCACGCCTCGGAGTTCCGTTGGATACCCCGCATAAGACGGGATTCGATAATTTGAATCACCCACTGTACAGCCCAAAGCCGTAGGGGATCTCTCTAGCGTTTTATAACGATTTTCGGGCCGCAAATACGACTTAGCGATAATTATAACTATTTTATCAGGTCTACAACTTTGCTTCCGCCGTTTTCCGATAGGTGGCTGTGCCGGCTGAGGTTGGTTGAAATACAAAGACGATACTGCCTTTAAAGTGAGTGCAGACAGTGCCTAACGAATTGTCATCGCCGTTTCAGTGACAGTTGTTCTTGTTTTCGTATTATTCACGCTCGAAAATGTCCGTTTATGTGCCTCATTTTCGCCATTTGCGAGAAGTTTTACTTTTCTGTTACAATTCGAAAAGAAATGCAGCGCATCGAATGCTCTCAGAAACTTACGGTGATGCTGATGTGAGTGAAAGAACGTGTCGGTAGTGGTTTCAACGTTTTAAAAATGGTGATTTCGATGTCGAAGACAAACATGGTGGTGGAAGAGAAAAAAACTTCAAAGATGAACAACTAAAAGCATTGCTTGATGAAGATTCATGCCAAACCCAAGAACAGCTTGCCGAATCGTTGGGAGTGAGTCAGCAAGCCGTTTCAAAACGTCTAAAGGCCCTGTGCATGATTCAGAAAGAAGGAAACTGGGTGCCGTACGAGACTATGCTCGGCCTCACGTCGCAAAAGTGGTCAAAAAGTACCTGGAAACGCTGAAATGGGAAGTCTTGCCCCACCTGCCGTAATCCCCAGATGTCGCCCCTTCTGACTTCCACCTATTCCGTTCGATGGCACACGGCCTGGCAGATCAACATTTTCAATCCTTCGAAGAATTGGAAAATGGATTGCTTCATGGATAGCGTCAAAAGAGGACTCCTTTTTTCGAGACGGGATCCGAAATTTGCCGGAAAAATGGGAGGAAGTTGTCGCTAGCGAGGGACAATACTTTGAATAATATATCTGTAAGCACTTATAGCTTTTAATTTTGAAAAAAAAAAAAAACGGCGGAAGCAAAGTTGTACTTATTTAAACGACATCCGATTTTGAAGTTGTCGTAAACTACTCAACAAATCGCTGAACATGGTTTCTCCTGAAAGAGTGAACGTAAAATAAATTGGTATGTCATGTATGGTGAAATGATTTCATACCGATCGAAAACACTTGGATCTTGTGTATGGCCAGAGAACGTATATTAATGAGAAGGACCAGGGCGTGCCGATTGCATACAGGAGTGCAAAGAGCCTATTTCACCTTTATATGATATTAGTAAGAGACTATTTCACCACTAGTTGACAGCGAACTACCAGATACTCACAAATTATTTATTTTTATTTTTATCCTGCTCAGAAATATTGACAAACAGAGTCAATTTCTGGCGGCAGCGGTGAAATAGTCTCTTATTTCTTTTGTCGATTCCTGGCAGTTCACATGCTGTCCGCAATCGGTTCGTCTCTTTATTTCACGTTCTCTGGTATGGCTACCTTAAGCGGCGAGTGGTTTGAAGTTGTTAGTACCAAAAAGACTGATATTTCATTAAGGAAAGTAAAGTAGATCGGGATAAGTTAAATAAAAATAATATAATAAACAAAAATGGCTTTTGAATATTTGGCATACGATTTAACTCAAGATGAGGAGGTATCGTACCCTTCAATTGGACAGAAGTTTGTTTCGAGAAGTAGGAAATCCATTTCGCTTAAATGCAATTGAGCTTCGGAAGCTACATACATACATACATATATAGATTAAAGCCAGATTTAGTTGAAGGAATTGTCTCTCAACTAGATATCCAACTAAAAGGCAGAAGAATAACAGAATTATCCAAGGAGAAACCGGTAATAACATAACTTTTAAATGTTTTTTTTTCACGTTTTAACACTACTAAAATGTTTAGAGCTTCAAACCGCATTGCGATTCTTTGTAGCTGGATGCTATCAACGCCCCGACGGAAAGCAATGGGGAATATTTATGACTCAATCGTGGGAAAGCCAACGGTCATAAACACTCTGCCCACGTGGCTGTAGTGATCATAAACTATCTGAAAACGCTGAGAAGAGAGCTTTTACCCAACCCAACGTATTGTGCATTTGCATTTTTTAGCATTTTTTTTAACACATAATACGGACGAATTGAATTTGTACACCTATGAAATTAACTGAAAGATCTGAAAAATATATATGTATACGGTTTGTAGGTGAAAATATTCAATAAAATTTTGTTTTTTATCTGCACCCCTCGTATATAATTGACGCTATAGCGGTTATCACTGGTCATAATTTTGGGTTGCCCAAAAAGTAATTGCGGATTTTTCATATAGTCGGCGTTGACAAATTTTTGCAACGGCTTGTGACTCTGTAATTGCATTCTTTCTTCTGTCAGTTATCAGCTGTTACTTTTAGCTTGCTTTAGAAAAAAAGTGCGCGAAATTTTGTTTACATTTGTTTGTTTGGCGACAATTTTAATATGGAGCCCACAAAGGAGCATTTTCGTCATATTTTACTTTATTATTTCCGTAAAGGAAAAAACGCGGAGCAGGTTGCTAAAAAGTTACGAGATGTGTATGGTGATGAAGCCTTAAAAGGAAGACAGTGTCAAAATTGGTTTCGCAAATTCCGTTCTGGAGATTTTTCACTTAAAGATGAGCCACGTTCAGGTCGGCCAAATGAAGTTGATGATGACCAAATCAAAGCATTAATCGAATTGGATCGTCATGTAACTGAGCGTGAGATAGGAGAGAAGTTAAATATACCAAAATAAGCCGTTCATTATCACATAAAAAGTCTTGGACTGGTGAAAAAGCTTGATATTTGGGTACCACATGTATTCAAAGAAATTCATTTAATACTCCGAATCAAAGCTTGTGATATGCACCTTAAACGCAATGAATTCGATCCGTTTTTAAAGCAAATCATAACTGGAGATGAAAAATGGATTGTTTACAACAACGTTAGTCGAAAACGATCATGGTCCAAGCATGGTGAACCAGCTCCAACCACTTCAAAGGCTGATATCCACCAAAAGAAGGTTATGCTGTCTGTTTGGTGGGATTGGAAGGGTGTCGTATATTTTGAGCTGTTTCCAAGGAACCAAACGATTAATTCGGATGTTTACCGTCAACGATTGGACAAATTGAATACAGCCATCAAGGAGAAGCGACCAGAATTGGTCAATCGTGAAGGTGTCATATTCCCCCAAGACAACGCTAGCCCGCACACATCTTTGGTCACTCGCCAAAAACTGAGTGAGCTTGGCTGCGAACTTTTAATGCATCCACCATATAGCCCTGACCTTGTACCATCAGACTACCATTTATTTCGATCTTTGCAGAACTCCTTAAATGGTAAAACTTTCGGCAATGATGAGGCTATAAAATCGCACTTGGTCCAGTTTTTTGCAGATAAAGGCTAGAAGTTCTATGAGCGTGGAACACGTGGCAATTATATATGGCAATTATATATTTGATTAAAGTTCATTCTAAGTTTTATTAAAAAGGCATTTACTTTCTTTAAAAAAATCCGCAAATACTTATTGGGCAACCCAATACATACATACATATATAAATTCAAAACACTAAAGTATTCAACAAAAATGATTTAACTTTACCTTCGATGAGGACACAATAACGAATTCCTCTTCATTCTCCGGTGATGGATCGTCTAAATAATCACAATACGTCGCATTACAAACACAAACGAAACCATTTTTATATTCCCGCAGGGCACACGGTGCACTGGCTTGGCTTGAAATTGCTGAAATTAAATAAAAAAAAAATCATCGGACTAAATACATATCTGGCATAATGTAAAACGCAAGTATGATTGGTTTGGCTAGGGTTTTTGGGAAACTTGAGTTTAACGGTGTCTAAAACACCGTATCCGGTAATTTCTCAATCTTATTAAGTGCGTAAAATGAAACACTTTGCACGTTTCTAAGCTTTAACCTTGCCAGAGAACACCAACCTGTTTCGATGATACCGAAAAATAAAGTATTCCTTAAGATTTGGGCTGTAGATGTGGTTATAGTTCGACTAACTCACATCGTGGTTAGGTAAGGTCATAACAAAAATACACATTTTCACTAAATATTGCCGCTGGACTAGTACTCGTATTTAAGGTATGAGAAAAACACATTAACTTTACAGTGCTTCTCTTGAATCCAAAATTTTTGATAGATATTTCAGAACAGGTTCATACGAGATTAGATTGGGAATCATTATACGATATGAGTTCTTCAACACCACTGTGTTGTCGTAAAAAGAACATATATGTATGTATATGTTCTGTTATTATGCATATATTCCGTGGGAGAGCCAAGGCCCCAAAAGCCAAAATCTTTATCAAAAGTTAGATGAAATGTGAAGGTGGTTCTCATAGCGTATAGTTAATAAATTGGTTAGCAGTAACTGGTCTACTAACAAATAATTCAGTGACTTTTTGAACAAAATATATACATTTATTTTGCCAAGTAAGCGTTTTATTTCTCAACATAGTCTCTGTTTCGTCTCGGGGTTAGTTGGGGTCGGAATTCCTCATGAATTCCGATAACGGGGCTCGGGGGAGGTGCCGGTCCTTCAGGAAGCTGTAATAAATCCCTAAGCTTTCTCCAAATAAAAGGCAATTATGTGTCAATAATTGAATAAATTTTATTGAATTATATGAGTTAATGTAAATATAATATATATATGAAAAAATGTGTAGCACAAAAGAACACACTCACCAAAGATGTTGCTGCTGTGGCTGTTGAAGAAAAAAGAAGCGGAAGACCGGTGGAACTGGTCTTTTAAAGAATTCCACAGAAGGTGGAAATCAGAAACGGGGCTAACAGGACTCTTCCCATAACTTTGAAGAGTCATGTATTAACGAAAAACAGCAGCGCCATCTGTTGGTGAATGTTATGGCGGCTGCCCAGGGTTGCACGCATAAACAGTCTCCTTTTAGCTCCATACATTTAATTCAGCGGTTTTCCAATTTTTATTATTATTATAATTGAAGCTTTGTACCCGCTTAAGCGACTTTCGGCCGAGCTCCTCCTCCAATTTGTGGTTTTGCGTCTTGATGTTTTTCCAACAAATGGAGGCTCCTACAATTTATACTTTGCCGCCTCCGAACGGCTGATGGTTTTTTTACGAGGAGCCTTTATTTCATGTGCGAACTACACTCGGAGGGGTTCACGTTCCCTGCCGAGGAGCTACAATATTTAGAAATTTAGCTTCATTTTTTATTTAAATTAGTTTTCTATCCCTTTTTGGATGTTAGTATGATACCAGTATTTAAACCCCAGTCTTCCGAATATCACTACGGAAAGCTAACCACTCAGCTAACGCCAATTTCAAAATAATAGGGGATTTTAAGGCCTTAATCCAAAGAGGGATTGTTGTCTGTATGTCTATGAAGTGTTGTGCTTCTAAAATTTAACCATTTCTGAAGACATTAGTGAGACTAGTATACATTCAATATTGCTTAGACATTTCATTGTAAAAAATTGGTTCACAATGGATCCCATACATTTGGCTCGTGTGAGTTGAACGAAAAAACTGTTAAAATAAATACGAAGCGGTACTGCGGAGGACGCGCATGACATCTCTCGTGTTGAGTTGAGTGACAGATGATAAATTGTGGAATACTTAACGTGTATGAGCCCGAAGGTGGTAGGGAACAGTCGGCTGTATGGTTGTTTAAAGATGAGCCGGATCGAGAAACAGATTTTCACGCACGAATTGCTTCCAAATAAATAGTTGCCTGATTCCTATTTACAGCTGGACATGTCACCATCGTACCACTAGAACAACGTAGAACAGTAGATTTTTGCGTGGTACACAACCATTTTTTTGTCGCTTGTCTTTCAAGAAAACACGAAAACGAACCGCCAAAGAGCAAGCTCCCATACATCGTCAATTTTGAGCACTCACAACATTAATTTGATGAGTCATCCACCGTTTGGTCTTGACTTGGCACCGAATTACTTCTTCTTAGGAAAAAAATAAATTTAGATGTCAAAGCTTTCGGCATCTGAAGAGGCGAGAATGTTCGTTTTGGAGATACCTCAATCAGAATGGCAAAAGTTCTTTGACAATCAAACGCATGCAAAACTGTATAAATCTTAATGGAAAATGTTTTTAAAAATAATAAAGCGATTTACGACGATTAAAATATGTTTCTGCCCTCTAATCCCGAAATATAAAGGGTAACCCTCGTATAATCAATATTGTAAATACTCACCTATAAAACCTACGATTATGCAAATCGCTAATAATTTCTCTATGTAATTGCAACCTTCTCCCATTTTATAAATATTTCTTATATCACAGTAACCATCACTTCTTGTTTCTGCGGCCACAATATCCCAACTGAGCGGATTATTTTGTAATATAATTTTTGAGCTACTAAAAATTTTTGACTATCAACATTAGTATAGCTCATGTGGCTTTATGGTAATACTTTCTAGTGTTTTATTACATTTGAATCACACGCTGCCACTTAAAATCATATGTTTTTATACCCAGCGTACGTTAAACGCAGGCTTTGAAATTGTGTTGGTTTAACCAAGAAACATTTAAAAGTTCTTAATCCAGCAAGCAATGTCATTATACTCGTAGATGCTGGATGAAAATATTGCGCTAAACCAGCTCCAAACGATTAACGATTTTTGAGAATGGCTTCCTCCCAGACATACACAGGTATTGATCTTCCTAAATTAAGAGCGACCGCATTTGGAAAACAAATTTCTTCTGCATTGAATGAATAAGAATTAGAGTGAAATGTCATAAATAATGTTAATAAAAATGATTAGGCTTCCGTGCACCTGTTCATAATTCATAAACTGATATTGAAAACTACATACAATATATGTGCCTGTAGGGAAAAAATAGCTGCCGTATGAGAGTTGAGACAGTTGTGTCCGGTAAATCAAATTACAGAACTCCTGAAATAAATTTTAGCACCAAACAGCCAAAAAGAAGAAACGAATGGCGCAATGTTGTTAAATCGGCTATAATCGCGTAAGCGGTGTCGTCCAAGAAGCTGAAAGCCATGCTGATATCTTTATACCTTTAATGACCTTATCAGATTTATGGTATTTCTGTTATATATATACGAATATAAAGTTAGAAGGAAAGGCCGAAAACTGACACATGATCTAGAGCGCGTACATCGAATGTGCGTTACCGAGAACAATCAAACAGTACTCTCCAGAGATGCATGCGAAAAATTGAGAGGTAACTAAGAGTTGCGACGAACATTGTAGCATATTCAGTTCAGTATAATAGTCGGTAATGACAACATCAGTATAGTGTGAAGAGAAGTAAACTGTGTACTTATAAGAGTATTACCTGTGCCTTTAGGACATAGACATAGTTATTACAGTATAATACCGAAATTCATGCTCTTAGATGCGGCCGCAATAGCCGAGTGGATGGCATTGCCAACGACTATCGGCCGCTTGGAGGTGGCTTAAAATAAACTGTAGGTTCCTTCATTGTTTTCTTTTTTTTGGAAAAATTTTCTAGACGCATACCACAAATTAGAGGCGTGGCGCAAGCAAAAATCACCTCGCTGGTGCCGACAAAACGCTGTTTGATAGTATCCATGCATTTACGTGCAAAGTTTGTTTGAAATGTCTCCAAGACTGAAAGAGCTAAATTAGTCGACTAGTAATTTTGATCCGATCAGTAGACACTTTGATGGGTCTAGTTCTTCTTCTTCCGATACTTACATACCACCTACCAAAGTTAATAAACCATTTCATGTATTTGAAAGTTATAAAGAGATACAATTTTTTTCTGACATATTTTGAATAGTTGAATGAATACATTTCCTACAGGGCTGCTTTTATAGTGAAATTATGGGCTCGTGCAAGTGTTTAATTACATATTTTCTATCGCTTATCAGACGTCTTTTTATACAGGCAAGAAGGTGTGTTGGTACAGAATAGCAACAAAGAATGAATTTTCAAAGTGATTAAGTGGTTTTGGAAATAAGATTATAATTTAATATTTTGCCTGACGCATTGCTTCCTCTCTAAGGTTTAATGAAAGTAAAAACAATCATAATAAAAGCGTGTCGATGTTGAAATGCTGCACAACCAACTTTTTATTGCGTCGCTAGTGTGAAGAAAATTGCTGGTCTTTTCGCAAATTGAAGACCAAAATGACTAGGTCTTTGGGACTTTGCCGATTTATAGTTCCTGTAGCATATCCCTTGTCTGCCGAAACTATCTCCAAACATGCTCTATATTTCCTACACTGGTTGTACCCAATCAGACTTTTTTTAAAAGCATGCGACTCCAAAAGGCAGTAGCTCCTTTAAAGTCTTAACAGTAGTCTGGTATCCGGCCTCTATACCGCTAGTAAAAAATTTGTAAGTTTAGCATCATTACTTTGGCATATACGAAGGGATTAACAAAAGTTCGGAAAGTTGACCATAAACAAAATTATTTTTGTAATTATTCGTCATCTTTGTCCTTTTTTATCTTCTCTACATACCGCCATTGATTTCAATGCATTTCTTAAGCCTCTAGATCCACTTCTGAGAACAGTATTCAAAATCTTGTTTTTTAATCTTATCAAGTTCAGCATTGACCGCATTAATTAACTCCTCGTCGCTATTCAAAATCTTTCCTTTTAAATTTTCTTTTAATTTTTATAAGTAACCAGAAATCACAAGGTGATATATCTGTGGAATATGGACGAATTAATCGTTATTTCAGCATTGTGGGATGGCGCGTCGTAATGTGTAAAAAGTAGCGCCGAAAATTCTCTTTCTTTCTGTTTTCCAACAAATTTTTGAAAAATTTTGATAAGCACTCTTCGGTATACCATTCTTCAGTTACCATCTAACCCTTTTCCAGTGGAGTAGCAGCTACGATTTTAGTTCGGGCGAAGTAAACTGACAGCATTACTTTTGCTGCTGCTTTTTGTTGCTTAGATTTTACGGGAGCAAACCCCTTTTGGGCTCCATACCATGGACTGCTGTTTGGTTTCTGGAACGTACTTATAGAACCAGGATTCGTCACCAGTAACGACTTTACTAAAGTTGCTGGACTGACCCTTATTGAATTTGTTTAGGAAAACTTTAACAAATTACACTCGAGCCTTCATTTAAAATTCTAGATATCCATCGAGCAGATTTCTTCGTTTGTCGCAGTTGATTACTTAATTTTTCGCGATACAACCATGGCATTCAAGCCCAATTCTTTAACAATCATTTCTTATGTCAATCGTGGGTCTTCATAAATTTTGGACTTTACCAGAGCTACAGTGACGCCATCAGTGGAGAATTTTGGTCGACTTTCTCGGTGCTCGTTCGCTACGGAAAAATGTCCGGCCTGGAACCTTCGGAACCACTTGGAAATAGTCTTTAAGGATAGATCAATCGTTTCATTTGCCATTTGGCATTCACTGAATATTTGTATCCGGCTGTGAAACTTCGTCTGACCTATTCTCATTTATCTTGCACTTTTCGTCTCCATTTAGCCAATAATTCTAAAATTTTGAAAAGAAGACTAACAGAGTAATTGCAAACGACATAGTATTTTTAGATTTTTAAATACAGGCAGTTCAAAATTTATTTATGGTTTCGTCGATTTCGTTCCGGTAATTTTGATCTAAAAACTATCGAAGATGTCAATAAAATAATAATAATCACTATTTCGATTGCCGCCACAAGCGGTCTCCAAGTCAGGATTGACGAGTAAGAAAGTTTTGTTGTGTTGGGATCGCCAAGGGATCAACCACTATAAGCTGGTCCTTTACGATCCGACCCCTAATTTGGATCTGTACTATCAGTAGTTAGATTGAAGCGCCGCCCAGAAGCGCCTATCTTTGGCCAACAGAAGGGGAATTGTGTTTCACCAGCACAACGCCACAGCACACACATCGATAGTGACTTGCCAAAAGCTTCGAGAACTTGTTTGGGTTGTTTTTAAGCGCATACCTTATGGTCCGGACCGCGAACCAAGTGATTACCATCTCTGCCTGTCAGACAGGTAAAGACTTGAACTCAAGAGAAGTTTGGGAAAATCAATTATCGGTTGACAAGGTTTCTATGAAAGGCATATAGCGCCCTCGGCAGGAATTGCCAAGCCCATTGAGTATATTTCTGTCATGAAATTAAAGCTCCTCATAAAAACCATCAGCCGTCTAGAGGCGGCTTAGTAAAAGCTGCAGACAAACACCTTCAATTGGATAAGGATTTCGGCCGATAATCGTTTCAGCGGTTACAAAGCGCCAAATATATACACAAATATATCGAGAATATTTTATATAAATCGGAATTAGTAATGGAGTAATAGATTGCTTTTTACTAGACCAAGATATGAATATATATACATACATACATATATATATATATCATATTTTTAATTTTATCTCAAATCGGCAAAAGTCAACTACACCTGATTCATTAGAAATATCATAAATACCAGTAACTTGTTAACAGATTCAATTTTCACAAATAAAAAAATTATTTTATTAAAAATAAACGAGGTGAAAAAGCACTAGAACGTATTGGCTAAAGGTTAATAGAATGGAAGGTTACGGCAATAGCGAAATCATGTTTTGTGATTTTCATAAAATTTCGGGTTAAAACCAGCCAACATCTATTTTTTACACCGTGAAGTTCACCAAGAACTGATCCATTTGGAAAAAAAAAGATTTACTTATGTTTTGAAATAATATATAAACAATTAAGGACTTTTTTTCGTAAGTCGTCACATATCACTGCAGTGAGAACAGTTACGCCGATCAGGTTAATTTTATTTATTTCATATTTCATTCGTATTTAATGGAGGAAGCATTTTACGGCGAAAATTTAACTTTTTTGGGGGAGTGAATAAGAGACTGATTCATGCGAGAAAATCTTATTTATAACTCGGTTCACTTGACGGCCGCGATAGTCGAGTGGTTAGCATTCCGTACTGACATTCGAAAGGCTCGGGTTAAAATTCTGGTGTCATACTAACATCCGAAAAGTTATAGAAAATTAATTTAAATAAAAAAATTAAGCTAAATTTTTTCTCGGCAGAGAATCCCTCCGAGTGTATTTCGGACATGAAACAAGCTCCTCATAAAAAAACCATAAGCTGCTTGGAGGCGGCTCAGTATAAACTGTAGGTCTCCCCATTTGTTGGAAAAACATCAAGACGAAAAACCACAAAATGTAGGAGGAGCTCTTATTGAATTTTATTATCAAAATGCGTGCTCTGTTAAGAAAGTTCAATAAAAAAATATGTTCAGCGACGAAGCTCATTTTTGGCTTAATGGGTGCCTAATTAAGCAGAATTGTCGATTTTGGAGTGAAGATCAGCCAGAAGCATTGCAAGAGAGCTACCAATGCAGCCAGAAAGAGTCACAGTTTGGTGCGGTTCATGGGCTGGTGGCATCACTGGACTGTACTTCTTCAAAGATAATGCGAATCGCGACGTAACTGTGAATAGTGAGCGCTACCGTGAGATGATATAAAACTTTTTTTTGTCCAAAATTCAAGAGCTTGACTCTCATGACTTGCGGTTTCAACAAGACGGTGCCACATGTCACACAGCACGCGTAGCAATAGATTTATTGAGAGGCGAGTTCGGTGAACAGTTTATTGCACGTTCAGGACCGGTCAATTGGTCGCCAAGATCGTGCGATTTAACGCCTTTGACTATTTTTGGTGGTGCTGTGTTTAATCTTATGTCTCTACAGACAAGTCCGCATCAATTGACGCATTGGAGGACAAAAATGAAGCATTTATTCGTGAGATACCGGCCGAAATGTTGGAAAGAGTATGCCAAAATTGGACTAAGCAGGTGGACCATTTGAGGCGCAGTCACGGTCGGTATTTGCATGAAACAATTTCAAACATTAAATTATATGGCCCGTACTATCGACTCAAATAAAGATTTCATATTTTTCTGAATTTTAGGGTTTTTTTTTTTTGAAAACTTTCCTATAGCGCTTAAAAAATCACCCTTTATGTAGTTGGAATTTAACGGTTTTGGAGCTTATCGAACAGTTTTAATCTTCTTTACAGTGCAATTTGTTTGAGTTTCCTTACTTCGTAGCCCTGACGACGATTCGGACAAATCGTATTTATTCCTGGAATGGTCCGGAACTTTTCTTTTCGGAAACGACTTAGTTAAATGATTTTTCGTGGTCAGTCTATGTTGTAAAGTTGTCAAAAACATTAAAAAAAACTGATATGTATTTTTAAACGGCATTTGACAGAAATATTTTGATAAGCTCCCTGGAGTCTATAATCTTATCAAATACTTTGATTCTGCTTGGCCATTATCTGAGTCGCAGAGGCACTACTAAGGCAATTGTACGGTTCAATTAGATTGATAAATTTGCTAAAAGCCGCTATCAGATTGCCAATTGTTTAATTATTTTCAAAATATTCTTAATGCAAATCAATACAGTAAGTACCGCTATAAGTTGTGATTTGATTAAATCAACTTTTTTCTTCATATTCTTAAGCACAGCGGCAGAAATGAGAGCCCTTTGCTTGGAAATATTCTAAAAGTTGCTCAGGAATATATCGTTTTGTCAGTGAAAAATATAAAGAATTTCATCTTTTTATGCTTAATAAAATTTTAATTTTCTGTCGGTCTTTCGGGAGGCTAGGGTTCGAGATCTGGTGCGAGCAACATTCAAAAATTATAGAAAATTAATTTAAATAAAAAATGAAGCTAAATTTTCTAAAAAAAAAAAGCTCCAAATATATATTTACATATCTTTGAACGGATTGAGAAGACTTCCCCAACCAAGAAGTTGTGCCTTTGATTTTTAAAATCTTCGATCGATCATCGACTAAAGTCAACGCAAGATGGTTGCCAAGAATGCTTACGCCTCCGTCAAACCAACCATCCACATGAGCCACATTTCCTTGGCTGCTCTGCATAAGATGGGCTTTAATATTTTGAATCCTACATCCCACAGCCCAGAGGTCTGAACCTCGCAGCAAACTTCCCTAAAGTAAATCTTTATAAGAATAAATTTTTCAGGGGCTAAAAGCTCTACAAAAATATTTTCTATTAAATCTAATTGTTCATACACATATACATACATACATATACATATATGTTGTAAACTTTAAGTTTTTTTAAATCAATATTTTCTAGAGACTTTGAAGTTCTTATTATAAGCATTTTTGTTTTTTTTTTTTTAATATATTTTACAATATAAAATCGTTCTTTTTCGTAACTGGCGTAACGCTTACACGATTAAAGCCGAGTTAACAATAGCATGGAATTCGGTTCTTTTTCCGCCTGTTTTTCGCCAATTGGTAATACCAAGTAGAGCCAGGCACTTCTCCAGCTAGTTCTTCACTTAATCGTCACTTAATTCGCTAGAATATGTCAATGTCACCGTATAATTTGGGCAGCTAATCGTACCATCGGCTGCGGTATTCGCCGCTCCAAACGTGCAGTAAGTAGTGTAGTAGCCGACCGTAACGTTGCGCGGCAAGCAGCCTGTTTTCTCACCATAGAGACACGGCAATCCTCATCGTACCAGCAGTTTCTTTAGCCTTTCCGAAAACCAATAATTTCGTTTGCAGTTTTACGTAAGGAGCTTAAAACGGTGTCCCTCATCTCCCTCGTGCCGAGTGACTAATGACTAGAAAATCGCTCTCCATGAAAACACGGCAATCCTCATCGTACCAGCAGAAAACACAATAATTTCGTTTGCTTTCGTAGGCATTCTACCTCATAACGAGGCACTAATGCGTAGAAAACGAGCAGAGGTAGATGCGTATCTTTGCTGCTTTATGACAGTGGTCCGAGTCGATGTTGGGCTTTCGTAGTGCGAACGTCAAGAATACTGGAAACATGCCGTAAAATTCACCAAGCGCAATGAGTACGCTTCAAGCGCTCATAAAAAATAATATTGGTCACATCTCCCTATACATCCGTCGGGGCGTGGGCGAAATTCAGCGATGTATTGAAAAACTTTGCTTTGATGTGGTTTTTGGCGAAACGTTCATCAAACCAGAACTGCGGCGGAGTCTCTCAAGCACCTACACGTCGCCGTCATTGTCATGTCCATCGCATTTCTTGGTTCGTGGCGGTTATATTACCCTTTTAGTCTTATGAGTACAGCAACCAACTGTGCAGCGGCACTTTCCCAATTCAGGTATTGGACATTCCAGGTGCAGTCCTTAAATCATTGTCCTTAATACATTTAGATAAAAACTTTACGATGTCTTCAAAAATGATTCTCCACAGTATAAGCCATTAATTTTATATGTTGGCTGTGTTACACAGTGTAATACACATACACATACATATATTTTACTATTTAGCTTTAAATTTGAAAATATGCATATCTCCTATTAGTGCTAAATTAGTATAAACCAACAAATTTATTAACAAAAGATAAGTTTTAAATAAATTATTTTGAGTTGTTTATTTTTTACTTATCAGTAGCAAAACCAAAAACAATATCAAACATAACGAATAACAAGTTGTATAATAACCAATTTGTACAAAATAAATTTAATTTAATCACGTTTCATGGGCAGTCGTGATTTGATAGTCATTTAAAAAGCAACTCGATTTCGCATACCTCCAGTGTGGGAACAACAAATGGCGAAGGAGTCGAATTCTTTTAGATTCTTATTAGTGGCCAGCGCTTTGGCGAGTCTTGTGGGTGAGTCAAATTATGCACAAAAATAATATATGAGGTGTGTTCAAAAATTATCGCAAATTTTGAATTTTCGCGGGTTACGTATAATCGAATTTCGATTTTTTAGTGGCGTTATGTTGGTACTCATGTCTGTCACTTATACCGACAAGCTCGGACATTTTGAATGTTCACTAAATTATTGACAGCTGCTTTGCTTGCACGTGTTTTAGATGGTCTTCGAATTTTACCAAATTAAAAAAATAGATCATAGAACCTGTATCAAATTTTGTGTGAAATACGAGATTAAGTGCGCAGATGCATTCCGAATGTTGACTGTGGCATACGAAGAAGCTATCTTGGATCGAAGCAACGTTTATCGGTGGAACAAAATGTTCTCAGAAGGCCGAGAGGATGTGAACGACGAAAAGCGTGCAGAACGCCCGAGCACTTCAACAACAGACAGTTTTCTTCGATTATAGGGGCGAGGTGCATCATGAGTTCTTGCCACAGGGTAGAACGGTCAATAAGGAATATTACCTGCAAGTTATGGGCAATTTGCGCGAAGCAATCCGCCAGAAACGCCCGGATTTTTCGATGAACAAAAATTGGCTTTTCCACCACGATAGCGCCCCTGCTCACACATCGTGGCTTGTGCGCGACTTTTTGGCCAAAAACAACACACTTATAATGCCGCAACCACCGTATTCCCCAGATCTGGCCCCCTGTGACTTTTTATTGTTCCCTAAATTGAAAAGGCCCATGAAAGGACGACGTTGCGCAACGATTGACGAGATAAAGACGGCATCGAAGGAGGAGCTGAACAAGATAAAAAAATGATTTTTTGAAGTGCTTCGAAGATTGGAAAAACCGTTGTCACAAGTGTATAATATCTCATGGGGATTACTTTGAAGGGGACAAAAAAAAAATATTCATGAATAAATAAATAATTTTTGAAAAAACACAAAATTCGCGATATTTTTTGAACACACCTCGTAAAGTTGGAAGAAAGAGCCAGAAGCTTGGCTTGAAACACTTCTTTTTTGTGGAATTTTCATTTTTTTTTTTAATATTTAAATTTTATGTGTATTTTATTTTAATACTCAGCGATCTCTACACAGTCATGTGCCCTTAGAGAGTATGAAACGGGTTTGGTTTGCGTTTGCAATGCCAAATATTGTGACTACTTAGCTGATCCAACGCCGAAGGAGGAATATGAATTTGCCGTTGTCTCAACCTCAAAGGTAATGAAATGCTTAAATATTTCCTAAATGTACAAATGTAAGAAGAAAGAAGCGAGAAGAACGTTCTTCGGCCATGCCGAAGTTTTTATACCTTTCTTAGAATTAAATATTAATTTTTATATCTGAATAAATCGTTTTTAAGTAAGTCATATGATATAGCCATGCGATTTCAATGATTTTCTGTGACAATGGTCATTGTACATAACCAAATCTCACGTTTCTAGATAATACTTTGATGGATTTTTTTTATCAAAAACTTCATATCCTATACGTTATAGTCCTCCGATTTCGATAACTTTCACCATCACCCAAAAGCTCAAGTGTAAATAATCTACAGCTGCTTGATAAGTCAGTGATTTTTGTAATTTTCCCCACAGCTACTGTAAATACAACACTGTTACCGTAAATTGTTATCGATTATACGATTACTGTGAAATTTAGAGCAAACTGTGAATTTTAGTTTGTGTTTGACAGCAACTCAAAACACACCACGAAAATGAAAAAAAAGTGAATTTCGCATTTTTTTTTTGCGTAAAAAAATTAGAGAACGTATATTAAAGAGAAGGACTGGGGAGTGACGATTGTCATTTCTTCCACCAACGGCATTTCTAAGAGAGAGAGATACGATGTTAGTAAGATACTATTTCACCACTAGTTGACAACGAACTACCAGATACTAACAAATTAGAAGAAGAAGGATATATGGCAGACAATTATTTTATTAAATTATTTTTATCTTTCTCAGAAATGTTGACAAACAGAATCAATTTCTGGCGGTAGTGGTGAAATAGTCTCTCATTTCGTTCGTCGATTCTAGCAGTTCACATGCTGTCCGCAATCGGTCGTTCTAGTTATTTGACGTTCTCTGAAAAAACCATGAACGAAAACAAGCAAAGACTTGGTAAATATTAGGAGGACTCAGCCACTTCAATTTCAATGGTTAAGAAACGGTTTTCTAAGTCCTCTGGTAGTCTCAAGAGGTCGTCACGCTAGAAATCGTTTCACAAAATCCGTGAAATGATAGTGGCCGATCGGGGAGTAAGAGAGCATGAGGTAATTGAGGTAGTAAGCATCTCAACTGAAAGGGTATATCATATTCTGCTCAAATATTTGGATATGAAAAAGCTGCCGACGCCTCGATTGCTTACACACAAGCATAAATCCAGCTGTGTAACCACTTCAGAGGAGCGTTTAGCTATGTTCAACCGCCGATTCATTACCATAAACAATATATACACCACACCAGAGATCAAACTATAATCAAGACCGTGGGTTTATCCGATGAACGTGCATCAAAGAAAGCCAGGGTGGGTGTGCCGGCCAACAAGGGCATGATCACAGTTTTTTAGAAGCTCGTGTATCCTATAATTCACATCGATTACTTTGAAAATAGTAAAACAATAGCTACAGGCTTCATTGTCCATAATCCATTTCGTTTGAGGTCTAAGCCAAGACCTTTTAACGTTTGATAAAAAAAATTTTGCCTCTTCCTCCTGGACCTACCTTTACCTCTTTTTAGGCGATCCTTTTTACCAAATGAATGCGTGGTAAAAAAGTCGATAGTCTGGAGAGAAATTCGACGTGCTGCATTTCTTCTCTTCGCATACAGCGCTAGCTGGCCGCTCTAAGGGTGAAGACAAAGAAACGTTGCTAACAACTTAGAAACCTGTTGGATCGCTGATCATAATTAAGGCCGATCTCGATGTTAGGGGTGTAATGGTGTGTAGTCAAGCTTCTGGGTATGCTGTTACAGTTACGAAGCTGTTCTGAATTCTTACTCTTGCTTCAACGTCGCGCACCCTGAGCAACCCTTGTACAAGATACGCTAACCAACCTTCGTGCAGCCTTGGATCATGGCTTCAGTGGGACTTCCGACTTATTCGGTTTAAAGGTCTGCTGAAGTCTAATTGCAGCGGCTGTTCCGGGCATCGGTCTTGAAGCAAGCGGTTCGCTATATAAATGTGTACAAACTAGAAACCTAATCATCTAGCGAGGTCCCGCCATGTAAAAACCAGCTCCAAAGAAAAATTTAGCAGCGCCTCGAAGAGATACCCCCTTTTTTGACGACCCCAGCAAATGAATTAAGAATCAAGATTTGAGGACATGCACCTGGATTGTCCGGTCCCTTTATTAGGAAGGTGCTACTGCCCAGCTGGTTGATGTCCTTCTAAGAACAGCACTGCCGTCCAAGAAGTGCGATAGATGGGACAAGGACGAAAGCGAGTAGGTTCTTGTCATATTTACTACAGCGGTGTTGGATTTGTGGTGAAAGAGAGACTCCGTCGTCAAGTACTGGCATTCACCCCGGTGGGTGAGCGTCTCGCCAGAATCCGCATCAAAGTAAAATTTTGCAACATATCGTCGATTTACGTCCATGCCCCGACCAAAGAGAAGGACGATTTGACCAAAGATGCCTTTTATGAGCGCCTAGAACACACTTATGAACGCTGCCCACGTTGTGAAAATCGTGTTTGGTGACTTTAATGCCAGGTATCTTTGGTACGGCTTTTGGAAAATTCAGCCTTCAGAACGAAACATCACCTAACTTATATCATAGTTGATATATCCAACGTATATTCAGCGTGCAATTAGTCTCCGCATGATATAAACCGCCTCGTCGGGTGTCCCCTCAAATCAGTAGTTTTACTCCACCTCTGCCTTTAGCCTGAACCCGGTAGAACAACTCTTGTCCTAAGCTACCCGGCAGCTGTTCTCGCCACTGTCACCGGCTAGCCTACTGCTAAGCGGGGTTACCGAGCCGCCTTAACAGCAATCATTGAAATGTTATTTAATAAATGATCGAAGGGCTGAAGAGATCATATCCCAATATCCCAAGAAACGATTAACTACAAGTAAATTAATTTAAAATATTTCTTATTATCGAAGGCTGGTCTGCGCTTTGAAACACTCACCGGCTTGTTCAATCTTTACAAGAAATATTATATCTTCGACTATGATATGGATTTGGGCCGAGTTCTGCCAGCTTGTGAGTATTTATTTGCTGCATTACTTTTAGCCGTATCTTTTTTTTAATATTCCTAACCTCACCTACCAGCAACAATTGGAAGTGTTCAAATAGAAATAGCTCGTGAGAAACGAACGCAGAAGATTCCAGATTTCAGCGGCTCTTTCCAAGGTGCAGTTAGCCAAATACTTCAGCAGTTACCAAAAGCTTTACAGGAGCACATATATAAGTAAACATTTCAAATAACATATGAAATTAATAATAAAAAAAATTAACAAAAACCTTCCCTCTACTAGATCCTTCTATTCACAACAAGGCATTGGCTTGAATCTCTTACGCTCCGCCACTACATCTGGTGTTGGCGTAAAGTCTTCGCAGAAAACTGCACCCATTCTTGGCTTTTGGGCGCGTGGTGAGCAGTTTGCACAAACCCTTTTGCAGGACATCGAACAGGGCTTTAACGGTTGGTTCGATTGGAATTTGGTATTGGATGAAGAGGGTAGTCCGAATTATGCGGAAAATTACGAGGATGCGCCAATAATTGCAAATTTGACAAGTAAAGTGTACTTCCCCAGGCAATGCTGGCATTAATGAAAGTTTATGAAAATTCGCCTTTATTTAAATTTAATTTAACTTTTGCATTTCCAGGTCGCCTTGAGTTCTACAGACAACCAATGTTCTATTCAATGGGTCATTTTACGAAATTCTTGCCTAAAGGTTCTGTCCGCATATCGGCTGAGAGTACAAATCCTCAAGTGAGCACGGTTGCCTTCCTGAGACCGGACCAGAGCGTGGCTGTTTTGGTTATTAATAGGTAGTTGCTTGAGACAAAGTTTATGAATATTTTTAATTTAATTTATTTCATAATTTCTCATTACAGTGAATCTGCTGGCATTGATCTCGGCTTACAAGATAACCTACGTGGCGGTGTTTTATTCAAATTACCACCAAATTCTATTCATACTATTTTATACAAGTAAATTAGAAAGGAAACAAAATTTTAATTTCCATATGAAATAATAATTTCATTAATTCACTAGAAGATCTGATGCACGGACCCGGTATTTAGTTCAATTTAGTTATTGTTATTTATTTGCGATAGGTAAAGAATGCTAAAAAGTGGAACTAATCCACTGAGCAGGCTTTTTGTGTTCCCCAGAGATTTTCTTCTGATAGGAAAATGTTGTTGATACCAAAAGAATGTTTGTATTACAAGCAGTGTGTGTGAAATAACATTATTAACAAGCAAATTCATTTTGGCTATTTTGGGCCACAAAGAGAAGAGGAAATGTTTACATGACGTCAATTTCAATAGAGATCGATATTTTATTGACCTTTTGGGCTTTAATTAATTTAAAGCTTAATATGATTTCCATGAGAGCGGTAGAGAATGAACGAGTATCCATGTATGCCTGTGAGTATTGGCATTTGCGAGTGCTGCAGTATCTCGAGTTGGCTGAGTAGCCTTTATAATATGATGGCTTTAAATTTTATTTATTTATTCAAAGAACACAGATTATTGCATATGTTGTATTGTGTACATACACTTTTGCGCATATATATATATCTTATTTTACTTTATTTTATTTTCTCTTCTTTATTTTATTTAATTTTTTTTGTTATCCATTTATATTTTTTTTCTTTTTTCTATTTAATTTCATTTTATTTAATTTTATTATATTTTATTTAATTTTATGTTACTTGAATTTAATTTGGCTTACTTTATTTTTTATTTTATATTCATTTTAAATGAATATATTTTATTTTATTTTATTTTATTTTATTTTATTTTATTTTATTTTATTTTATTTTATTTTATTTTATTTTATTTAATTTTATTTTATTTTATTTTATTTTATTTTATTTTATTTTATTTTATTTTATTTTATTTTATTTTATTTTATTTTATTTTATTTTATTTTATTTAATTTTTTTATTATTGTACTTTTCATTTTACTTAATGAATTTAATTTTATTTTGTTTTATTTTACTTAATTTAATTTTATTTTATTTTTATATAATTTTATTTTTTTTATTTTAATTTAATTTATTTTATTTTATTTTATTTTCTCTTATTTATTTTATTGCATTTTTTATTATTTATTTTTTTATTTCTTTTATAATTTTTTTTTCAATTTACTTAATTTTTCTATTTCATTTAATTTTATTTAAATATATTTTACTTTATTTTATGTTATTTTTTTTTTACTGTATTAAAATCCACCAAAAGGTGGTGTATGTGGATCCTCTTCTCACGGCTATTTTCCAAGATTTGGCTCATGGTGAATATCTGGTCAATGGTTGACATACCAGGTTTGAAGTCACAATCTTCAGTCTTTCACACCATTCGCATGATAGGATCTTATAAGCGATATTAAGGAAGCTTATCCCACGGTATTTGGCGCAGACTGTGGGGTAACCTTTTTTATCGGTTGGGCAGAGCACACTTAAATTCGAATCGCCGGGCTTGCTTTCGTCCGACGATATTCTGCAAAGTAGCTGGTGAAAATTAAAGTTGAAAATAAAAACTGTGTTTTAACAGTACTTGAAAGTTCTCTTACTTTCTTGCATTCAGCCTTTATTACGCGAAGATGACAAAGAACTTTAAAATTAAATGAACTGAAAAATTGGCTGTGAAAAAATAATAGAAAAAAATTTATAACCAGCTGTGTCCCGTTAGACGTAAGAGCAAATACAACCGTTCAATATATATTTATTTTTATACATTCAATACATATGTACTTGTTGGTAACATACATAAGTATATGTTATATATGTACTCGTATGTATGTAGGTCAAAGGCGTCTGGCGGCATGCAACTCTTATCTGTCCTGTTAGCCAACACACCGACTACGACTATTATAAATGGCTAATTTTTTTCTAACAAGTTTCACTTCAAAGCGAAAACCCCTAAAGTAGACTCTAGTAGTAGTAGTAGAATGGAAAACAAGCAGAAAAGAAAAGCAAGTCGTTAAGAGGACCTACAACAAGCTTGTGGTAAGCCACGTAGAGTGGTTTATTGCGGAACAAAGCTCTTTAGATGAGTCTGCATGTCAATTGAGCTTAAGGTGCATTCCAAGACAAAAATAACCGAATTCCAACGAATATCCTTCTGCGGCTAAAAGCCCAATAAGAGTATGAATTTGACCTACGGGATTCTGCTTATCTTTTACATTGGAACCTCGGTACGAAAATAGGTTAAATTTTGGACACATTTATATAGTGAGACGTTTACCTCAAGACCGACACCTGCTCGCAGGCGTGCGGTTCATGGAACCCTTATATCAAATATAAACCAAATATGTCCGAGTAGCTCAACTCAAAAGCTAACTTTTTTTTAGCTCAAGCCCAAGGGTCCACGTGGGCTGGTCACCGCATCTCGCACATGGTTTGCACACATTTCTAGAGTTTGCTATAACTATAACTGCTTCTACAGAATTCAATAAAAATTTCTCATCTTCACGAAATCTTGTACTGATTTCCGACGCTAGATCCCACTTATGAAAACCAATGAAAACACTGGAACCCTCGAAGTTAACATGAAGTATTACGCTTCCAGGATGTGTGACAAGGAGGTAAGAGTTGGGATCGATTCCATAGTTTGCAACTGTATCCGCATACCCAGAAGCAGAACAACCCCTCATTACACCCTGATAACGATATCTCCGAACTTTTCGATACTCATGATATTGACAACATCGACCTTAACGGCCGTGTCATAAGCATTGCTTTCTCCAAACTGGGCAAGCAGGTAAGGGAAATGAGTCTGGCAGTGAACTAAGGAAAACAGAAGACGTTAGACAAATAGTCGTCAGGGCGCTGACTATTGGCTCCCACGTCACTGCTGACAATCCTAACTTTGAGTTAGAAACGACGATATTGGCTGCCTGAAAAGTATAGGATGAAGTACCTGCTGAGGAGAGCAGAGGAAGAGGCAAACTTCTTTCATGTACTCGTATATAGTCACTCTCAGGGTACGAGCGCTGGTTTGACCAATTTCCAAAATTATAAAAAATATCATCGGAGGTGGCCTTGTATAAACTGTAGGTCCCTCCAATAGTTGGCAAAACATCAAGACGCAAAACCACAAATGGGAGGAGAAGCTCGGCTCAGCGGCTATGAAGCGACAATTTCAATATAGTTATATTCATATCAAAATAATTTAAAAAGCAGAGGCACTTTGTAGGTCTCATAAGAATTTTGCCTTTAAAGTCTAACAATCTCCTCAGGAGGTTTTAAAAACTCGTGCGCTGTTCTAACTAAGAGACGAGTGACTGGCTTGACCAATAAGGGAAATTGATTATTCTGAAAACACACAACAACGATAGCTGGTTATGGTTGTTTTAACAGGACGTCTGAGCTAACTTTACCTCACAAGCTAGGTAAAGTGCACAGAAGTCGTCGAAACTCAGACTTTAACTGACTGAGACGTCGCAACTTTGGGGCATTGGACTTACTCATCGGTTTAGGTGCGACCACTTGCGGTCAGGTCTTCACCTGCCCTTTCCACTAACAAAGCAACCATTCCGTAAACTTCTGTAAACATTAAAGAGGAAAAAAATCAGTCGCATTGAAGGTCTTTCATGCATTATCCTCACTTTACTTCAACTTGAAGGAAGAAATTATAAATATATTTTTCATTCTGTGTTTCCTTGGAATACACCCTGCAAATGTTTATATGTACACCTATAAAAAATATAAAAAATGTAAGCATATGTGTATGCGACCACAGTGTCGACTGCCTGAATATGTGATTTACTCAAACACTGCCTGCCGCAGCCTGCCTTTGCACTTGCTCACTTGCTCATTTGCTCATTTGCCACCCATGACGCGTCATGTCAACGGGTAAAGCCATAAAAAGCACACCCGAGTGAACAAATGAAATGAGTGGCAATGCCAACAACAACCACAACAACAATTACAGGAATAACAAAAGCATAGTGTAATAGCAATGGCAACAAAGCAAACGATTGCGACTATAAAATGGCTCGGCAAAGTGTCGAAGCTTTTCAATTGTTCATTCTCAGCCGAGGCGGTGACACCTGTTGAGCGCCGAGAATAGAAGGATACACACTTCTGAACGAATGCCTTGTGCATGAATAATTAAGTGTTTCGTTAACATTGTTAGACATGCATACATATGTGGATACATATATACATATGTATTGAGGTGGTGTGTGGTGACAGGAGCTTATGCTGGAGCTCATAAAACAATTAAAAACTGTTTGAGTTATGTTCGGCGGCCTCTTCTGAGCAAACATATGGCAGCAATCAGCGCGAAAACCAATTAATGTGTGCGAAGGCAATTAAAGTTTCAATCGGTTCGCGTTTATAAACATCATCGGGTGTGTTTGTGGTGAATTTATTGTAGCATATCATTTACATATATACAGACATACATGCATACTCGTATATATAATATAAGAAATAGTGTTTGCGAAAATCAAATTTGTTCAAAAAGCCATTATGTTAGAACAACAAACTGCGGAAGTGTCTGGTGATCGGGCTCAGGCAAGTGTTGCACGCACAGCGTCGATGTTGAATGCAGCGGGTGGAGAGAGACGTTCATCGACACCGAAGTTCGGCAATACAAATCGGTGTATAATCGCTGTTATTGTCTACTTCGCTTTTCTACTCGATAATGTGCTGTTAACTGTAATTGGTAAGATCTTATGGTTTCCTCAGACATATGTACATTTAAACACAGTACAAAGTACGTTAAAGATCTTCAGTTTCAATTTGGAGTTCCTACTCTGACTCTGAGCACTTGGAATGATATTTCGAGGGATCCTCGCCAAATGGGGGACTTGTGTGGGGATGATTGGGGTCATTAGGTTCGTAACGTGTTCAGCAACTCATAATTAGTATATATACGAGATTTCTTTGTTATTAGTCTTTGGGCTATCGTCAACCAAGCAACATAATCGGCAGTGAAAAGTGAAATTTTAAAGCGTGCCGTTATAAAGTTCCTTACCAAGCAAGGAAAATCCGTTGCGATCATATTGAATGGTTTGCCATTAGTTTACGCAGCCTCTTGTAGTTGAAAAGCCATAATGTACAACTAGTGCAGTTTATTTAAACATGGAAAGCAATCCCTTGAAGGCGCCTCGACGAGGCCAGGCAGGCCGCGGTGACCACACGAGAACTTATCCAATAACTTGAAAATACTCTCGACGATGCTCGACTTAAGAAGAAATGACTCGCAGAAATTTTTGGATAATATTATTATATCATCTTGGCATGACCAAGATCAGCGCAAGATGGTTGCCCAGAATACTCACGCCACCGCAAAAGTAACAGCTCATAGAGTGTCCACTTAAATTTGTGGAACTCTGTATTGAAGGGAAGGATGGTGTTTTGCTTCGAATTATTACTTTAGACGAAGTTTGGAAGAAGGATACATATGAACCTGTGTGGAAATAAGACTCCATGTAGTTGCAAACCATCTCTTAAGAAGTTTAAGATGGCACAGTCAGCTGGGAAACTCGTTGCTATGGTTTTTTGGGACTCGAAAGGAATAGGTCGATAATAAAGATATATATTTGTAACATGACTGGAGAAGGCTATGTTTCAACAACAGAACGTATAAGGAAGCCAGAGAAAATACGCGAAAAATTTGGCGAAAGGGCCGCTGCTTCTTCACTACAGCGCGCCCACAAGGCTGCCCTGATTTACCCACTCTACTGCCCAGCTCTGAGTCCGAGTGACCATTATGTGTTTCTACAAAAGAAAAAAGGTGTTGTGGGGGGAAAAGGGGAGCAATAAAAAAAGACGGCACTTTCAGAATATTTTGGAGATTAAGTGAAAACATATCTCTTTTTAAACTAATTGAAAGATCTCAAAAATCTATTCGTCTTGCAGGTGAATATATTGCAAAGGAAAAATTATTTAGTTCTTTTATTTCCACTCCCGAATATAAAAACGCTCACTCTACGAGCGTAAAGATAATTTTCTTGCCTAACCACCCCATGGTTCGATAAAAGAATTCCAAGGATGCCAAGTCCTACGGTGACTCAAAAAGTTCTTCAATCTTCTGAAATATTAACTCTCTGGACTAGTTGCAGGACAAGATTATTGTTCAGCTTAGAATTAAATGAGAATTTAAGTGATATATAACAGGAATAGGCCACACGGTTCGTTTAATCTACGAGCCAGACCGACTTTTTAAGAGCATCGTTCCACTTTGCGTAGCAGTAGATATAGTGGCATTGTCAAGAGAAGTGCTGATAGCCCAGACAGTGAATGTTTTCTGCTCCGGGTGTAGGTGTCTCTGTTTGTTGGGAACAATATCAACATCTCATATTTTGGAAGAGGAGCTCGCTCAAAAACTCTTTGAGACGTTATAGATCAAACTGGCTCAAAACTGACAGCATAATGCCGACACAAGTAGAATGTCAGAGAGGAAGTAATGCTAGAGTACATCCAAATAGAAATACCTGCATGGCAGTACAAAAAATGTTGAAGGGTTCTCTGATGCTTTGCAACTGAACGGAGCTCGAATACAAGAATATTTTGAATATAACCTCAACTCCGTGTAGTGCTTATTCCAAACCTAGCCAGCAAAGGATTTACTATCGTCACAATAAATCCTGTCCACGATGCTGGTCAGTTTTTGCCAAGGTGACGGATAGTAAGAGGTCGTAAAAATCGTGAAAATTGTGACCAAGAAGAAAGTATTGAGAGAATCTTTCGTTAATCCGTAAGTCGTTTGATACTAAGCGAGGTGACTGCTTATCTAGTGAATTCTTTAACTTAAATACAAGCTGCAGAGTAGCGCCGGAGTAGCTGACCGATATTTATGATGCAATTATAGATGAGGTAGCCATGAATGCGCTCACAGAGGTGTCTCTGAGACGAAAACTTCTCATTGCTGAGTGCAAGGATAACGGCACAGCAAAATGGCTTGTGAAGACAGTCACGAAACTTGGTGATTGGTTTAGTATGGGACCATCTTCCTCCCTTGAAGTGTGGACAAGGAGCAAGCTAACGCTTTGTGCTTGTTACAAAGAGCTCGCCAAAGGCAGTTTGAAGACTTAGCAGAGGGTCTAAATCTGGTGAGGACGCAAGAAAATAGTGAACACCTCATGTTCTTCGAATTAGGAGAGTAGACAGATAAATGCCAACGACGCAGAGCACAAAGATAACTCAGATCAATCTGCATCATTCATTTGCCGCTACGTTGATAACTATGCATAAGACTGTATCGGATGATCTGTGCATTGTTTTGGCGCAGCATCCATGGACCTAGAAATATTAGATTGTATAACTAAAAATCTGGTAGCATTACCCCTGCGGGTTAGGATTTGAAGAATTTTCGCGCGGTAAGGCAAGACCGTCGTGAGAGGCGACTAAAATCCAGTCCGGTCTTTATACCGAAACGACTCGGGTTTTTATCCGGCCAAGGAGTGTCACTCCCGCAATATTCCCCAAAAAGTACTTTGGGAAATATTTTTGTGATCACAACAACAACAACAAAAATAAAGAAAAATCGGAATTGTTGGAGCGTCGGCATACTTTCTTTGGGGATAATAACATGAACCCAATACCAAAGGCGGATCATGTATTGTACACGTATGGCCTCCACAACCACCGTTAGTTCAGTTTTCTTCGGACTAAGAAAAGAAGCGAAGCGAATGGGGTTGGTGGTGAATGAGAACAAGACGAAACTCATCCTGTAATCAAAGAAACCGTCATTACGTTCCCATCTTGAATCCCACGTCACTATTGACACTCATAACTTGGAAGTCTTAGTTAACTTCGGCTACCTGGCAGCCAGTGTCAGCACCACTAATAATGTCAGCCTTGAAATCCAGTGCAGAATCACTCTTGCCAACAGGTGTTACTTTGGATTGAGTAGGCAATTGAACTGTAAAGTCCTCTTCCGACGAACAAAAACCGGTGATTGCGCTCCTGCTATATGATGCTGAAGTGCGCAAGCTTTGACGACAACTGCGTTTGGGCGCTGGGAATCTTCGTGAGAAAGATAAGCCATCGCATACAAGATATACGCCAGCATTGTCATAACTCAGCGAATTAAGAAACAGCCGTCTCCTTGGCTTAATCATGTTGTCCAGCTTTGAAAGCTTTGAACGCAGTAACCGGCGGTGAAACCAGAGAAAGGAAAAGACCTATACGCAGTTGGGAAGCACAGGTCAAGCAGGACCTAGCTTCACTTAGCGTATGCAATTGCTGCGAAAGGCCAAAAGTCGGGGTGCACTGCTGTAAGCGGTGTCTACGCCAATAAAGACCTCGTCGCTAAAAAGATAACTTTAATGTTGGAGACTTCTTAGAAAGAATGTTTCTTACAATGAAAAAGTGGTATTTTTGTTCAGGTTTTTATTTTATTGAAATAAATCATAATACATATACATATACATATATTATATGTACATATATGTATATACTTATAAGTAAATGATATATTTTTTTTATATTTGCCTTTTCTTTCCATTCTATATATGTACATATGTATGTACAATACATAAAACCTTATCTTTTAACAAAAACGCACTCATACTGTCATTTAATCCCTCCTTCTCCTGCTCATGCTTCTCTTCTCTACACACACACACTCACAGTGCCCATTTTACCCGATTATCTAGCGACTATAAATAACAGGACACATCACACTCCATTGGTGATGTTCAACAGTTACAATGACTCGAACAGTGCTGTTGTCAACGTCGGCATCGCTAGTCCCTTTGTGGCATCGCCTAGTTTAGCCTATCGGTATATTGATGGCGCACCACCACAACCCATACAGACAATTATGACGAAACATCCGATACCCGGCAAATCGATGGTGAACTTTACGCTGCATACCGACGATAAAACCACATTCATACCCGGTGAGCACAAGCAATCGCTACGCTACATCAACACAGGTGCAGGTACAACAGGCGGCACAGCAGCTGGTACAATGACGAAAAGCTCAACTGCCGGAAATACCGCAGGAGCCGGTGGCAAAGTCGCAATACAAAAAGAGCATGGCGTAGCAAATTTTAATGAGGATACTGATATGGCCGCAAACACAAACCCCGCCCTGCCGGTAAGCACTCCGCTCGCTGAGAGCAATCGTTATGGCAAAAGTACGACACGGACACAAACTGATGCGAACGACAGTCTGGCTAGTGAGAATAGCGCCATTGGTATTTTGTTGTCTCTGAAGGCGTTAGTACAGTTAATATTCAATCCCATCGTGGGCAATTTGACGGCCAAATTTGGTTATCGATTGCCGATTGTGGCCGGAACGTTTCTCTTGCTGCTATCCTCGTTGGGTAAGTGTGCATTTCGAGTTGTTGATTTGAGTTAAAATTTCCTTTCTTCATTTTTTTTTTATTGTTTTTTTTTTTTGTATTCAAAGTATTCTCTGTGGGTGAAACCTATGTAGAGCTGTTAATTGCGCGTGCCATACAAGGAGTCGGCTCGGCTTGCATAGGTGTATGCGGTATGAGTTTGGTAGCACAGGTAGGTACATATTTAAAAAATTTTAGCAACATTTAAAAGCTCCTTTTGTTATATACTTTAGCACTATCCAGAGGAGGATCGCCGCTCAAAAGTCATGGGCATAATTTTGGGCAGCATAGCTTTAGGCGTCTTACTCGGCTATCCCTTTGGTAGCATACTCTATGATTTGGTTGGAAAGTCCGCTCCGTTCATTATACTGTCGACGGTGATCTTTTTGAATTTAGGTAAGTGAAACACCGTTGCAGAGGTCCACCAAGTTTTGGCAATTTTAAGCACACCATCAGTAAGCTCAGGGCCGGTAGAATATGTTGGTAAGTACTACGTTGCGCGTGTCTCCCTAAATTCGTGCCAAACTCGAATGTGGCCACCGTTTGGTTGAGTATAGTGTCGTAATATAGTCGTTCTACAAATATCAGCTATATATTTACTAAAGAGGAGCTTAAAGCTCATCTGGCAGTGTCCACAAAGAATTCGAAAAGTTTTGATTTTGGTGGGCTAAGAGCTCTACGAGGTGTCGTTTCTAAGTTTAATGTGTTGGGCGGTTGGCACGCGTTAAAGGTTTCCAAAAATCCTCATTACCGCCGGAGTTGAAGAGGTAGACCATAACGTGACCATGACAAACATCGAGTCCCAGAAAGATTAAGTAAGGGTTCCCAATGTTGTTTAACTTTTATATTTCGAAACTCCATTCTCCACCGAAAGAGGTTTGTCTGATCTCATATGCTGATGATTGCTCGATATTAGAGTTTGACCAGAATACTGATGACTTATGTTCGAAAGTGAACTGTCATCTCGATGGCTTTTTACACTTATTCACTGCAAAAGAACTATGACTAAAACCAGCAAAATCCTCATGTACCCTCTTAACCAGCTGGACGAAGGAATACAGACTCTTACACGATGTGAAGTCGATGGCGTAAAAATGCCGACTATAAACAATCCAAAATTACTGAGCGTCACATTCGGCAGTCTGCACTCCTTCACGACGGCGGTCGCCACAAAACTCTAGAGCGGCAACAAAATCATATCCGGCAGCGCCTGAGGAACAGACAAAGAAACATTGCTGCCACCCTACAAAGCAATCGGCCGGCCGATCGTAAACTATGCTGCACCGATCTGGTCGCCGGAGACTAACGAGACGCAGGTGAAGAAGAAGTGAAAAGCCTGCCTAAACACTGCCCTCAGGACCATAACAGGAATCTTTCTGATGTCGCAAAAGTTAAGGAGTATAATGCTTTGCTGTACAAGCAATTCTTGTTGGAATGCAACCGTTTCCCAACAAACACTTGTTTAAAGTCAAGCCATTACCTAGACACATCGGAAAAGGAGCACTTGACCTAAAGGACTGCATTCAGCACCACCTTAGGCCTTAAACGCCTTTTACCAAAAGTCCGTCGACACATTCATCACTCCCTGTGAATGTCGTTCTCGGAGTCACACCACCATCTATTGCAGACGATAAGCTCATGCTGTCTCGAGAGTTCCGCGTAATACTGGCACAATTTATGTCTGGATATTGTAGTAGAATAAACTCATAATTATACAGAATCAGTACCGACATGCCCAACGCCCTTGTTCCGCAGGGCTCTAACCACCTCTTTAAATGCTCTCTAAAACAAGCTCATCAAAGCCCTCTTTTCCTCTGGTCCGAACCCTTGTTTCCTGAAGAACTTGTTTCCTGAAATTCCCGTTAGATGACCTCGATGACTTAAACTGATCAAGCCTGCTCCTAAGTAAGGTAGGTAAATACAACTCTCCAAAACCATCTCAACCAATCTCTCTTGCCCAAGAGTTTCTTCTTAGCTTAATGAGTCATAGGTCATGCATAATAACTTTTTCATCTTTTTTTTTTTTATAATAAATACAAACCAATACTAAGGAATGCAGCTGTTAACAATGGATCTGTCCATACAACCTGAGGTATTCATATAGGAACTCTTTTACCGTTATCTTGATAAAATTTTCCATGAAAAAAAAATTATAAATTAAAAATTGTCTACTAACTTTCCTTTCAGGTTACAACTGAAAGCGATGAGCAGCAACAAAAATGGCGTCCACTACTCGAAAGCAAAATGATACTCGCCATTGTTGTGGCCATTTGGTTTTCGACCTCGACTATGGCAATTCTGGAACCATGCCTACCCATTTGGCTGATTCAAAATCTACATCCGACCAAATGGCAATTGGGTACCGTCTTCATACCGGATTCTGTGGGTTATTTCATTGGTACAAATTTCTTCGGCACATTTGCCTATAAATACGGACAGGTGAAGATTTCCTGTATTGCTCTCTTGCTGGTGGGCATTTCTTCGATTTTGGTACGTATTCAACAGATAATGATGAGGACTGCAAGATTTGATTGCTGCCTATTATACTACGCAGATTCCAAGCGCCACAACGGTTAGTCAACTCTTCCTGCCACACTTCGGTTTGGGTCTGAGTATTGGTGTGATTGATGCGGCGCTAGTGCCGCTGTTAGCTACTTTTGTTGATGCCACTCTGGCGCAAGAGGAACAAAGCGATACTGGTGGCGGTAATTCCATGTCGAGTTATGGCACTGTCTATGCCATACAACAGACATCCGTTAGTTTGGCCTATTGTTTGGGTAAGTGAAATGTTTGCAGTAGTTCGAAGGACCATTGAGAAATTGTGATTTATTCACTTAGCTCCTTTGTTGGGTGGTGAGTTGGCGCAAACTTTTGGTTTCTCTTGGTTAATGCGTATTGTTGGTTTCTTCAATATTTGCTATGGACCCATTTTGGTTTATCTACATCAAAAATATAATCCCACGGTAAAACAAAGAATTAATTTATAAACGCTCTCAATCGGGTGTTTCAAATGCAAGCATTCTTCTTCTTTATCTTTTTCTTTTCGCTGTTCTGCGTTAATCAGAAATACCATATACCGTCAGGTTCTTCTTCACTTGGTCTTTCAACAGAGTGTAGGTCCGCCTCTTCCGCTGTTTCCACCGTCGGATACCGCATTGAAAATTTTTAAATCTGGAGTATGCTTATCTTTTCGGACCACATAACTTAACTAGCGTAGCCGAAATATTCGGTTTAAGGGTTGACTGAAATCTAAATGCAGCGTTTGTTCGCCTGAGAGGAGGCAGCGCGTAGGGGTCGGTCTTCAAACAAACGGCTCGTTAAATGACTATGTAAAGATTTAAACCTACTCGCCTGGCGAGGTTGTGCGATGAGTTTAGAACCCGCCACGTAGAAACCAACTCCAATGAAAAGGATTCCTGTCCTGCTATATGTTGCGGAGGCAAGGACGATGACAACATCTGATGAGTCGGCGTTAAGAGTTTTCGAGAGAAAGGCTTTGCGCGTTGGGAGTGGCAATTACCGCAGCCGGTGGATAAATTTTGAAAAAAAATAGTTATTTTCATGAAAAGAAAAGCCGACTTGTAATTGTTGTAATATACCTCAGTCTCTTTTTTTTTTGGTATTTGTGACATGCTTTCTTTGTCTTCGTGAACTTTTTATGATCTCATTTAGTGTTTTAGAAAATTTCGATCCTGGCAGAGATTCCTTGCCGTTTGCTCGCCCATATTTACGAGCAATGTCGGTTGTCGGCTTAGCTCTAGCTACGACTACAACTTAAAATACGTGACGACGGTGTTCTTAATTGAGATGAGTATCTAAGATCCAACCTACCTACTACAGACACAGACAAGGGACAGTTTTAGTTGTGAACTTACCCAACTAAAATTAGTTTCTCCCAATAACAGTGGCTCTCGTAATATAATATAAAGGGGGTTTTTTTGGAGCTGGTCTTTTTGACAACTTTTATTTGACTTATACCCAATTTGGTTTGCCATTTCATATTGAATAGACTAACTCCGGAACAACAACGCATTTCGCGCTGCGTCCACCATTCAGTCGACTTAATCGCCAAGCAGAGTCGGTAATACGAGCAACCAAGGATCTGTGATGTACATTCTCAGTGTCCTTCAAAGACGCTGCTGCTGCAGTTGGTTAGCCAATCGAAGAAGATCCAAATGTGCTCAGCGACACTCGATGAAACTCACTTTTGATTGGCTGTTAATGAACAAAATTGTCTCACTTGGAGTTGTGATAATCCACAAACCATTGTTCAGACACGGCTACAACCTCAAAAACCTGCTCTATAAGTAGAGGGAATCATTGATTCATATTTCTTCATAAATAAAGCCGGCACTAATGTTCCAGCCAATGATTGGAGGATGTAGATATGGACGACCTTTAGTTCCAACAAGACAGCCAACAAAACAATCATTTTATTGAAGGAAACTTTTGGTTTGCGACATGGTGGATCTGCGCCGTGGCCTTGAAGATCGTGCATTTTAACATCACTGAACCATATTTTGGTGGTTATATGAAGTTACTTGTCTTCGTACGTAGATAGCCCGAGGCGACTTCAGCCTTGTGAGAGAATATTCAGCGTATTTTCGCTGACCCACGGCTCCAGTTCCAGCCAAAATTGGTCGAACATTAGGCCTCTCAGCTGATATTTATACGAATCAGCTGCGGAGTTAATTTTTCAAAACATAATGGCAAACCCTTATAATAAAACTAAATTCTTGGCCATAAAATTAAATTATACGCGTTTAATTTCTTCTTGAAACCCAAGCGAGGGAGCGGGCCAAGCGATAAAAATATATTTCGGAAAGTCAAGTATAGAAAGAAGACTCCCTAGCAAAAAAAAATCCAAAAATTCAGTAAGCTCTGAGAAGCGAAATTGAAAATAGAAGAGAAAGCTTGCATTTGATCCACCCTATGGTGCACATTTACATACGTGTGTACATATATATTTACCATTTCCCCTTAGACTATCCGAGAAAAACATAACGAGTTACTGCTCAGGAACAGTGGACGTGACTCGCAGTATAAGCAGCTCTACAATTCGATTGACATGGAGTAGGAAAATTACTTTCGATTGGGATTGAATTTCATACTTTGTTAATTTGTTTAATTTAATTATAAAAACAAGTGTAAATAATTTCATAGATGTATTTGTAATTGCAATAAATATATTGTTAAAAATGTATGTATTTAAGTTAACTGCCATCTGGTTCCCATTTGTTACCCATTAAAATTCACCTGTGAAATTACATACATACATACATACACATTTCAATGATATCCTGTATGCCAACGTCGGCTATTAAAAAAATGTCATAAAAAATGTAAGAAACAAAAAAATTATATACACACATTTTTCGGCAACACGAATTCTACAAAAAAAAAATATTTCTTAATTTTTCTAAATTCTAAATTCTAAATTTCTCCCCACCGATTTCCTTTTGATATTGCAAAAACAGCGAAATGAGTAGGAAACCTATAGGTGAGTTTGGTGAATAATTGCTAATACAAACTCAATTATCGCTTAAATATTATACCGGTACATATTCGTCTTTAGGTCCCGGACCCGGTGCTTATATGCTGCCATCGAATGTCGGCTACGAAAACCATGACGCTCGCAAGCAACGTTTGCCAATGTACTCGTTTGGCGTGCGATCGTACAAGCACGAAAAGTTGATTGGTCCCGGACCGGGCGCCTATAAGGTGGATAATATGACACGTTATGGCATAAGTCAGGGCAATCAATTTACCATACAGGGCAGAACATATATGAAAGGTGCTTTGTATAATTTTTTTCTTTTTTTATCTTTTATGAAATTTACACATTCAAATTCCTCCACTTGTCGCTTATAGAAAAGAAATTCGGTCCAGGACCGGGTGCACATGATGTCCACCTGAAACCGTTCTTTAAAGGCACCGATGCGCCAGCTTATTCAATGTCTTGGCGGACGGCTTATAATTTCAAGAGTTCTACACCGGGTCCGAATGCATATGCCGTGGATGTGTCACCAATTAAACCGGGATTTCCAGCATACAGCATGTGAGTATTAAACTTTTGAGCTCGTGGTGGGACACATGGTAAATGACCTCTTGCATATTTTAGGGGCATGCGCTGTGGCATATCTGGCAAGGGTGGTTCCCCTGGTCCAGCTGCTTATGGTGCTGGAAATCTCGATGTAAAACTACCACGTAGCCCTGAGTATTCAATTGCCGGACGTAATCCGTACTCTTACAAACGCTTTGGCCCTGGTGCGAACTATTATAACCTCATGTATTATCGTCCTGGAAAGACGGGACAGGCGTACTCGTTTGGTATACGTCACAATGAGTTTGCACCGCCAATGGTTGTTAAGTGTGATAATATGTAATTGCAATATTAAGAAGAAATCTTTTATTTTTTAAGTTATTCACTATTCACTTTTTGGTACTTATTTTTAAGAAGAAAATTTATTTAAATTTTGAGAAAATATATGAAATTAATTATGAACCAATTTTATGTACATAATTGGCACTTTGTAATCGGCGCAGCGATTTTCGGCCGACCTCCTCCTACAGTTTTTGGTTTTGCGTCTTGATGTGCTTCCAACAAATGGAGGAACTTACAGTTTCTACTAAGCCGACTCCGAACGGCTGATGGTTTTTTATGAGGAGTTTTATTTTATGCCAGAAATGCACTCTGAGGGTTGACATTCCCTGCCGAGGGGCGACTGCAATTAGAAAATTTAACCTATTTTTTTTTATTTAAATTAATTTTCTATAACTTTTTGGATGCTAGAATGACACCACATTTGAACCCTAGCCCTCCAAATGGTAGAAGGCAATGCTTACCACTCGGCAACCGCAGCTGTTTGATGAACCGATGAGCCGAAACATTTGTCAGAAATTTTCACTGACTTTTTGGATGTTTGTTCGGCGCTATTTCGAAATTTCTTTACTGGCTAATTCCTTATTGACTGAACTGAGCTTTTGTAGTGCTCAATGGTGGTATATAGACCCTTTCAAAAGATACCAGGCGATTAAAAAAATCATCGATATCCAGGGTTATTTAATACCTTGAAGAAACGTGGATGATTTGCGTGTGAGAACTAGAACAGGAGATTTTTAGGGGTCATTTGAGGCCAATAGTCTAGTAATATTTTAAGCCAAACGAAACCTCCTTTCTTCATGTACTCTAACGCGACGTTTCTTTAATCCCTTTCTCGCTTGCCTGATGGTACGGGGTTTAGTTTCACACTTCTGTGACCTAGCTATAGCCGCGAATTTAAACCACCCCCTCCTCTTTTAATATTTTTTTTTTGCGGGTGAGGAGAAGAAAAATGCCTTCCGCATCATCATTGTGTCGTCACATCAATGGTATGTTTCACTAGTAGGTCACTTAAAAATTCTCGTCTAGGGAACCGTCGCCCACCCTGGAACCGCTTTCGCATTACTTCAGGATGACGTTCCATTTTTCTCATAGTGAGATTACATTTCGCCACCTGCTTTTTCGCTCGTAGTACTTTTTCTGCGAACTACGCTCCTAATTTCGTAAAAGTTCGTTTTTATCGATTATGAATTGATAGAACTTTACCATGTAGGTTTAACAATAATTTTTGTTAAGTATGCCAAAAATCCTTCACTTTCTCTTTACTCATTACACAACATAGTCTGTGATGCGAACAGCTGATCGTTCATTTGTTAAACACATCACAGAAGGTCTATGAAAACTTATACCGCACACGTAGTAAACCGCCACATATATGTATCGTGAAATAAACTTACAGCTAGAAGCAATTTCGCAAATAAGTTTTTTTATTGAGTACAAATCTTAAGCAGCATTTATATTTTACTAAATTAAATTTGATAATATCAAAATTAACCTCTTCACAAGTGTTTCTTCTACATATATATTTGTAAATTTTACATTTAAATGTCTATAAATCGACATCTATATCACCCTGTGATACGAATTGCATTCGCTATCAATTTTCATTACTTCATAAAAGCAAAAAATTAATTCCGTTAATTTTTGGCCAAAAATCGAACAAAACAACAAAAAAGTTAGCAAATAAGAGAAAAATAGTAAAATTACAAAATCTTTTTAGTGCAAAAAACGGTAAATACGTAATTTAGAAGCGCCAATGTGCATATTCTACAGAAAACGAAAATTATTTCTAACGAGAATAAAGTGGGTGGAGAATTGAGTTACAATTAAAGGATCGAAATACAAGAAAATCGTAATTAATTATATCATGGCAACGAATGCAAATGATAATAATGAGAAACAATTAAGCAAAGATGAGCAGGAAGGCCAATCTAACCAAGCTGATGCAAAAAATCCAAAAACTGTAACAACAACAGCAAGTACCAAAATCACAAATGTCGCCAAAAAGCATTCTAGTGAGAAATCAATGCAATCTCCTTGTGTGCAAGAAGACAAGTCGATGGCACCTGAATTATTAACATTACAATCGGGTACACCAATTGCACTGAAAACACCTACAACTGACGACGATATTGACAGAGAAGCAGAAAATCAGAAGGATCCTGGGCGAGGAGGTAACATTGGTCTTGCATCGCCTCCGGACAATCAATACTTTTTTGAAGATGAAGTTTTTCGAATTGATAAGAAGGGACATATCAAATTTGGACTTATAACTGAAACGGCTGAGACGTATTCCGCTGATGAAGATGAAGATTTTGAAGAAATGGTATTAAAAGGTGAAGTTCGAATAGCATGGTATCCTGAGGGTAAAGAGGAGGTGCATGTCGAATCGGCGGTAAGTTGATGTGTTAGTTTGTTGAGTGTGATGAGGTTATGTGTATGATATAGGTAGTGCTTCACAAGACCGTTATGTGAAAGCATTATAGAGAGAGTACCTAATCCAATTCCATACATTTTGTATAATTGAAACAACAATGTTTAACACGATTTAATGGTTGTAACATATTTTTATGCAATAACAATTTTCAGATTGGCTTAGCTGATCGTACACTAATGCCGGGTGATGTGGTACGACGTTTGGTACCAGGCAAAGATACCCAACGTGGGTATTGCCGCAATATTAGCTGCCACGCTGATGTCAAAGTTCTGGGCACAAAATATGTTATCAAAAACGTAATGACAGAACGTTTACGTCCTATAAATTGTTGGCAACGTGATAGCGCTGTTTGCCTAGACTCTTGGGTTGGCAGCACCAAGGATGTAGAGGAAAAAGCGGTGTTGAAGTAATTTCATTCAGTTTATGAAAAATGCATACATTTTTACTTTTCATATTTTTTTAGATCAACTGCGGGTACAAGAATTGAAATTACGTGCCAAAATTTCTATGGTTTTACGGATTACTATTCGCGCGATTCTCAAGGTATTTTCAACCCTCATGTTTTCTTTCCTGGCAACGTAATAATAGGACGTTTACAATCGTTGGATAATGTTAAGTTGTTAACACCTAATATACCGATACATAAAAACAAAAAAGGCAAACCCTTGAGAGGAAAGGTGAGTAGAGAGAATACATATTTTTCTATATAAAATTTTTTTACATAATTCGAAAAATTCATCCATCTGTTCTATAGTATACGATTGAATCTGTTGAAACTGATTCGGTGTGGGTACATTGGCAATGTAAGGCTCTGTCTGAGGAAAGCTCCATCGACACTTGCATCTTAGAACAGCCGAATCCTTGTGTCAGCGGCGAAGACCTGAAGCGGTTAAAGCGTTTAAATCTCTTTGAATCATGTATGCTACAAATAAGCGACCGTAACTACCTGAAATTTTCGAACTTGGATAGTTATATTAAAAAATCACAGTGGGAAAAAGAGCAAGGTGAGACCTAAATGCTTTTATATAAATATTTTATAATATATAATAAAATTTTACAGCTAGCAAATTTAAATTGATACTTGAACAAATTCAAAAAAATGAAATGCAGACCGGTAAGAATTCCAGTTCAGGCAACGAAAGCTTTACAAATTTATATAATAGTAATCATGCCGAAAGAACTAGAAAGAAGTCTAGCTTGATTGACGTCGATGCGAAAATGGTTAAACCTAAAAAGTCTACACTGAAAACAGAAAAGCTAAGCACTGCTAGTAAAGAAAAAAGCACAAATGAAGCATCACCCGAGAACACCGCTTCCAACGTCTTGCCGGCGAGAAAATCATCAAAGTCAAGTGGCGATACCGAATGGGTGACAGACGACGAAGATGAGGATGATGATGATGATGTTTATTCCAACGATGATTTCTTTGCGGATCGTGTCAGCACCACAACCTGTTCAAGCCCCTCGCCGCATCAAAGTCCAAAACACAGCAAACGACATCTTTTGAAAAAGAAAAGCAAAACAACTAATAAACCTTCGCCATTACTATTACCCGAGTTCCAGCCAAAAGAAGGCGATGAATTGGTGACTGAAACTTTGCTGGTATACAGCACTGCCACAGTTGTTTGGCAGGATGGCACCGTGGAAGCCGGCATACCGGCGACACAATTGTACCCCATACATCATTTAGATAATCATGTATGTTGGAAGAATGTAGTTTTTACTGAATATATTTAAAATGATCAATTTGCTAGGAATTCTTCCCCGGAGATTTCGTTGTGTCCGGCAAAGAAGAAGGCGATATAACGTATCGTGACTATGGCGTGGTACAAACGGTCGATCATCAGGGGCGTATAGCGCGAGTTAAATGGTTTACCACTTATACATCCGCAGATGAACCAAAGTGTGTAGACATTTGTAAGAAATTTGTCACAAACGTTAATATTCAAGTTTGTATTTTTCCTTGCAGACCCACATATAATGGTGAAACAGAAGTTAGTGTTTATGATTTGAAAGATCACCCGGATTTTCAGTATCGTCCTGGTACTATGGTTATACGTGTTGCGAATTTCTCGGGCGAAGATGCTGTTTGCACGGCTGGACAAGTTATCGATAATTACATAGATGGTCGTGCGAAAGTGTGGTGGGTGGACGGACACATCAGTATGTGTTGGCCGCAGGATTTGTTTGAAGTTGGTCAGTATGATCACGCTGATTGGGGGCATGAATCCGACGATTCATGGGAAACCGAATCGGAGAATAGCGAGTTGGGTGGCAGTACACCAGTGATAGCGCTGGAAGAGTCTCATATAATAACGAATATTGAGCGTACGCGTGTAGCTATCGCCCGTCTGGAAGAGATTTTCAATATAAGTCCTAATTTACAAAATGCTGAAGTAATTATTATTGATATTAGTTGGTTGATATATTATATAAGAAACTAATTTTCAAATTGCACGCTTTTTATGATTAGGTAATGAAAAACTTGTTAAATGTTTACAAAGGTTGTCGATACCTGGATCGTTTATTGAACACCAGCTTCTTTCATGAAGATAACTTTCAGGTAATTTTTTTTTTTATAAAAGATTGAAAAATGTATTGAATGTTAAAACTATGCATTTAAGGGTCTAATTGAGCGTGTACGTAAAGGCGGTACACAATCGATTTCGGAACGTGCGCAAGATCGAAAAAATCGTCTCTTTAGTTACGTCCACGCTGCATCACCTAATACTAAGCAGCAACAACAACAGCAGCAGCAGCAGCAGCTTAGTCAACCGATCTCTATGCGTGGACAAAGGCAACAGCATTCCCACTATTATGCAGTTGCTTCATTGGATAGCGCACAGAAGACGCCAAAAGCAGCAACTTCTAACGAAGGCACGAACGATAGCACTAAATCGAAAGAGTATGCACCGAAAATACTCTTCAATATCTCGCCCACGCCTTTTAAGTCCCCTTCATCTCTTGTTAATGTTCCTGGCTCGAGCGCTACTTATTCAGCTAGCGGCGCAGCAGCCTCTGTAGCTTTGCCTGCACTCAAGCTAAAATCTGCCACATCAATTTCTACGGTAACCTTAGCACCATCAGCACATAATGTGGCAGTTAAAAGCGTCAGTAAGACAACAGCGATCTCAAATGAAACTGCAGCAGCAGCAACTGGCCAAGAGGATAGCAACACGCAGAGCGTTCCTGATGGTAAAGCTATGATGGCGACACGCGCTGGTGCCAGTAACTCTTTAGCGCATCAACAGAGTATGTTTGCACAGAATAATCAATTGCTCAACTCGGCCATGATGAATATTGAAAGAGCCTTTGAAAAAACGTGTCAATTAAAATCTGTAATTGCAACATCGCAGGTAAATGCGCTTGCTTTAATACATTTTCATTATGTTTCGAATGTTTTGAATTGAATTTTTTTTTTTTTTTTTTTTGATAATTTTCATGCAGGATGATTCCGGCAATTATTCGCGCAATGAAAATTGTGATGGCAGCTCGACTAGCCACGCCAGCTATTCCGATCTCACTACTGGTGATGTTAATAGTTCAACGAAGGTTATCGATGATCAAAAATCCGTCTCTTGCAGTAGCATTGAATTCAATGAAGACACAGCACCAGAAATGGATTGTGTACGCTTGTGTGCATTGTTGAAAGAACAATTAGTTAAATGTATACAACAAATACGGGAAAAATATTACAAAGGTGAAAATCTCAATTTGAGTGAAGTCTTCAATTTTGATGGCCTTGCGGAGGAAACGAAAAAGTTAGAACAACTGAATGCTCAAGAAGAAAAACCAACTGCAGAGCAGGCGGTTAAAACTCCCACAACAAGTGACGAAAAACAACCGGTAACGGACGAAGCAGTAGCAAGAGTTGAAACGAATGAAGAAACAGCATCGAAATCGCACGCATCTGTTGTCAGTACGCCAATCGAGTCGAATGTGTCACTAAGTGCGCCAACGGAATATTTCCAAGTGTTACCGACGGCGCCAGCTGGACACAAGTTTCAGTTGACAATTTTCCATCCGAACAATACCCAGCAGTATTATAAGGCAGTGCAGCGTGAGCATCGCATGTTGAAGAGCTCGCTACCACCCGGCGTTTGGGTTAAGTAAGGGGTACTTTCGATACAGTTATTATTTTAAACTATTTTTTTGTTTTTTTTTTTTACTTTATATTCAAAGAGTTTTCGAAGACCGAATGGATTTGCTGAGCGTCATGATTGAAGGACCTAAAAAGACACCATACGAAGATGGTTTATTCTTTTTCGATATACAACTTGGTCGTGATTATCCAAAGAGTCCGCCTCAATGTAGCTATATTAGTTATTGTTCGGATCGTTTAAATCCGAATCTCTACGAAGATGGTAAAGTCTGTGTATCTCTATTGGGCACATGGGCCGGCCGCGACTCGGAAGTATGGGGCCCCAACAGTACTCTACTACAGGTTATTGTATCCATACAGGGTCTTATATTAGTACCTGAACCATATTTCAATGAAGCGGGCTATGAGAAGCAAAAAGGTGTGTGTGTGTCTGTGTGTGTATACAAAAGTTTTTATTTGAAATTGTAACAAAATAAATATTTCAATTAATATAGGCACCCAACAAGGTAGCGAAAATTCACGTATGTACAATGAAATGGTCATTATAAAAATGGTGCAATCCTCAACGAAACTGCTACAGCAGCCGCCGGAACTTTTCCGACATGAAATACACGAACACTGGAAAGTGTATGGCTTTCCTATGTACGAACGTATTAAAGGTTGGATGGAGTTATCCAAATTAATGCCAAATAAACCAATCGAAGAGGCTACAACGCAAAGTGCAACAGCAGCAGCAGCAGCAGCGTTGCAAGATGCAGCACAGCAAGCGACTGTTGGTAGGTGTACAAAAGGAAGCATAGAAAAAAAATAAAATAAAAATTAAAATTAAATAATAAATAATAATTTCTTGTCATTTCCAGTGAATACCGAGTGTAATGCTGAAGTTAATTACACGCCACCCGATTTTCCACTTGTACCTGCAAGCCGTGGCTTTTGTTTATCATTAGCTGGCCTCTTAGATATATTCAAAACGAAATTAATTACGCTAAATGCGATTGGCAAATAACAAACTCACAAAGGCAAAGCGAACAAGTGAGGGCGTGGAACACCAAAGCAACAAAAATTTTTGTGTTCCGCATTCAATTTGTTATAGCTTTAGATTTAATAGAAATGTTTTTGGAAATTGCATAAATGAAGCTAAATATTGTATTTATTATTATTTTTATTTCTTTAAAAATATATTGCAATTTTTTATGGCGTCCACTCGATGTGTAATGTACGAAAAGGAAAAAAAAGAAAGTTGCTGTCGAAATCGCCTTAGCGCATTGTCAATTCGATTTTTACACGAAAACTTATATAAATATGCTTCTGTACATATACAGCTGTGCGTTTGCAAACAATTCCAAGTAATTTGTATTATGGCAAAGTATTAAAATGATAAATTTAAATGCTACTTTGTATATATAAATATATTATATTTTGTTACACTTCCTAATTAGTATGATTATGTTTAATTGTAATTATTTTTTTTTTCGCTTATCTAAATTATTATCCAATCTGTAATAATACTCACAAAACGCTGCGAATATTAAAAGCGAATTGTCGTAGAAAGAAAAGTTTTTTTTTCTACAATGAAATTTTTGAATCTCAAAAAAAAAAGGCTAAATTTACAAAAAAAAAAAAAAGTAATTATGTTAACTAGGCAATCATAATAGAAATTAATTTTAATATGCATATACGTTTGTATTAAGTTTAATTTGTTGTGCAAAAAAAAATGAAGTGAGAATAAATATAAGTACGATAGAATTGGCATGTTTAAATTTAATTTGTTTATTATATATATATATTGTGTGTGTATACGAGTATTGAAAACATATATTAAAGTGCTGCATGCTACGAGAAATTAGTGAAATTTATTTATTTATAATTTATATTAGATTTATTATAGATTATTTAATTACTTATTTAAAATTTTGATTAGATTTATTTAATTATTTATTTATTTATTTATTTAATTATTTATTTAATTATTTATTTATTTATTTATTTATTGCACTGAAAAACTCGCTTGTGAACTTTATTTGAAATTGTTTATTTATATTAAATTATTTATTTTGTATGTTAATAGCTTTACGTGCGTCTTATATGGTCTGTTATACAATTATGTTTAATTAAATATTTAAAATCATTTTTTATTAGCACCTAGTGTCTGAGTATGCTATAAGTTATTGCCGTAATTATGTCTTAATTTATTAATTTCTTCATGAAATGTATGGCTAAATGTGATTTTTTGCTTATGATTATTTTTAAATTCGAATTTCATGCTTTTGAATGCTTTAATTTTTACAAAACTTCTTTTGTTAAATTCATTATGTATTTATTGAACTTATGATGAGCTCTTAATTTATGTTAAAACTCGCTCTCAAACATTAATTCAACTTTTTTCTGTTTTTTTTTTTTTTTTGCTTTTAATTATCGTGTTCTTTTTTCGTCACTATAACATATATATAATTATTATTTTAGCCAAAGAAAGAGATGAAAACATAAATTACTAGTAGATATTTCTAAAATTATAAGAAATTTGTAAGCGAATTGTAAGCCTTTCGATTTTTCGTAAACCAAAAGGCAATTCTAACCTAAAATACTTATAAAAGTTAAGAAAATATGTTTATACAACTACTAATCGTTTGCCGCTACTAAAATAACCAAAAAAATTTTAATAATACTAGTGTAAAAGTAATAATTTGCAATTAGCAAACGAAAAGCTCTAAGAAAATCAATCATCAACATAAAGCCATGAGAGAAAAATATACCAAAGAACGTTGCCTTCCGCAAAATTTGTAACGAAAAACTCAATGCAAAACGAAATCGAAGCGAACTCTAACCAAATAATTTAAATGAAGAAATAGCGAAATACAATATTTCTTAGCATATGCATGAAAATATGCGCTCAAACTAGAATGTCCGCTAGTTAAATAATTAATTAACGAAATAAAAAAAAACACACACGCAAACTACAAAATAATTAATTAAAAAGAAAAGCAATGTAAATTAATTAGAATAAATGAAAAAAAAAACGGTTTGTAAACTTACAACACTGCAGGCATTGTCCAGCCTGACGCTAGAAACTTGAATTCAAACAAAATATTGTTCAAAAAGTATTTCATTTATTTATTTTCCTTAGCTATATTTGAAAATAAAAAGAAACAAATAAATACACATACAAAAATATTTTTTTTTCGTCAAACAATAATATATTGTTTTAATACACAAACAAAAAGCACTAACAAATATTTATTACACACATTTCAACAAATGCCAATTAAAATAAATAACATATACGAGTATATACATACATATCGCACACTAAATAGAAAAACGTCACAACTCGAGATTTTTCAAAATCATTTTTTTTCACCTTTTTTCAAGGCAAATTTACACACGGTAGTAGCAAGTATACAAAAACAAAAAGCCTGTGCATTTTGTTTGTGTAATCATTGTTTCGAAAAGTCAAAAACGAAAATCGTTCAATGCATTTTGTTTGTGTAAACGAACGTTCGAAATGCCAAAACCTATTTCCCATGTATTTTGTTTGTGTAATTTTGTGAAATGAAAGGAAGAACAAGGATGTGACAACTTCACCTTCTATAAATTCGCCTTGCCTTTAATGAAAATGGAGTGGAGTATTGACTTTGTTCTGAAGTGTGTAAGTAGCGGAGAAGAGGAAGAGGAAGAGAGAGAGAGAGACCCGCCAACCTTTTCCACTTCCTCACTACACGGCACTTACATCTAACGGTTGATGCGGGTTGCGGTACATTTTCAATAGACTTTTTTGACAGCTCACGCGTTGTTTTTGTTTCAGTATTATTTAGCATTTCATCATTGGCTTACGCCCAAACAACGTTTACAAATCATTGAACTTTATTACGAAAATTCACGCTCTGTAAAGAATGTCTTTCGCGCGCTTCGCTCAACTTATGGCAAACATAATCGGCCTACTGAGCGTACTATTCGCAATGTCATCACCCATCTTGAGGCCCAGCATTCATGCACGCAGCGGCCGTAGCCGAGAGTGTACACCAAGACTGTGGATAGTCGATTCGGCGCCGTACCCAGCAACCCGGGTTGACGTATATAATGACTCGGTTCATTTTACGTCGAGATCTTAAATTGAAAGCGTACAAAATACAAAAGCTTATACAAGAACTGAAGCCGCTGGATCTTCTTAAGCAACATCGCTTCGCTCTCTAAGCTCTTGAAAAGTTGAAGGAACATCCGCCGTTTTCCAGCGAAATTTTATTCAGCATTGAAGCTCATTTCTGGCTCAAAGGTTATCTAAGCAAGCATTTGGGCGAAGAGCAACCTGAAGAGATTCAAGAGCTATCATTTCCTCCAGAAAAAACAACGTTTGGTGATGTAGTGTGTCAGGCGGTGGAATCATCGGTGCACATTTCTGCAAAATTGGTGCCGGTGAGAACGTAATCTTCAATGGCGCTCATTCTCTCTCCATGATAGCCGATTGTTAGAGGCCTGAAGTTGATGCTCGTGATATCGACGACATTTGGTTTAAACAAAAAGGCGCCACTTCCCACACATCGCATCAATCAATGGATTTATTGAGAGAAAACTTCGGTGAACAGATTATTTCGATTGGCCGCAAAAATCGTGTGATATCCAACCGTTCGACTTTTTCCTGTGGGATATGTAAAATCTAAAGTCCACACATATCATTCGCCAGTTACCAGTCGAAATACTCGAAGGAGTCATCGAAAATTGAGCTCAACAGATGGATCTATTAAATTTGAATTTTCTATGTGGGCAAGCACGAAGGGATCGTCGTTTACAAACTTTTCCCACCAGCTGTCTAAGGAAGTACGGGCTAACACCTGCAAGTTAGGGGTTAATGAGTTCGTGTTAAGACATGCCTGACGTAAGAATCGACTAAAGTCCTAAAGTTCCCGGTACTGTCGGGACCGGAATTTTTATCCGACTAAAGACTGTCACTCCGCAAACAACAAACAACGCAATTGGCTTGCAGGTCGAGAATTAGGCAGTGTGATGCAAATGAAGAACTTACAACACCGACCCGAAAATTGTGACAAGAAACCTAAAGTTAAGGAACATAATGTTGTGCTCTGTAAGCAATATTCCCCAAGGCAGCATGCATATCAGGCTTTTCTGTGTATTAGACTATACCGACTCCATATAACAACAAGCACCATAAGGAATAACTGTTGGACAGGCCTTAAACACCTTCCAACGAGAGTCCGTTAACACCTTGAACCTTGAACCTTCTTCCTTTGAATGACATTCTCGGAATTCAAGCATCACATATTGCAGATTAATAACTAGAGCTGCCTCGAGAGAACCGAGTAATACGGGCACAATTAAGATCCGGCAATTGCAGTTGACTTAATCCCTACCTTTGCAGGCGTGATACCCGCATACCCATAGTATGCCTGAAATAAGACCCAACAGTGCACTAACCACCTTTATGCTTGCCCTCTAAATCCAACTCGTCCTTCCCTCTGGTCCGCATCCGTCGATACAGCCCATTTTTTGGACATCACCCCCCATTTAAATGACCACGATGACTTAGACTAGTCGCGCCTGTTCTTAAGCGGAATTGGTAAACCGCTAAAACAACATCAACAAACGCAAACTAGTCTCTCTAAAATATTCTTACTGGTTTCCCCAAAAGCCAATTCACACAAAACTTTTAATCAACTGTTTCTGCCCCTCCCGAACATATGAGATTTTTTGAGTTGTGTTGCTTTTTCAGTTAGTGTGCGTTATGCACAAACTGTGTTAATCTTCCAAGTTATTCCTAATCCAATCAATATAATTTGTAACACGCGTATAGATACCCGGCCATGACGCCATACCACACGGTTGCATACCGAATGACACAATACCCACCACATAGTAGGGATCATTCATATTACGTCCACGCAGTGTCAACGGCGCGCCCGAATCACCTTGACATGTGTCTTGCTGCGCTTGTCCGCCTGCGCACATTTGCAGTCTCTTATCAACCGATATACCAATAGTTTTAAAACGGCTCGCACATGCATCCGTGTTCCAAATCCCCAACGAAATGGTCTGCTTCACCGTGCTGTACGGGCTAATCTCGGTGCGTCCCCAACCTGCCACATCAGCGTATTCTTTTTCGAAGGTCATTTGTCGCAGAACCGGATTGATTGGCAGACAAATGGGACGAATCGTATCCGAATAGTTTACACTCTCAGCCATACGTAGTAGAGCAATGTCGTAGAATTCCGATTGTGAATGTGGAATGTATTTTTCGTGTATAATTATACGTTCGATCTTCACTTCCACATATGGATCGACACATCTGCCCTTGCCGTCGGCGCTTGGAAAACAATCGGGATCTGTGCTGATGTCCCATTCGCCGAGGCGAATGCTATCCAGTTTCCATGTGGTCGGTATGCTAGGATTTCGTAGACAGTGTGCAGCGCTGAGTACGTAACGTTGATTGATCAGCACGCCAGCGCAGTTAAGGGCCGAAGCGTTGTATGCTGTGAGGATGAATGGAGAACAGAAAGAAATCAAATATAATTGAGAGCTGCAACAAAAGAAATTGTAGTGGTTAAGAAAACATTTTGTGGGGAAAGGAAAAAGACAACACCTAAAGAACTTTCATTCAAAAAATGAGACTGCAGATCACCTGTCATTCTACAGAAGTTTTAATATAATCGAAAAGTTCGTATACGCCCGAGCATAGAAAGATAAGATGTGAGGCTTTCGACTCTGAGCTCTTACTCAACGGCAGGTGGCTGGAAAATATATCAGACACTTTTACATCACTTCATGATGTGACCATTGAATCCACGCTCGAAACTGGGTGAAGTATTAATACTACTAAAAACTGGGAAACCCATCGACCGAACTCCAATATTGAAGACACTAAAAGTCCGGCTGTCTCCATTTTTCACCCACCCTCTGGGTCTAACATGACATGGGCAAAGCTTACACAAAACGAACAGAACCACAATAAACGCCATACACATAACCAAATAACTCAGGATCTCAACCAAATCCGCCCATGAGCTGTCCTTATGGCACTAGACTTCTCGAAATTTTTCGACACAACTAGGCAATGCTCCTAATTACCGCCGTAGTTGAAGTGAGCGACCACAAGTTATCTGAATGGTTGACAATTATCGGTAGAATCTCAAGCTGAAACCTCTGAACTCAGAAATGTTAAACGAGATTTTCCACGCGGTGCTATTCGCTTTTGTCCATTGTTGTTGTTCTACACCAGAAAATTTCTCACCGTCTATACTTGATATTGATAACCTCTGTTCGAAGTGAACGATCACACCCGAGATCTACAGTGATCTTTTCTGGAAGAAATAGCAGCTAGATCCGTATGTGTTTCTCTTCACCTAAGACCGCGATTGTCGCTAAGAAGAGACACTTCTGACCACTCCTGAACGTCGTTCATATAGGTTAGTTTAGTTTGAGCTGACTTGCACATTGGAACTCACACAAATGATAGTATTTATCTATAGTGTTACCAGACCAAGCTGCACTGCTACACTCCCACTGTGTCTCTGGTGTGAAGAACATTGCTGTTATTTTCACAAATTGTGGTAGTCGATCTGGTTCCTTGGCTATTGCCGATTGAAGTTCTTGTAGCCTTTCTGCGTCAAGTCTGTCGAAAGCTGGACACTCACAGATTACGTGCCCCACTGTCTTCAAGCATTCTTTACTGTTCCTGCACTGTTTGTCTCTAATCAAACCTATATTAAAAGCAAGCGACGCTAAAAGGCTATGCCCGGTTAATAGTTCTATCAGCAGCTTGGATCAGGCTTCTTTACAGATAGTATCATATATACTTGTAAGTTTATTATGGAGCCATTACCGCGTATCCAGAGCATATTCGCTGGACGAAGTAGAATTACTTCATGTTTTTGTTTCACTTCCCTGAATGTAAATGGAAGGCTCATTACTACGTTATGTTCTGGCTATGGAGGGTTGCCAGTTCGTCAACTTTCTCTTTATCTTCAATGCCCTAGTAATTATGAACTTTTCTGTTTTCAGACAGTATTTGAATCGCCCCTTTTCGTAGTGCGACCACAGCCGACTTCGCGCTGTTTGAAATTAAGGACTTCATGACATCTTGGCTGTATCCTCTTCCTTTGAAAGCCCGCGCTCTGCAGTAGCTCTGCAGCCATTTCTATAGCAAATATTTGAGCTTGGAAGTTATTGGATGAGTGCATAAGTTCGTGCCCGATTTCAAGTGCAAGCTAAAATTGAAATTTTTTGAAGAAAGCGCTTTTATTAATCAATTATGTATTCGCCATCATGTTCAGCAATCCACTCCCAACGTTAAACCAATTTACGGATGCCTGATTCATAGAAATCGCCCGGTTTCTCGTTGAAAAAGGTGTCAAGGTGGTTTTTGACGTCTTTTTTAAATTTTTTTCCATTTAAATTGTTCTGCAGCGATCGAAACAAATGATAATCAGAAGGTGCAATGTCGGGTGAATATGGGGGATGCGACATGATTTCCAAATTCATCTCCTTCAGTTTGGCCAGGGCCAATACTTCAATATTTATACGAATTTCTTATATTTAGTTGGGTGCAGTGACCTTCATTCATTTTAAAACCGTCTATAAAAACACGAAGAGCTTTGTCTGCGTATTTTAGATCTTTGCTATAGCCGTTCGCTAACAAAGAACTTCCTGCAAGTAATCTATTCCTAAGTAAGCCCCGACTTTCAGCTGCCTGGAGGCATATAACCTCGCAGAGAAAGCATATAATTGATGTCACGCTGCATATGGTGTCGTTTTGAGTATCCGCGTGATGTTGGTCAATGAGAGTCTGATGGCCCTTTCCAGCCAATCCAATCAACATTTTGAATGCCTCTCTCACTGTGACACCCACGCGCAAGCGTTACAATTTCTGCTACCCCAACAGACATCTACTAGCGACTGAATCTTCTCCCAGGCTCATCAGAAAGGGAGTACTAGACATGAGGGACCCAATCCTGCAACATGTGCAAAACTAAGCGCCATTCACCATGAGTCAGTCAACACCTTTAAAAACTCTTCCTGTGAATGGTATCCTCGGGGTCACCATATCACCACCCATAATAAATGAAGAGCTCGAGCTGCCTCGAGTGTTCCACGCAATACTTGGGCAATTTAGGTCTGGATATTGTAGCAGGTTAAACTCCTACGTATCCAGACTCGACCCTGACTTACCTAATGTATATCCAGCACGACTTTAACCAACCACCTCTTTACATTTCCCTCTCCCTTTGGTCTGAATCCGTGAAATCAGCACGTTTCCTGAACCTTCCGTTAGATGACTTCAGTGACTTGGATTAACTAGCCTGTCCCTATGCGGGATTGTAGAACTCGCTACAACAACAACAACAACTATGTATCCTGTTTCGAAAACGCTAAACTGAATATATGTTCAGCAAGCTATGATTGCCTGCACGACTCTAACCTGATCTTTCCAAGTCCACCTTCACCGATTGATCCAACACCGCTCTCACTTTCATCGGAAGCCGTCGGTGACATCTACTAGTTTTGCCCGCTCCTAAATAAGAATAACGAGTTGCTACAACAACAACAGTATTCTCTTGGCAACAACGGGACTGTCATTATGTCTATTTATTCTGAACCGTTTTCAGCATCTATTGCAACCCCAGTTGCTGTCTTAAGAGTTATTATTCTCGATAAAGTTTGGAATGGGACTTCCACGCTTTGAATAGTTACACAGATTTCTGAGGCCACAAAGCTTAAATGGACATCTACTAATTAATTCAGTAGCATCCGGGCTAGGATAACTACTCAAGTTCTGAGTCTAACGCTAATAGGTTAGGGATCACATTTGAGGATATAAGAGCACAAAAGAGCCAACTCACGTCTACGATACTTTATCAACGCCGACCATGGAAACTCGTCCACCGATGAATCAACGCCACCAAAGATACGTGTGTTAAATGTCACGCCACACGAGCCTTCCACTGGCAAAATCTTTCCTGAATATGGATCATTATTCTTAACATTCGGATTATCGCCACAACAAACCTGAAATAAAGCAACAAAAGTTGTATCTAAAGAAGCGCGCTTAAATATTTCTTCACTTACGCGATTTTTCGCCAGCGCCGTCGTTCCATTGACATCAGATCCACAAAAGCTGCGACGCAAATATTCTATCTGCGCCTCACTCGGAGCCGCACTTAAGATTAAGTCATAAAGTGATTTGCAATCGGCTAGGGGCACACAGTGACCAGCTAATCCACTTGGTGTTTGGCATACGCCAAAGCTAATGAGAACTGGAATGAAAATACTTTTCTTATTGCTTACAAAAAATATTTATTATTAGTCTTTGATCATAAATAACTCAGACTAAGAAACGAAAACGTTTAACTGATGAGTGGGTTGTATAAACCCCAGCTAGTTAGAAAACGTTTGAGATCTTTATATGAAAAAAACTTCAGAAAGCTCAAAAGTTTATTGCTCAAATTTGTATATAAACGAATTTAAAATTATCAAATCAACAAATAAATTTTTGTACAAGTATATACTGCAAAACCAGATTCCATATTAATATTTGATATCAGTGATTCGATAATATATTCCGAGATGAATGAGTCGAATATCGATATATGATTTTCCTAAATTTTAAATATAATTTACGTTTCTTGTTTTAGTTTTTTTTCATTTAATTTTTATTCATATTATTTATTTTATTTTATTTTATTTTATTTTATTTTATTTTATTTTATTTATTTTATTTTATTTTATTTTATTTTATTTTATTTTATTTTATTTTATATTATTTTATTTTATATTATTTCTTTATTATTTCTTTTATAATATATTATATATATATATTTTTAGCTTTACTTATTTTATTTTATTTTAAAGCTGTCTGTGATATTCGCCGTTTCCAGGACCGACTCATCAGATGTCGACATCGACCACAATTCCGCACCTTATAGTAGAACAGGAATAGAGGGAAATGTAGAGTTTGGTTTTGGTTCGCTGACACTTATAACCTTATGACAACAACAGTGACTTAGGAGCCAAAACGCAAGTGATTAGGAGATATTTCTCAAGGCTCGGGGAGGTTCTTCCCTATCCAGCTGGAGTATCCGGTATTGCTTAACGTCTGTTTACACAGACTCTTAAGACAAAATGACGTGGATGCAGCTCTATACTGTGCGGTCGATGACAGCTTTAAAATCAATGAGAAGGTGGAGAGTATCGATTTTTTCCCCACAAGCCTTTTCCAGGATTTACCACTCTGATAAGTCCCAAACCGTTTGCAGACATTTTCTGCACGGATATTATGGATTGGGATGAACAAACTAAGGCTTCAATCATCAATGATTTGTGTACTTTGCCAAATCTGCACTTTGAATGACTCTGCCAGTAAACCATCGGCTCCAGCCGCTTTGTTCATCTTCAAGCGGGTGATCCCTATTTTATTTGTTTTTTTTTTAGTTTACCTACTTTATTTTATGTTATTCCCAAAGTAAACGGATCGGTTGACTATTATCATTTATTTTTTTTATTTTTTTTCGAAACTTTTGTAAAAGTATGAATACATTGGCAAAGCAGTTGAACTAGTATTTAGATGGAATACGCTTATCAACGCATTTGTAAAACCTCTAATGCCAATAATGTTTATATCTACACATATATTTATATGTAAGTATACGAGGTGTGGTCCAACAATAGCGAGACTTTTATTTACTTTGTATAAAATATTTCTTTGTTGCTATAACCACAAAAATATTCCCCAAAGTACTTTTCGGGGGATGTTGCGGGAGTCACAGTCCTTTGCTGGGTAAAAATCCAGGTCGTTCCGGTATAAAGACCCGACTGTCGCGGGAACTATTGGACTTAAGTCGCCTCTTACGACAGGCATGACATACCGCCCAGCACGCAGGGGTGTATCCAATGATGTCGTCACTTTCAAAAAAGTCTTCATTAGAGGTTAGTGAAATATGCGAGCGCTTTAAGTAACAATCTGAAAACATCTCCCGTCCTCGATCTTTGATCTGACGTTAAGGTACACTTCATTTTTTGAAATAGAAAAAAGTCACACGGACCAATGTTTGACACATATGATGCTGAGGTTTTGTTTTTCGAAAAAGTATAATGTGTCAGTAGGTGCATTATTGACGATGCAAAAGCCATAAAGTCTGTTTCCATAAACCTGGTAGTTCTTCCGGTCTTTTGGTTTGTGGGTACTCCTTTTTGGCTTGGCATGGCTGATGGCTGTTGTCATAGAAATCGAAGAACATAGTGAGATTATTTTTCGCCCGCATTTGACGAACCTTTTCAGATCAGTCAAGCCAGAATGCCTTCACTACGTTGATTGAGCCTTAGTCTACACGTCCGCATCCGTAAACTCGTGATTAGACACCAGCGTAATGATAGTTGACTACCCTTAGTGACTCCTGAACAGCTTCCATTTCGTTAAAGTTCAAACATTTTGGAACAAGTTTTGCTGTGTTTCATGCCCAAATCATGTCATGGCATAACCCAATCTTTGTGCCAACATCAGCAGCAACTTTTCTAATTGTGATTCGGCGATAGTTCAAATTAATTTCTCTCACTTTTTTCACGATTTCATCGATTGTAGACGGGCTTAAGGGCTTCATGCCCTTCTTAGATATGCTTTTACCACACATAAACGCTTGCTCTACACATAAAAAACTTAACTTTGTTAACAATTCCCACAGAATCTGATGCAAATTCTTGAAACCACCTTTATTTTTCTACAAACGAAAATCACTGAGCTCATCGAAACTTGCCCAGCCTCTGTGGCTGTCAGTACAAAATATATTATAGGCACTTTGTGGTCGCTGAAGCGATTTCTCTGCCAAGCTTCTCCGCCAATTTGAGGCGTCTAGATCCTTTCCCCAACAAATGGAGGAACCTACAGTTTATACTAAGCCACCTCCGCTCCAGGCCGCTTCAATCTCATGCCAGAAATACACTCGCAGAGCTTGAGATTTGCTGCCGAGCGGCGATGGCGATTGGAAGAATTTGTTTTCTATAATTTTGGATCTTGGTCGGACCAGAACTCAAACCCAACCAAAACAAACGGGACTCGCCAAGCTCGCGAATACTAAAAATTCTCGTTATCTTTTGAACACACCTCGTATGTTTATATATAAACAGATGCAAACCAATATGTAAATGCAAGAGAGACACGGTTTTTGTTTTGGTTTTTTTTTTGTTTTTGTTTTTTTTTTTTGCGAAAATTCATTAACAATGTAGTTTAACTGGATACCGCTTACCAGCATTTACAGCCAACACGTAAAAGCCTACGCCGAGAACCAAACAAACTCCGACGATCCGAAACATTACGCAACACGGCCGAAAGAACGCAAATCTTTTGTTTATTTACAAAAATCCGATTTCACTTAAATTTATTCCATTTAATTTGTAGATATTGTATATATGTATATGCATATGTGAGTATATTGTATTTGTTGATATGTAAATACACTGTCATGAGATTAATCATTAACTTAAATTCCAATTTGTTTGACGATAATCAAAGACTCCGCGAATTGAAAGCGCTCAACAACAACACCGTCGGCAGTTGTAAATGCCAAACCGGTCAAACTTAGACTGATTATTGCTCAGTGAAGTCATGTTTAGCGAAGCCCAACTTGGTTATGCTTCTGCATTTGTTTATTAGCGTTGTGAGTCTTAATACGCGTACGCGGAGTATTCGAAAATAGTCTGCGATTCCTGAGCGTAAGCTTACTCGGAGAGAATCTAATGAGTATATACGCATGTATGTATGTATGTAAATTTTCCTAACACTATTTTTTGATCGTTTTGAGCTTGCATTCTGCCGTTTTTCTCTCCGCTTGATCGACAGAGAGAGAGAGAATTGAAATGCATCACACGTCAAACACCTAAAATTAGGATTACACAGAAATGTAGTTTTGTTTACTAATAATTTTGATAAGAACTATTGCTATACGAAACTCTTTTACGTGGGTTGCACCAGAAGCTTTGTGCCAAAGCACCATTCACTCTTTTTGGCAGCTAAACTTGTACAGATCCAAATTAAGCAGAAGCACCGATCATCAAGTCAAGTCCATTGGGAACTCACTTGCTTTGTACAAACTCTGCGTCCAAAAGACCGACCTTATATCAGTTAGTGAGTACTCAAAAGTAACTTGCCAAGAACTATCTGCGTAAGGACTTAATAACAAAGTTTGTACGCACTTCAAACTCGCCTTCCAACCCAATAACCCATCAATCAATGAAGCTAATTAAAATTTAAATTAATTTTTCTAACTTCGCTCGTTCATCGCCAGGGAATGTCAAGCTCTCCGAGTGTATTTCTGCCATGAATTAAAAGGCTCCTCATAAAAATCAGTCGGACGTTTAGATGCGGCTGGGAATAAACTGTAGATCCCAACATTTGTTGGATACAAAATCTGGACGAATTTCAGAAGGAGGTCGACCGAAAAACGCTTCAGCGCTTACAAAGCGCCAATTTTTATTAATGTCTTCTTAACATGGCTTCATAGTTTCGTAGTACTTCCTCACTGCTTTCTTAGTAGAACAGGGTATAGCAAAGCAATGACGCCAGCCAAAGGTGTCTCTCTTTAAGTTTCGACTAAAGAATAAATAAAGAAATAGTTTGCGCAATTTCGTGGAGGAAATGTTCGTTCCGACCAGCCAGTCACTCAAAATTCTGCAACTGATGAGACAAGACTGACATGCCAGCAGTCAGGAGATAGCCTAGTCCCTAAGTAGTACTCACATGACAGTTTGTGTTCATTTAAAGAAGGCTGGATCGTGTGTTTGGCGGCCCAAAAGTATTAACGCTAAATACAAATTTGATTGGTCGAACTATTAGCAGCGAAACCCTTCTGAAACGCGTTAAAATCGAATAATTTCTGAAACTAATCAACACGGAACGAAAAAAAATGGCCTAAATAAGAGAATGTAAAACGAAAAAAATGTTGTTCAAAGACCGGAGACTCTCCACAAACGATTTCAACGCCTGAATTGACGGCACACAAGGCTGTTGTTGTTGTGGTAACCGCACAAATATTCCCCAAAGTACTTTTTGCGGGGAGTGACAGTCCTTGGCCGGATAAAAATCCAGGTCGTTCCGTTGAAGGACCCGACTATCGCGGGAACTATTGGACTTCAGTCGCCTCTTACGACAGGCATGCCTTACCGCGGGTAAATTCTTGAAGCCCTAATACATAGAGGGACGGCACTCAAGGTTGTTGTTGTTGTTGTTGTAACCGCACAAATATTCTCCAATGTACTTTTTGCGGGGAGTGACAGTCCTTGGCCGGATAAAAATCCAGGTCGTTCCGTTGAAGGACCCGACTATCGCGGGAACTATTGGACTTCAGTCGCCTCTTACAACAGGCATGCCTTACCGCGGGTAAATTCCTGAAGCCCTAATCCATAGAGGGACGGCACACAAGGTAATAGTGAGTGTATGTTGGGATTGGTAGAAATTCGGCCCTTTACCGCTCTACATAAGCGATTCAAGTCAAGCGCCTAGAGTTGATTAACAGAAAAGGTGTTGTCTCTCATTATGACAACGCCATGATGCACTCATCATATGGCCCGGACATTGCACCACTCGACTACCACTTATTTCGATCTCTACAAAACCGAAAAGTCACTGAAAATCATTTAGCTGAGTTAGTTATTCGCCGATAAACCACAGAACCTCTACACTGAAGGCATTATGACGGTATCCGACCAATGGCAGAGATCATATAGAAAATAATGATCAGTGTGTACTTGAATGAAATTAATTTTCAATATAGATAAATGTTGTTAAAAACTATAAGATATGTAATAGTATATCTATCTACATGTCTCATAATTTATTGGCTACAAATTTGGGCAGCATCCCTCGTACATCTATTTGCTTGAAAATATTTGGGAAATACACCGAGTCTTTTTTAAGGTTTTTTATTTTATTGATTGTAAAAATAATTATTATGCACACATTAGTATGTACATATGTACATATATATATAAGTGTGAGTATATTACTGCACATTTTTCTTTGAAGCAGTATATACATATTTATTCGTACATATGTATGTATATATGAATGAATTCTTATGGAACATTTGAACTCAAGATAATTTTGTATTTAATTACATTGCTGCAAAAAAAAAAAATAAAAGAAGAATCAATTGATTTTGTTGTGCTTTTTACTCATCTGAAATGGACCGTTGTAAGCGCTGTTAACAATTAATGAATTTCTGTTAAATTTATAATATATTTTATTCTATTGGAATATGGAAATGCATACCTTGGAAATTTGAAGAAAATATTAAAAAAAACACATATTTAAAGTCATGACTAGAATCCCAACTAACCACACTAAAAATATTATTTCTTACCAGTAAAGACTTAACACTCGTCTTCTTTATTGATTTAGGCACCCTTACGCGATTATAGCCGAGTTAACAATAACACACCATTCCGTTCTTCTTTTTGCTGTTTGGAAATTCCAAGTGCAATCACGTCACTCTCCACATGATCCTTTCAACGGAATGGAGGTCTCCACTTCCACAGCTCCCACCGGCAGGTTTCATCCATTCGGACGACTTGTAGCCGCTTTCTCTTCATTGATTGACTGAACTATGACAATGTAATCGTGTAACTCGAACAGCTCATCGTGCGTAAAGGAGCATATATCATTTGCAAAACTTTACTCTCAACGGCTCATCGTATGTCGACATCGTCATCTTATAGTAGAAGGGGTAAGATGAGCGACTTGTAGAGTTTAGTTTTTGTCCGTCTAGAGAGGCCTCTACTTTTCATTTGCCTACTCAGTTCAAAGTTGACCTATTGGTAAGAGTGATTCTGCACAGGATTTCGAGGCTGACGTTATTCCGGACGTAAGAGTTGATTCCTTACTCATCTATTTTACTGGCGTGGACACCGCTTGAGCGTTTATAGCCGAGTTAGCAACATTGCGACATTCTTTTATTGTTTCTGCGGTTTGGCGCCAGATGGAAGTACCAAGTGAAGCCATGTCGCTCTCCACCTGATCCTTCCAACGAAGTGGAGGTCTCTCCTTTCCTCTGCTTCCACTGGCCGGTATTGAATCGAAAACTTTCAAAGCTGGAATATTCGTGTGCATCCGTACCACATGACCTAGCCAGCGTAGCCGCTGCTTCTTGTTTTGCTGAACTATGTCAATGTCGCCGTGTAACTCGTACAGCTCATCTTTACATCGGCTGTGGTATTCGCCATTACCAATTCGTAGAGGACCGTAAATTTTACGCAAAACCTTTCTCTCGAAAACTCCTCACGCCGACTCATCAGATGTTGACATCGTCCACGCCTCTGCGCCATATAGTAGGACGGGTGTGTTGGGCGACTTGTAGAGTTTGGCTTTCGTTCGTCCAAAGTAGTACCTGTTGGCAAGAGTGATTCTGCGTTAGTTTTCAAGGCCCACGTTATTGCGAAGACTGTTTCGGAAGAAGCTGTAGAAATTTTCGATGACTCCTTCGAGCACGCGAGATGTTTTGCTCCAAGGCCTGAATCGAAGCGGGATTGTGCGTATAGACTTCAGACCATACAGTGATATATGTGATATCTCACATCGTGTGAAGTTTCACGGTTTGACCGGACCGCGTGAAATTATCCGCTCATCGAAGAAGTGTTCTTTCAGTAAACCCGAGTGAGCCGAATCGACTTTCCATGGTCTTCGTATACACTCTTAACTATGGCCGCTTTATTTTCTTCTATGAAACTGTGAAACCCATTTAATCCCTTAAGATTCTCAATTATTATTTTGGTATTGAATTTGTGAAAGGAGAGAGTCGCCGATTACTGGCATTCACGCCGGTGGATAAACGTCTCGCCACAATCCATTTTAAAACGAAGTTTTTTGAACGACGGAAGAGAAAGGACGATGTTTATGAGCTTTCTATGAGTGCTCCCCCGCTACGATTTGAAAACTGTATTTGGCGACTTCTACGCCAGGGTGGGCAAAGAAGGTTTTTTGGACACAACAGTCGAGAAATTCTGCTTCCATGACCAAACATCTCCAAACGACGTTGGTTTGATCACCAAGGCCCGAAATATGGTTGTCTGTAGTACTAGATTTCCGTACAGAGTATACCTGGTGTGTGAGGAATCCGAAACCCCAATCGATGAGGAGCTCACAAGCGGTGTGCATCATCTTCTTAGCAGAATATGGTCAGACGAAAGCATGTAATTAATTTCAGCTAAAATACGCAATTTTTTATATTCACATTTACGATTAATTTCTTTTCTTTATTAACAATTTAATATTAAACTTTAGCGATTTTCTATGGCTCCAGACTACTCTGAATCCATTCAACATAGCTTCCGATGCGTGCGTACACGCCCGGCCAGCCATCCGAACCACATGGACTTGGACCAAATGAAATAACGCCAGCAGCAAAGTATACATAACGATTATTCAATAATTCCGGCAGCATTAAAGGTCCACCAGAGTCACCACGACACGAATCGAAACCACCAATCCCACCCGCACACAAGTGATGTGCACTATCGATCGAACGTTCCACTGTTTTGTAAATGTCATGGCACTTAAATGTCTCCCAAACGCGCACAGATATTGACAATTTGACGGGCGATGAGTTGGCATGCGGCTTATTGGTGGCCCCCCAACCAGCTACTTCCATGGTGGTGTTCACAAACATATTTTCACAAAATTCACGTGACGCCGGTAAACAAATGGGCCGCAAGAAGTTCGTGTATGTCACGCTGCCTTCCAGTCGTATTAGTCCAACATCGTAAAACTGCTCCTTTGATTCGCTTATATAATTCGGATGTGAGATTTTCCTCTCTATGCCCAATTCAATAAATGGTGGCGCACAAGATTTCTTGCCATTTATATCCACCTCACAATCCGGATCGGTCCGGGTATCCCATTCACCCAAACGTACGCTGTGTAAAAGGTGATTACCTTGACTCAGGCAATGGGCGGCTGTGAGCACATAACGGGTATTAATTAAACTGCCACCACAGAGAAAGACGAGATTATTGGCGCCTGTGTTGGGGGAGATGTAGATATAATAATAATAGACATATGTATATAAGAAAATTTAAGCTACGCGCGCTACTTACGTGTCTTGTAACGAAGTAATGCCACCCAAGGGTAGTCTAGAATACGTGTCTTCTCACCGCCATAGATGAAGTCTGTGAGCGAAGTTCCACATACACCGGCTGCGGGCAATATATTACCTTTACCATCACCGACATTGCTTCGTACATTACTTTTCGTATCAATCATATGCCTCTCGGGACAGCAGACCTGTGTTGTGTGTATAAAACAATTAGTTATGCGGGGGTACATTTGAAGAATATATGGTAAAGAAAGAAGTCATTGCATGCCAAAATAACAAGAACCGCCAATGTGAGGCTTGCTATTACGCGGACTTCATTTGGGTATGTGACTGAAGCGGTCTATAAAAGACGTTGGAAGTCTAACTACTTTTGAGTGCGTTTCTCGATTCCATGGAAATGATCTATTGGATTTAACCCAGGCACTAAAGTTAATGAACCTCAAAGTCAACTCTTAAGACTATCCAACCGATCAAGCACACATGAAACTTATTAGCAGTATTCTACTAGTAACTACAAACTGAAGGCAAAGATATATAAGAGTTCCCGTAGTATAATAACTGTGCATAGGTTCCAAGAAGAAAAGAAAGCTTACTTATGGTGGAATCTATGCGATGCGCCTATTAAGTCCTAATCGTTATTTTCCTATATGAAACGAACTCTCGGATGCAATTGAAAAATAGTTTTCAGTGTACGCTTCCATGAGGATGAACGTGAGTCCCCTAGAAGCCTTGTCTGACTTGCACTCAAAATTATAAAAAAAAAAAACAAATCTAATTGTGGTCGCCCTTTAGTAGGGAATGCTAAGACCTACCAGTGTATTTCTGTTATGACTTATTTCTGGCAAAGAAACCATCAGCCGTTTGGAGGCGGCTTAGAATAAACTGTAGATCCAACCATTACTTTGGAAAAAAAAATCAAGCCTCACATATTAGATGAGAAGCTCTGTCAAAAATCGTTCCAGCGGCTATAAAGCGCCATTCTTACAGAGCACAATTTCTATATCTTCCAAATCGGTTTCAACGCTTTCAAAGTAATCCCCCGCTGATGCAATGCGCATATGACAACGTTTCTTCCAATTCACGAAACATTTTTCAAATTCATCGGCCGGGAAAGCCTTCATAGCCTTCAGCGATTCCCATTAAGTCTTCTCAAACAGCTCAAAATGACTTCCCCGGAGCTGGCTTCCAAGCTTCCTGAGCAGTAGTGAGAGTGACACAGGCGCATATGGCGTTTGTGGTCCAATATGAGTTGAGAGTTTTAGCGAAAAACCGTCGAAGAATCAATGCAGTGTGAGATGGTGCATTATCGGCGTGGAAAAGCATGAGTTGTTTATCGTAAATTCGAACTTGTTGTTTCGAATAATATTCCCTTGTTCGACTAAGTGAACGGAAATTCATAATGAACAAATCTTCGGTTATCTGTTCAACTATTGTGATGCGATTTACTTGATATTTACCGACTCTCCTGGTTGATTATGGCCACCGAATATCGAAAATGTCGTTAAAATAATGGAAATCGTCTAGTCAGATCGTCTTGTGAGCGCTGTTTCGATAACCCAAGAGCTAAACATTGCAAAGAAACTAATTTGTGACCACTTAAAAAAGACTGGATACACAAAGAAGCGCTCATGGACCGATTTTCCATCTGGGAATCGCTGTTGAATCGTAACAAAGTAGACCCAATTCTGAAGCGCATGGTGAGTGTTGATGAATTGTGGATCACTTGCTCGCTCTCCAAGCCAGAATTGACGTCCATGAAATTATACAATAGTATTGTTGTGTGTTTGGTGGAATTGGCAAGAAACTATACACTCTGATCCGCCAAACTTAAACTTTCATCGATTACTGGGTAATACTCTTTCGGAAAGAGAGCATTATTTATGTGAATCCAGTTAAAAAGCTCCGCACAACTTAGGCGATTATGTAAACTGACGTTAAGTAACACTAAAAGCTCCGTCAGGATCGAGAAGGTCCGCTCCCAGCCGTTGGATACCATATGAAGTTTCAGACAGGGTGACTCTTTATCGTGTAACTTTTTCAACTTACTGCAGCAGAAAATAATACGAGCTGCAGAGCTGAATAGGGAAGGTACAATCTTCTATAAGAGTGAACAGCTGCTGGCGTCGACATTATTGGCCTCAACAACCGCGCTGTCAGTTCTGCTTTCTCCAGACTTGAGAAAGAAGCGAAGCGAATGGATCTGGTAGTGAACGAGGACAAAACGAAATATCTCCTGTCATCAAACAAACAGTCTTCGCATTCGCGATTTGGCTCCCACGTCACTGTTAGCAGTCATAACTTCGAGGTCGTAGATAATTTCGTCTATCAAGGGGCCAGTAATACCACGTTAATAGCGTGAGCATTGAAATCAAGCGCAGAATTCCTCTTGCCAACAGGTCAACTTTGGACTGAGTAGGCAATTGAAAAGTAGAGTACTCTCTCGGCGTACGAAAACCAAACTCTACAAGTCGCTCATCATACCAGTCCTACTATATGGCGCAGAAGCGCCAAGCGCGAATCAAGAAGCAGCGGCTACGCTGGCTAGGTCATGTAGTCCGGATGGATACGAATATTTTAGCTTTGACAGTTTTCGATACCCGCCGGTGGAAGCAGAGGAAGACCTTCACTCTGTTGGAAAGACCAGGTAGAGAGGGACACAGCAAAAACGAATGGCGAAATGTTATAAATTCGGCTGAAATCGCGTAAGTGGTGTCTACGCCAGTAAAGTAAATAAGTAGAGTAGAAATCTGCGTTCTAATAAAATTCAGCAAAGTTGCTGAATTGCTGCAGGTACCTGATCCCCCTCAAGGAAAGAAAAAAATATAAACTACATCTTCGCATTTCCAGAGACGTCGAACATTGCATACCAAAGACACTCTTTCTGCTGTGTAGCAGAATATCGAAGAAAGCCCGAATCAGTCCATCCGCCAAGTGGAGCAGCGCCCGCCAACTTTATGCAAGACTTTGTGGAAGAATTTTGATTTGCGGACTTAAAAAATCCAACTCGTTCCAGAATTTAAAGCCGAACAACCATCAAGCGTGTCGGACGTGCGGTGAATGGGTGGGTCTAAAACGAGTTGGCCACCAATCACGATTTTCACAAGAAAATTTTGTTCAGAGATGAAGCTCACTTTTGATGGAATGAATATGTTAATTAAAAAATTGTTCGCATTTGAAGTGAAGATAACTCAAGGCTCTAGTTGAGACGGCGTCGTTGAAATGGACACCCTTTAGTTCCAGCAAGACGGCGCGACATGTCATACAGCCAACGAAACAATCAATTTATTTGAAGAAACTTTCGTTGCGCGAATTTTTTCGCGTCGTGGGTCTGTGTCGTTGCCTCCAAGATCGTGTTATTTAACAGCGCTGGACTATTTTTTGTGGGGTTGTTTGTAGTCGCTGGTCTATGAAGGTAAGCCTGAAGTGATCGAGGCCGTGAAAAAGAAGATTAAACGCGTTATTGCCGATATATGGCCCCAAACTGACTTCAAACAACAACAACTATACACTTCATCATACGTACCGCTCACCTTAGCTCAAGCTCGTTTCCGACTTACCAAAATTCTTTTTGAATTCTCCTTAAAGGTATTATCATAACCGCATTGACTCTTTTGCACTTTGTCTTTGAGATCAGCATTCAGAGGTCCATTGACGATGTCCTTGATGAACTGACATTCCGAGATTTGTACACAAACACCTTTACCATTGAATGGCGAATCGCAGGGCCCATAGGTAATGGCGACTACTATAATAACGCATTGAGAGTTGAATATTAGAATATAAAACCCGTTAGGTGCTGCTGATAAACTCACCAACGTTGTTTGCCGTATACAAGCACAACAACAACAAACTGTTGAATATAAACATTGCAAAGATTTGATGAAGTACGATTTTATGCTAATGTGAATTAAATAAAAAGAAAAATATTTAATATAAAATTTCCAACTGCCGGTGAACGCGTTCGCACCCAATACCGTTACTGGCGGCACTGAACTCAACTGAAAACCTGAACCGAGCTCAATCAACGCCTCGGTAGAGCTTGAAAATAACCCAGCGTCGATTGATTCTCGCTATCTATCATTTATAGTTCGTCATCGACGGAATATAAACATTTTTTTTTCATTGCCTCTCGTCAAAGCGGCTGACTGCCCGACACGCTGGCGATAAGGAAACCACTGTGGCTGCGAGCAGAGCAATCAAACTCTCAAGCTAAGCTCAATACGTCAGATAAGTGAGTGGCTGATCGGCTGTAACGCGTGTTATTGATGCTGGGCGGCATGTCAGATCTTATACATAGGTTTGGAATTATCCCATCGTAAGCAATTGAGCAAATGTACTCTCAACAACAACAACAACAAAAGCACCTGCAAGAGAGGTGGGCGGGTGGTAATTACGTGGCGTTGATCGTTGGGGAATTCTTCTACTCCGGGGACCGGCGACTTTGCGGAAGTAAAAATTGTGCATAACAAGCTGACATTTTGTATAGGAGTATGTGCGTGTTGAGTATGTATGTATGTATGTGTGTATGTACTTTTAACGTAAATCGTGAGCTTTTTAAATTTTTTGCCAATTCTCTGTTAACTGCGAGGGTGTACACTTAACAAGACTAGACTGGACCAGACTAGGTCTGACTTTACTCAGTTCTTCAATAAGAAGAAGAGTTTGTGCGATGAGAATTGCCGTACCGGAATGGTGGGAAACATTGCGATCGACCACAAGGCAAACAGTATGGAGAAGATGCCGAGACTTGTAGAGATAAGCTCGACGCGCTTGCAGAAAGAAACAGAGATAGGATGAAATATGGAAGTATCAAGAACTTGAAGAGATGACCAACAGAGCAAATGATCGGAAATTTTGATTAAAATGGAAATTTTTGCTGTAGAAACGAGAAGGGAGATCTGCTGAATGACGGACTTTATGAAGCATGGTTAGCTGTAGGGAAAAGGAAACAATCAGAGAAGGCGAACCCGTAGCATCAATGTTGTTGTTATTGTAGCGGTTCACTAGCCTCGTTTAGGGACAAGCTAGTTGGTCTACGTCAGCGGGGTCATCGGACCAGAGGGAGACTCATTACATGTAGGGCATACGTTGGTTATGTTGGGGTCGAGCCTGGATAAGTAGGAGTTTGACCTGCTAATGCGCAGCCAGCAACCACGGCCGTGCCTTCAGCACCTTTACCCACTCTGGGTAACCAACCACAGACCTCTACCGTCTCACAGACAACTCCCAAGACAGCCGGAGTAGACGCGGATTTTATCGGCTGTCACCCTTTTGGTGATTCGATTAGCTCAACAGGTAACATTAGTCTAAGGTCACCAAAGAAATCAAATCTGGAAGCAGGACTGCTTTAAATCCTTCTCTTAAGGGCTGTTGTCGAGACCAATCCTGGTCAGACAGAATATTTCTGCTGGGTGCGCCATTAAAGACTTCATCGTGGCTGGAACCATCTTTGAGTCTACTCAGACCTTAAGACACACAGGTAGTAGTCCACATACTGCCAGTGCTCAAATGCATCCCCAGCCTTTACGGCAGTGCAAGAATTGGGTCATAAGCTCTGAGCAGGTCTTAAAATTACTCTAACCATTGCACTGCACCTAACCGAGGTGGAAGAGTGGTGGCGTGTCTTCTGGCACTCGCAGCAGGAATAATCCGTCGGACTAGGGTTGGTTTCAACACCAGCCCTGATAGGAATTTAGGGCAACCGAGCTGCGAGGTGTTGCTCCGTTGGCGTTGAGAGCTAAACGAGTTGTTGTTGTTGGTTCCTCAAAAATGTTCGTTAAGGTAGTTTTTAGCATCTTAGTCGCCCCTTACAGAGGGGAAATTCGATTTCGATATTTTTTTTTAAATGAACATTTTTCCTCACCGAAACCGTTGCAAAAGATGAAAATGGGAATGAAAGCTGGGAATGAAAGCTGCCTCAAACACTATTTCATATCCACATATTTTTTAATAAAAACTCATTTACTTTTTTGTACGCCCACCTTTTGCGTTGTTCATTTGCTTTATTCCAAATATCTAATAGTACTAAAGATAGGCGATTATTACTAAATTTTTGAAGGATAATCATTATTTGTATTGATATTTTAAGCAGTTTGATATTTTCTTCTTTGTATTCTGAAACTGTAGCGGCTGAATGAACGAATATATTTATTTATATAATATATTATGTGGATATTTTGTCTTTACTCGCGTTCTAAATAGTTAAGGTGAAGAGTTGATTTGATTTTTTCCTTTTGTAATAAAAAATGTGTGTTGTTATGTAGTTACTTGCTGGCTTTTCTCTTATCCGAATTAAATAAACAATTTAATCACTCACACATCAACTGCACACATACAAGTAGAAGATTAAATTTACTGTTCTGGCGTTGTCAATTTAAATTCTCTTATTGTTGCCGTATGTATAAACTGGTTGAAAAGCTTCACCGTCATCTCCCTCACCATCATCCGAATCATCACTATCGAAAGTGTTATCGGGAATATCATACAAGCGTATCATTGGCTTGTTGGGATCCTTCATTATCAGATATTTGCCATCCTTTTGTTTCATAACAATGTCGATGATACAACGTAAGACACCCCAGGCGTTGTCCATGCTCAAATTGATTTGTGTCGCGAACTCATGTGGCTTGAATTGTTGTGTACCCAAGATGACGTGGCGTGAGGGGTCGCGTGGATTGCTACGTGAAACATAGCCTAGTTTCAATTGATCGGAGCCGGCAAGCACAGCTTGTACAGTCCATTTGGCTAGTTTGCAGGCATTGTTGCGCAATTCATTCGCCAAGACAGCACCACGTTGTGTATCTAACTTCTGACGCCATTCAACACCGTTCGCCAATTTGGAGTCCCATTCATTCAAAGCCTTTATTGAGAGGAATTGTGGATCACCGTTTGGTGATTGCAGCACACCATCATGTTCACAACGTGCAACTAAGACCTGCAAGTATTAATTAAATTAATCATGCGAATGATGGTATAATAAATATTTATGAATATAATATGTACTTACAATATCACTACCCAAGTTCCATTTCTTGTAACGATAACCAACGCTGGCAACTTCAACATCTTCATCTTCGGTGATAAATGGATTTGGTTCTTGGAACTTGAATTTAGCTTCCTTATCGCCGGTTTTTAGTACTTGCTGGCTAAAATTGTGATTAATGAATGTTGCTTCAATTGCCAAATTACGTGGTGAATTAGGTGAACTATCATCGTCGGTTGGTGGTTCCACCGATGTCTCATTTACGGTTAACAAATCGAATTCAGTATTATCGCGTTTGTCCATGAAGATCTTATCGCCGAATTTTTCGATGACAATATCCCAAGAGTAATTGGAACGTGTGGAACACATAATGGTTGCCAAAATGGCATCAGTAGCAAACACATTACCAACAGTTTTCGACAAGCGACGAATGACGGGATCATCAGTTGTTGTAACAGTATGAACAATACGATCGATCTTCTGCAACGCCTTTTCATTCTTCACATTGATGCGATCGTACGTCTTGTCGTAGTATTCAAGTGTACCACAAGTAATGATATCCTCGCCTTCCTTAATGTTGGGCAATGAGAGCTTCGTCAGACGTGGGAAGTCCATTTCCTCAATCGAAGTCCAATCTGAGCGTACAGCTACAGATGATTCACGAATCTTTGGTGGCACACCGCGTGAACCGAACTTCTTGCCCATACCACGTCGTGGATCACGAGCTTTAACATTTTTGCCACCCAAAGTGGTCATACCAGAGTTGAGACCACCACGTTGATTGCGACCACGAGCGGATCTAGATAAAATGGAAAATTTATTTTTAGCAAGCTATTTACTTTAGTGCATATAAAGATTATGAACAAACCGGTTGTTGCGTAAGTTGGAACGGAAACGTCCACGTTGGTGAGGGGGCTTTTGAACACGTGCAGTGTCCACCAAATGGAAAGTAGTTTCATCCTCTTCATGATAATAGGCATACTGGCTGCCAGTACCAAAGGTTGAAGCATACTTGTCTGTAATATAAATAAATTATAAAATACATGTATGTACCAATTGCAATTAATTGCATACACCTATATCATCTTCAATTTATATTTTATTGAAAGTAATAGGTATGCCTTCAAACTATTGAAACATTTCTCACTAGTAAGAACTTAAAGCGGTATAACACCCACGACTTAACATTGTTAGTTAACATAATTTTCACAGCAGATCGCGCCAAATAAAGTCAATTTATATTCATATAAAATAGTATTCAATTATTTGTGCACTCCAAAAAGAAAAACGTAAACAAAAAACGCTGGTACAGCTGTTTCGTTTTTTTTTTATTTCTGCTCTTTATTTCGCGGAAAAAAACCCCAAAATTTGACATTTCTTTTGAAAAGGGAAATTTTTCGCTTGCAAAGGTGAATATGGCTGCCACGATTCACCATTCCGAGAGTACATAACCTCAAATTTGCGAAATGGAAATCTTTTACACAATTTTAACAACGCCTCCAAAAAGGAACTCACTTTGGTACTTTTTGTCATTGTTAGAGCTACTGGTCCAGTCACAAATTTTGCCTAAACGATCGCTCTTGCTGAACGGCTGGTACGGCATATCGCGAAAAGTCTCCGGCAATTCACATGGCCCCCAACCATTCTCATTGAATTGCACTGTTGGCTTTTCAAAGTGCGGAAATTGTTGACTCGTATTTATAGTTTCTCCCATAATTGTTGTTTTCACTCGATTTCACAAATGTATTTTCTCTTTTTTCACTAAAATAAACACTTTTTAATGCTCCGCCGTTCAGTTGACCAAGTTGATGACAAACGAATTGGAAGGAAAGAAATAAGCCGAACAACGAGGGCTGCCATCCCTTCGTGTAGTAAGGGAAATTTGCCTTATTTTGAAGTGCTGCCATATCGTTAGCTTGTCCGGACTGTAATTAAATTTGTAGATAATAGCGACCGCGTACTGCCATTCGGAAGGCCCGGGTTCAAGTCTGACCATCGTCCAAAAATTAGTGAAAATTAATTTAAATAAAAAATTAGGTTACATTTTTTAAGTGCTGTCATCCGTCGGCAGGGAATGTCAACCCCTCTGAGTGTATTAATGGCATGATATAAAAGCTGCTTATAAAAAACTACCAACCTTTCGAAATCGCTTTAGTATTGTTACGATTTTACTAAATCAACCTCGATTATTTTCCAAATCCTTCGGGTACGATCTCTGGATTGTTAAATAAAACTCGCCAACTTAATTTGCAGTTTCTTTCGTTATAAAGAATTTATCTAATGTCTTTTATTTACTCCGTAATTCACAATACAATTACAATACACTCTACTATTTACAATCACTATCATCAACTTGCACAATTCACTCTACTTAAATGTACTTTCCAACGTGTTTACTTTACGACTTTACTGATGTTAACGCCAACGAGTTTAGTTTATCACTGACTTGACTTGCAGCTGAGTGTCGCCTTTATATAGCAGTCGACTGCTCGCAGACGAAAGCGTAGAAGCATCGAATTGTTCGCTATGGAAGGTTCTTGTTTTATCGTTTATAGAACGTACTAGTTATCGGCTTCTCTCTTTCATCTGACATTCGCCTCGCATTTTCGCAACAGTATTAATTGTAGGGACCTCCATTTTGTTGGAACAAAAACAAGAAGCATACCACGAATTACGAGCGGTTACGAAGGGACAATTGTACATGTAGTTAGAATATACTCCTCTCTACGAACACAAACTAAACTGTAAAAGTCGCTCATTATATTCGTTGTGGGAGTGGGAGGGAGTTCCAGGAAACGGTGTTTCGCCGAGGGGAAAGGGTGGCTTTTTTATGAACTGGGTTTGGGAGGCATGCAGTGAAGTGTTGTCATGCTGGGTCCTCATTGGACATGTCGGGGTCAGGTCTGGATAGGTAAGAATTAAGAAGGCTACAATATCCAGCTGTGGGTCTCTTGAAGCAGCTTGAGCTTGGATTTTGGACCTTGGATTGTCTATTGCACTGTATGAAGTCAAGTATTCCCTTCCTGGATTATATTAGGCATTAGAAGGTTTCCAGTCACGGACCAAAGAACGGTGTTCTGACATTCTTGTAACTTATTCTTTTGCGCCCGGATAGTCCATGGAGTACAAATCAGGGAAGCGTAATTTTCGTCCTTTCCATCGATCGCCCTTGTCGCGAGCAACGTTTCTTTATCTTTATCAGAGGTGCTATCAGCTAACGATTTTAGGATTTTGTTCTGGCTGTCGAATTTGACTACCAACATCGTCTCTCCCATCGAAGTCGAACTAATACTCAGTCTTACAGCTGTTTAAAAAGGTAAATAAAATTGGAAGGTTGGAGTTGTAAATATTGTAGGCAAGGTAGCAGTTTGTTTTCGAACATAAGTTATCAATATCCCGGCCAGACGTCAATATCGAGCAGACAAAGGCTTATGAGTTCAAAGGAACGCCTCTGGTGGAGCAGGTAGTTTCGAAATGTAATAACTACACAAAAGTGGGGAGAGGAACACACTCTTTGGAACGCCTTTTATGGACTCTTCAACTTTGACCTTGAAACTCTACCACTCAGGTAGTTCAAAGTCCATCTTATCGACGCCGACGGTAAGGAGAAATTCCAAACCCCGTTTAGGTCTACAGGTAACCTTAGTCTAAGTACGTCAACGGAGCAACACCTCGCAGCTGGGTTGCTCCAAATCCTTCTGATCAGGGCTGGTGTAGAAACCAACCCTGGACAGACGGATTACTTCTGCTGCGTGTGTCAAAGAAGACTCCACCATTCATCCACCTCGGTTAGATGCACCCAGTGCAATGGCTGGAGTCATCTTAAGACCTGCTCAGGCCTTAAGACCCACAGGGAATGGACCACAAGTTATGTGGCCCCATGCTGCCAGCGTCCAACCGCCCCCTCAGCCTCCACGGCAGTGCCTTCAGCACACATACCCACTCTGGGTAATCTGCAGACCTCCACGGTCTTACGGAGCTCCCCGCAGCATGATTCCCNACTCCCTTCCAGTGAATGGCGTACTCGGAGAAATACCACCACCCATAGCAGACAACGAGCTCGAGCTGCCTCGAGAGACCCGCGTGACCCTGACACAACTTAGGTCTGGATATTGTAGTAGGTTAAACTCCTACCTATCCAGACTAGACCCCAGCATACCTAACGTATGCCCGGCATGTGGAGAGTCCCCGCACGACACTAACCACCTCTTCACATGCCCCCTCAAACCTACTCATCTAACCTCCCTTTCCCTTTGGTCCAACCCCGTCGAAACAGCTCGTTTCCTGGGCCTACCTTTAGATGACCTCGACGACTTAGACTAACTCAAGCCTGTGCCTAAGCGGGGTTAGCGAATCCGCTACAACAACAACAACAACAACAGAAATTCCAAAAGTAGCACTGAATGGTTAAGGTGTCAAAAGCCAAATACTTCCCCATTGTAGAGGCTGCAGTACTCCCACTTATTCCGCTTGTGCAGTTTAACTTTGCGACGAGTCTTCTTAGTGAGTTCAATGAAATCTGGATCTCCGGTGAGCCGGCACAAATGTTATCCAAGCTAGTATTGTGGAATTGGCAATGAATTATCCACTACAAGCTGCTCCCCTACGGCCAAACTTTTAATTCAGACATGTACCTTCAGCAATAATACCGTCTGAATGAAGCAAAATGCTCGGAAGCTCACAGTTTTGGCGATCAGGAGTGGAATTGTGTTTCATCAGGGCAACGTCACACCTCAGTCCTCGATAGAGTGACTTGCCAGAAGCACCGAAAGCTTGGTAGGGAGGTTCTTATGCATTCACCATTTATTCGAGACTTCGCCCCAAGTAATTACCACCTGTTCCGTGTCTGTAGCGAATTATTTGGTTGGCTACATATTGACCTCAAGAGAAGCCTGTAAAATCATCTCAATTTTTTGCCAATAGAGACAACTGTTTCCATAAGAGAGACATAATGACATTACCATAAAAATAATGGAGTACCGGACGAAGTCACGACCAAAGCCTAGTATGATATAAATAGAGACTACCTCAGATGAGGGATGTATTTCATTCTCAGCTCTGCACAGTTTCTCCGAGACTAAATTTGGTTAGTGAACTTTTAAATGATGTCAGCATTTGTCCCTGCCCTCTGAGAGCCGTGAAAATCAAATCTTTCATCAAAATCGATGTTCACTAAGACTTTTATTAAACAATTTTAATGAGTTGGGAAAACACTTTTACACACACATACATTTGTAAATTAACATTGCGGTAATGTAACATTAAATTTAGCCTTGTATTCGCGACAGAAGACCACAGAGAAATTATAAATGAAGTAACGTTGGCGCCACCGATCGAATTTCTGTAAAAAAGAAATCAAGAAATTGTTTAATTTTTGGTGGAATATACATACATACATATGCATGTATTTATGTGAAGATATTTGCATAGGTAACAGTTAACTTACCCCGTCAAAGGTTACTGATGGCACAAATGATATATCCAAGGCATCTGTCTTTTCTCCATATTTCTTCAGTATGTCTGGTATGCTGCGAGCAGCTTTACATTCCTTTACCGCACTCACATCCAATACTAAATCCTTGGCACACTGCCAGGAGAAATTGGAAATGATAGAAATAAAATATATAAAAGACATGAACATCATTGAACGAGATCAAGCTCTTCTAATTTATAGCGGTAATCCATAATTAACGTCAAATCAAAAAATTTCTGATGTGAAAACGATAGACTTCCCTAGAGAAGGGTCCAGTTGTACTAATTTATTTCACATGGAAGGGCATTAACTCGGTTTCCCCGCAAAACTTATACTGTGTAAGCTGCGCTAGACAGCACCAGGAGCGCGGTAAGAATTGGGAAGGGCCTCTCCGAGCCGTTCGATACCAAATGAGGCTTCAGACAGGGTTGTCGGCCTGAACAACCGCGCCGTTAGTTCCACTTTCTCCAGGCTTGATGAAGAAGCGAAGCGAATGGGTCTGGTAGTGAACGAGGACCAGACGAAATATCTCCTGTCATCAAACAAACAGTCATCGCATTCGAAACTTGGCTTCCACGTCACTGTTGACAGTCATAACTTTGAAGTCGTAGATAATTTCGTCTCGGCACCAGCATTAACACCAATAATAACGTCAGCCTTGAAATCCAGCGCAGAACCATTCTTGCCAACAATTGGTACTTTGGACTGCATAGGCAATTGAAAAGTAAAGTCCTCTCCAGACGAACAAAAACTAAACTCTACAAGGCACTCATCGTTCCCGTCTTGCTATATGGTGCGAAAGCATGGACGATGACAGCATCCGATGAGACGGCGTTGAGCTGTGGTTAGGTCATGTGGTCCGTATGCATGCGAATACTCCAGCTCTGAAAGTTTTCGATGCAGTACCCGCCGGTGGAAACAGAGGAAGAGGAAGACCTTCACTTCGTTGGAAAGACCAGGTAGAGGATGACCTGGCTGTACTTGGTATTTCCAATTGGCGCCAAACAGCAAAAAGCAGAAACGAATGGCGCATTGTTGTAAATCGGCTATAATCCCGTAAGCGGTGTCTACACCAGTAAAGAAGGGCATAGGGAAGAACATAATGCAACTAAGCGTCTAGCATAGAAGACAATTATATGGACACGGGATTCTTTGTTAAGGGATAGCAAAGATAAGTATCGGAGACATAAAACCCTGCTCTCCGATGGTACTGCTCTGAATAGTCTAACACCAAAGATAAACCCACTTAAATACATACACATATGCAAGTGACGCTTTGTAACCGCCTACGCGATTTTTCGACCGAGCTCCTCCCCTAATTTGTGGTGTGGGACGTGATGTTGTTTACAACAAATGTATGGTCCTACAGTTTATTCCGAGCCGGCTTTAAACGTCCGATTGATTTTTATGAGGAGCTTTTATTTCATGCCAGAAATACACTTCGAGGACTTGACATTCCCTGCCGAAGGGCGAACGCAACTAGAACATTTAATATTCTATAATTTTTGGATGTTGGTCGGGCCAGAACTCTAACTCAAGCGTTCCAAATGGCAGTACGAACATCTGACGCCCAACTTACGCAAAATTATACTCACCACGATCTGGTTGTCTTTACCAAATAACAACCAAGTTTTTACATACCTCATCCAATGTTGTAGTATGACCGGACAGTAAACAGCTGATTAACTTTAATTGATCTCGCACATCATGATGCTCGACAATGCAGGCGTGCAATGCATTCAATTCACATTCAGTACGTCCATGTTGGCAGAAAAGTGTTGTTATATTTGTATCTGGATCTGTCCAAGACTAAAATCGAAGAAGTAATTCAAAACAGATGTTGAAAAGAATGCAGTTACATACATACAAATATATGTGAGATAAAATATGTTGTCAGTGACAAAACTTCTAGCTTTCTTACCGTCACTTTTCCATATGGAATCAGTTCCAATTCAGTATATTTCAACCATTCATTCAATATCATTCCATCGTAAAGGGAATTTCGCATGAATGATCTGCTATCTGGGCAAAGCGTCTCATAGTAGACGCCTAACCTCAATTGTTCAGCTGATGATGCCTCTTGGGAAGACTGTAAGAGAAATGTAAAATAATAAAAGTGATTTTTTTAAAATACTTTTTACAACCTTAACTTGGTACGAGGAGAAACAAATATTGATTGATATGTGTCCGTTTGAGGGCAAACTTTCGAGAGATTAAAAGAAAATCTGATGAGGAACTGTATTTTGGCATGGTATTAATGTTTAATAACCAATAATATTAGTCATTTTATTAAAATTTGTATATTATTTTGTTTTATTTTATTTTATTTTATTTTGTTTTATTTTATTTTATTTTATTTTATTTTATTTTATTTTATTTTATTTTATTTTATTTTATTTTATTTTATTTTATTTTATTTTATTTTATTTTATTTTGTTTTAACTGTAATAAAATATTTTATTTTACATTGTTTTAGAGTTTTTATTTTATTCTATTTGACTTTATTTATTTAGTAATGCGTTCAGATTAGTCTTAAATACAACATTGAAATCCAATCTAACTCACAAAGTGAACATTTCTATACATACACACAAATGTATACATACATATTTATATTCGTAGTCATAATTTACTTATTTATTTTTTATCTGTACAATAAAAGCCCGCCAACTCGTCGTTATTGTCATCGCTTACATATTTTCAAGTATGCAGATATACTCACTTCAACATGAAATGCCGTTGTTTTAGTTGCATGCAATGTCACTGATAATATGTAAAACATCGATAATACAGCCATATAATTTTTAGTTGACATTTTTCGCTTTGCTGCTTTTAAACTCATGATTGCTTAACGGCTCTTTATTTTTTTTATTTTTATTTTTTGTTGACCAGCGGTTTTGCCAGCTTCAATGATCACTTTACTGCTCTACAACAAATCACCGACTAGTCATGACATTTAAAGCTCCGCACATGATTAATAAAATCTGGCGATTTTGAAAAATTTTTTAATTCTCAGGAGAACAAATGAAAGCGTCACATCTGCAATTCAAACACCCCAAATACTAGACTAGTAGATAATAAATATAAACAAAGCATCAAATTGAGGCACGTACCACTTACGTACATACAAATCTTCGTGAAAAGTCACCCAGTGCAGAAACAATTAAGGTTGGCACCGCTTTTCTGCAACATCAATTTATTTTTACTTTCTCAGCAGTCTAATCCAAGAGAGTACTTTATCATCTGACTAACAACAAAGTTGGTAGAAAATTAGATAAATATAATAATATTGATCGTCTTCCAACCCTTAATACATATTTCTTCGAGTGCCAGTTCGTATTTTTCATTTAGACATACTTACATAAAACGGTAGGATAATTAAATTACTAAAAAAAATAATATATAAATAAAGCAGAAGAGGGCACAGTCAGATGAACTAGTTGACATCCAAATTCACTTTCATATTGGCCTAGTTGGGAACTACTCATATGTGTCTGCCATTTAATACCGGGTAACTGAGATTTGCGCAGATGTGTATAAACATATGTTATAATTAATTTGGCAGAGACAATTGAAAACGATTTATGAGATTGAGAAAGCCCAAAATTACTTGAAAACAGAAAAATGTATACAAATATAAATAATAAATTGTCGAAAAATAATGGTGATTTTCACGCTTTTATGTGAAAGAAATAAATAAAAACAAATATACGGCCAGCATGTTCCCTCTGGGTACGCAGCAGGTGGAGGGACCTATAATTTATGCTAAGCGATGGATTTTTATCTGCAGCTTTTATTTCATATCAGAAAAACACTCGGAGGGTTTGACACTCCCCACCGAGGTGTAAAAGTCATTACAAAAATGGATTTACTAAATTTTTTGGTAGGTTAAACCCGGACTCGAACCCTGGGCTTCCGAATGGTAGTACAAAATGCTGACAACTCGGCTACTGCGCCACAGTGAATTAAGAAACAGCGGCCTAGGCAATGTGGTCCAAAGTTTAAAGCGCTCCACGCAGTACCTGTAAGTGGGAGCAGGAAAAGATTAAGACTTCCACACTTTTGGAAAGATCAGGTATAGAAGGGCCTGGCGGCGACTAATAAATTAATGATGGATTTAATGTTGCCCTAGTTAATTTACTATAAACAAGACGTACGACAAGTTTGCTGCTAATTTCTCAATATATTCAAAATAATTAAAAAAAAACTCGAATGAAAACACTTAACATTATTCTGAATGTATTCCTAAAAAAAAAAAATAAAATTGAATAAAATAAAATAAAATAAAATAAAAAAAATAAAAAAATAAAAAAAAAATAAAATAAAATAAAATAAAATAAAAGAAAATAAAATAAAATAAAATAAAATAAAATAAAATAAAATAAAATAAAATAAAATAAAATAAAATAAAATAAAATAAAATAAAATAAAATAAAATAAAACAAAATAAAATAAAATAAAATGAAATAAAATAAAATGTAATAAAATAAAATGAAATAAAATAAAATAATATAAAATAAAATAAAATAAAAAAATGCAAAATAAAATAAAATAAAATATACATACAGACAAATAGAATGAAATAAAGTGAAAAATTAATTTTAATTTTAGTTTAATATACGTAACGTAATATTTAATAAGTATTACCTACAGATGTCGCTTTGAGTAATGGCTTGTGCAAGCCTGTTGGTTTAAGTTTTTTTGTTGTTCTTTCATATATTTTTTCACATGTGTCAAAAAACAAACGTGCATTATTTTACTAAAACAAGTGGGATTTTACTGAAGTTAGCAAATTTTAATTAATTATTATATATATTTATATATTATATATACAATATTTATATATATACAAATTCGATGGCGCCAGCTAACGCGACAAAAGTCGCCGAAGAAACTGCAGAGCCTGCCGGGGACGAGCAGAAGAAGAAAGCCAAAGCAACAGCCATAGGGGACTTTGCATCCATTGAGGAGTTTACAAAAGTATTTTAAATCAAATATATATAACTGTGAAATCATTGTGAAATTCATAATGGGACTTTTCATTATTTTAGAATGGCCTAGCTGAAATAGTTGAGGCTACCAAGGCGGTAAATTTCTTTCCTCAAGGTTCTGCACGCGATTTATATTGCGCCTATCCCACTTTCGGTCGTGTTGTGGACGAGCAATCGCATCGCATATTTGGTTTGGTATCGAAAGTGCTTAAGTGGCAAAATGTCAAAGGCAACATAGAGCGGTGAGTTTTCTGCTTTATAGTAATTTACATTACTTAACTGAAACATTCTTCCATCCTCTAGCCGTCAACAAGATGAACAATTTGAAATGCTTTTGGAATGTAATGATGCTATGATGGAACGTTTAAATTCAAATCTAGATGATTTAGCAGGCATTAAAAAGAATCCACAAACAATAGTTGTTGAGTCACATATAAATATCGAAAGTGGTAATAGGATTGCTAATGGTTCTGGTGCTGGTAGTTGGAATTTGAAGAAAAATGAGGCGTCACCAATTGCTGCACGCTTGATCACAGCTAAAAATATTGCTCGACCACAAATAAAATTTAAAGTTGCTGTTGATAATAGCGCACAGACGCCGTTCATCCCAAGGTTGAAGGATAAACCCAATTCACTGAAACCACTAGCTATACTGCCAGAGTACGATGAGAGTGGTAATGTATCCAGGTTGGTATTTGTAAACTCTTCTTAATATAAATATAAAAAAATGCATTCATTATTTTATGTTTACCCACAGTTACCTACATCCCTATGAGTTCGAGCTAATGAAGTGGGAAGTGCCCAACGTTCAATTGAAGCGCACAAGCCCCGTTGTACCCGCAAAAATGGATGACACTCAATTAATTTATGTCGACACAGTGCCGAAATTGAATGCTGCTGTAGAAGAGCTGAGCAAACAACGTGAAATTGCTATTGATGTGGAACACCACTCTTATCGCACCTTCCAGGGTTTTACTTGCTTAGTGCAGGTATCATCACGTAACAAAGATTATCTATTTGATGCTTTAGAGTTGCGAGACGATATGCACGCACTCAATACCGTATTCACCGATCCGAAAATTGTGAAAATCTTTCATGGCGCCGATATGGATATTGAATGGCTACAACGTGATCTTTCGCTATATATAGTGAACATGTTCGATACACATCAAGCGGCTAAGGCTTTAAATTATGCGAGATTATCTTTGTCGTATTTACTGAAACATTATTGTGATATAGAAGTTGATAAAACCTTTCAATTGGCGGATTGGCGTATACGGCCGTTACCAAAGGAATTGGTTTCATACGCACGTCAAGATACCCACTACCTTCTATATATATTCGATCGTATAACTAACGATTTGCTCGACGCCGGCCATCAGCAAGCCAACTTGCTGCGAAATATTTACCAACGCAGCACTGAAATTTGCAAAAAACGCTATGTGAAACCACATATAACTGCAGATTCGCATATGGATCTCTATCGCAAATCTAAGCGTGTCTTCGATAATCGTCAATTATATGCAATGCGTGAAGTTTTCCAATGGCGTGATACTACGGCGCGTCAGGAGGATGAAAGTTATGGTTATGTGTTACCCAATCATATGTTACTACAGATTTCGGAGAGTTTGCCACGCGAAATGCAGGGCATACTGGCGTGCTGTAATCCCATACCGCCATTGGTGAGACAAAATTTACATGTGCTCCATCAGATTGTGCTGCGTGCGCGTGAACAGCCGTTGGTTAAGGTGAATTGATACACTTACAAAAATAGTCTATAAATTTGTTTATTAATTTATTTATGCATTTTTTCTGCAGCCTGTTCCGGAGACAGAAACCATTCATCGCGTTGCTAGCAATAATACTAAAGATTACAACAGCAAATTGTATTGCCCGCATGATTTGTCGCATAACGAAGAGTTCCGCGATGATTTGCCAACACTACTAAATTTCACAAAAACGCCTACACAACCATTACCAATAAAAATCAACGTAAAGCTGGCTAAACCTGTTTTGAAAATTTACGAAACGCCCGAGCCATCAGACGAGGTAAAATTTCGTGGAATTTATAAAAGTTGAATTAGTAAAATATTAAAATTTATAAAATTTGTATTGATTTCAGGATGAGGATCAGCGTAAGCAAAAGCAATTACAGAACGGCATAAAATTTGTCAGTCCATATCAACGCTATCGCGCTATGTTGCCTCTGATAGAGAAACAAAAGGCTGAGGAAGCTGCACACATTGAGGCTGAGAATAAGAAACGTCAGTTGTGTCCTGCGGCAAATTCAGTGCCTGCCAAAGCAGAGGTAAGTAATTACGTATATATTTCATATATGCAAGTAATTAAAATTTGTATTTGTATCACCTGCAGGTCGAAATTAAGAATGAGCCCGCTGAAGAAGACGAATACAGTATGCCAATTAAGGAAATACTCAAACGCACACATGAAGAGGCAATAGCGAAGAAACTTAAAGCAAAGAGAGCTGAGGAGCCCAGCGCCAAACGTTTTAAGACGGAAACACCGATTGATGATAAACTTAAGTTTGTTAATCTACCACCGACCAAAAAAGAGTTACGAGAAGCTAAGAAATCCGCACCGGCAAGCAGGCCACTTCAACAACCCGTCGTCAATACCACCACTGTTGTCGATAAATCGAATAGTTCCGCGCATACCATTAGTGATGATTCAGACAGCGGTCCGGAAGAGTTGCCCAGCACGTCATATGCATCACCGTCGATGCAGACAAATTCAGTCAATCGACAGCAGCAGCAACGTCAAAGCGGCAAAAAGAAGTTCAAAAATAAAAACATGAAGAATAGAAATAATCCCAATCAATCTTCAAATAAGCCAATCGATGTTAAAAATTTCGACTATAAAAATGTTGACTTTAAAAAATTCCAAGGTGGTGCACAACGCGCAAAGGGCATGGAGTTGAAACCACAATTTCATGGCAAGGTATGTAGCATTTTGCCTTGTGCATACATATATGTATATGTAAATCTATACACAAATTTCTTATTCACGTTATTCATCAAACTATTCTCCCTTGCAGGGCAACTCCAATAAGAATAATAACAAAAAATTCAACAAATTATTCACATTCAGCAATGTTAAAGGTAAAAAGTAGGAAATTTTTCTACTTTATTAGGACTGCCAAACCATGCTAAATTTAAACCACAACATTGAAGTTTTGGGCGTAACATTGTACATCATAAACAAATCCAAATTTTTATGTTATATGAACGTGTATTTATTACATCAATTTTATAAAACTAACCTAGCGCACAGTGCGAAAATACTTTGCATTAAAATATATTACATCTCCTTATGTATATTTTGTATATTTATGTAAAATGTACAGTGCTATGCTACTTGATACTACATACATAAGTAATAAATTAGGTTTTGAATAAACATTTAAATACATACATACATATATAGCGTGTTTAAAATTTTTATTAACTAAAAAAAATATCGTTTTTAAATTCACAATAGTTACAGTTACAGCTGCTTGAACATTTTATCACCCTCTCTGTCCATACAGTATTCCACAACGGCATAAACAACAAGTAATCTACGTTCCACCCCCCGTTTATGTTTATCTGTTATGAGCGGAAAAAGCGCATCGTGTTTGGAAAGGCGATCAATAAGCTCGGTCAGTACGCCGCCGGAAAAGACTTGCAGGCGATCCCATGTAGTTTTTCTTATTCTTAAAAAGAGAATTAAACGATTTTGTAAGTTGATATTTACAGTTAGTTGGCATGCAATTACTCACAAACAGCATTGATATAATGGCGCCAATATGTCTAAATGATCTTTGTTTGGATTACCAAAAGCTTTACCATTATCTATTAGCACTAAACGCTCCTCACGCGTTTCATAGTGATGACGATCACCATTCTGTATCAGATAATCGAATATTGCAGCATCGATGAGATCCAATAAACGTATTGTTTCCATCTTATCTTTCAGCGATCTAAAAAATTTGTAATTCAAATTATAAAAAAAAAACCTTCATACATATATGTAAGCATTTAAATTCATGCATGACATTCACACACTTGCAATAGTTCATATCATCCTCCCACGGCGCACGCTTATCCTCTTTATATGTACGTTGCCATGGTGAACGTCGCTTAGCCAATGAACCCGGTATGATGTATATGAGTACACCTTCAATATTATTATGTTCATCACCACATACAGTCTCCTCCTCGTTGCAGTAATGGCACTTACCAAACAGACAGTACTGTTCGGTGCCATTCTCACCTTCGGTGATTGTCATTGAATTTTTCAGCTCGTTATCACCCTTATCATAGATGTCCGTCTTTAAATTCACAATACGCCCCACTACGACGGGCGTCCATCTGAAATCGAGTACAGCGCCCAAGTAGAAGGCATAAACTTCGGCAGCGTGACGATCTTTGCCCGCATACACGGCACCTTCAATGATTGCATCGCGCTCATACCATTGTGGCTTGAAAATCACCTTCTGTTTATTCGCTAAACGCAACAGTAGTTTTAATTGCGTGCCACGCGCTAAATTTGAGACTTTCGTAATGGGTTCCAGACGCAACGTCTGCAAAAGTTGTGCCATAGATGTGTCGTATTGAGGATAGATTTCATTTTCTTGTGGCCACTAAAAAATGATGAAATTAATTATTTTGAAAATTATTTAGCTAAATGCAAATTTAGCCATGCAATATTTACCCAATTGGCGATATCCCACAGGACGGAGGCATTCTCATATGGCGCAGGTTTATAATTTTTCAATAATTTATTCCGATACATGAAGAGTCGCGGATTGCGATTCAAATACATGGGATGTAGTTCGCGTATTTTTTGACGTATCATATTTTCCAGCGCGCGTGTGCTGCTCACATGTGGCAGCTCTTCGACGTTTAGATAGTACATAAAGTAAAAATTTGCGCCAACGACTAAACACAGGCAACTAACTAGTGCAACAACAATGCCGATAGTGCGTTTATTTGCAGCCATTATAATTTAATTAAATTTCTTTTTACAAATGCTAGCGAATAAATGGTTTATAACTGCAAAAGAACGAAAAAAAAAAATAATTAAATTCATATTTCTCTCTTAGGAAATTTTCAAAAACGGAAATATTGCTCATACGCAATGTCGATCATTTTGTTTTGATCATCATCACGTTGCGACACTCACCTCTCAATCAACCGCGAATTCGCGCTCTCTTATTGCACATATATGTATGTAATCTCGTGATTCGCAACAGAGCGCCAGCGTAGAAACAATAGAGTCGCCGACAAACAAATTAAAATTTTACCAACAAATCGTAAATGACAACATAACGTGTTTTTTTTTTGCTGTCGTATGTGTCTGCTTGCGCTTCACTACGATACGTATACGTTATAATTGTTGTTGATGTTGTCTTTGCGCGCCAACGTCATCAAATAGAACAAGCCATCCAAACTGAAATTTGCCGGCAGCTGATGCTGATCGCGCTGTTGCAACTTATCACTTTATGTCGTTGACAAACTCGTTAAAATAAGGCAAATAGAATTGACCAAATCAAAATGAAAACAAACAACTTTTTGGCCCTTAAATTTGCTTTCCGCTTTTACATGCTTTTTTGCCAGTGTGTGAAGCTGAAGTGTTAAGCGTTTCATATAATTTATTTTTAATTCAAATTTTCACTTGGCGCTGCGCCTATATCTAGTGCATTCTTTATATTGTTCATACATATGTACATATACACATATGAATTTTTAATAATTTTATATTGTAGAGATGTTTGCGTTGGCAGATACACGCGGCATTTGTATAGCTAACGAGTAGTTTTGTATTGTTCTTTGTTAATTCTCGAAACAAAATAAAAAAAGTAAAAAAAAATCCGTATAATGCGTTTTTAATGTTTCTATATACGTTCATTTATTTTGCCTTTATGGTATTAATACCAAGAAATTGCGATTTTTTCACTTATTTTATGCTAAAATTTGGTTTTCTTTTGTATTATATAATTTTTCTTTATTTTCGAAATTATACTCGTACATATGTAATTTTTTTTTATTAGCACACGCACTTCCTCTTGATATGTTGAATCATTTTAACGAATTGTTATATACATTCAGCATTGTGGAATGTCTATAGTGTGAATAAAAACATTATATAATCGTCGGTTTAATTTTTTCTAATACACATTTGTTACATGAAAGACGCACAAGATTTGCTTTGGTTGATAAGCGAACACAGGCTATTATTAGCTATACACATACATTTCTTCTGCAAATCTCTTATCCATTCAAAATATCAATTCCAATATTTATCGAGCGTAGCATGTTTACGCAAGTCAGAATATCAATACATGCGCGCACTTTGTATGCATCTATATGATTTTCTTCCTTAAATTTAAACAAATTATATGTTTTGCGTACCGCCCAGTACGTCTAAATGCGTTAACGCGTGGCACACTTCTGTACTTAGGTGTGCTTGCTACCCTGTTCGCCACATATGTATCTTCTATTGTATGAACAGTTGTTGGTGGTGAACGTATTCCTTTCGGCCCTGTCTGCCATTGTCTGCGTCGACGTTTTCGTTTTGTTTTGATTTTGAAATAACTCATTAATTATGGCACTTGACTTCAATTAAATTAAATTCTATTGTAAAGAAATTTGCCGAGTGTTCACTTGGTTGCTGGCAAGACAAAACATTAATGCGTATGCAGCAGCTGTTGCAGCGTACATTTGACTAATGCAATGACAATTTGTAATTGGCAAACACACATGCAAAAAAAAAACACTGCCGGGGAAGTTGGCGTCGCTCATGGCTAATGTATATATGCATTGCCGTTTTGACCGCCGGCTGCCTTGAAACGTGTCATCCGCAACTCATGCACACCATATGCTTTCATATATATGTATATGATTATTCTGCAAAAAGAAAACATAAACACATATTAATTGAATAATTTGTTTTTTGTTTGTTTATGTTACACATTTCATTACGTCTATAACACCTGCGTTATTGCTATTTCTGGTGCTTGGTTTGTATTAGGCACAGCGGCGATGACGTTATACTGCATTCGAGTCTACAAATGAAGCACCGAGCAAATGGTAGAGACTTGTATGCGCCAAAATTATTTTCTGCTTATGAAATACGCTCGCGCTCACTCACTAAAACGCGTATTTTTATGCCTTGTAATCTATATATATATATATATAAGTACGCTGATAAAACAGTTTGTTTACGAATATCTGTTGCAATTTTTTTATTTTGATTCAAAACGTGCCAATTTCTCGAAAAAAATGTAAACTATTTACAGCTGATCAGCTGTTGTTTGTTTTGATTGTAAGTTTGTTGTGCTGCCACATGAAAAAATGTTATGTTATGGTGCGTGTTGCGAAGTGTGTTTCATTAGCGAAAGAATGTTCGTTCGGCTTGAATTTATTAAGTGAAAAGCAAAATTTCTTTACATTGGTAACATAAAAGACAGACAAACGATTTCCCACTGGGTATTCGTGTCAACTGCTTATGTTCCGCTTCCTTTAGTTAATTTCCCGCAGTTAATATCCAGTTTGAATTTGCAAAAAGTCAATGCGATATTAGTTTCGGTGCGTAAATTTGTCTTCTATATTATTCAATTAAAGTAATTTGTGTGGTAAACTGTGTGCATATATAAACAAAGCAATGCGCATAATTACAAGAGGTGAAATAAAATTTTGTATCCAGTTTTTGTGATTTGACGCTTGAAGTTTGGATTTTCTTTTGCCCGAATGACAACTTGATTAGTAAAAATCTTTACATTTTGGAGGCAAATAAAAATGCTGCCATATTTACAGCTGTCTCTGCAACAAACAAACAAACATACGTATGTATGTATACACTTATATTTATAAAGATTGTGGAAAAGAATGCTTTAATAATTTATTAATTATTTTATAGTAATTTTAAAATTGATAACAGCTACACAATTTGTTATCGGGAATCGAACCATTGATCGAAAAATTGTAATTACTCCGATTTATTTGAAATTTGGTGCATATGAAGCTTCGTGCCTAGACTAACATGACATCCGTTTACTTCCGTTAAGTTGACCTGGAACCGATCTATTCAAAAAAATCAAATTCATGCTTCACGGTACATACATACATATGTACATATATACATATGTTCGCGGTGTTATACGTATTATGGCTATGTAGGAGTTAACGATATATGTAAATAATAAACAGCGCTATGCTGGGAACAATGGATGGTACATACATACGTTGACTTAGACTGTGCGCAATTTGGCAAATGTTCTTATCACAATTGCTGTGATCGTTGAGAAATGTCAGTAAAAACTAGCAAGTAACGAAAGTGAGTAAATAAGAAGAAATTTATTGAGTTTTGACCGAACAAGATTCAGTAAAAATTAGTCAGCATGACGGATATTAGCTGTTTATTTATTAGTTATACTTTTAAGTTTTTTTTAAGTATTTTAATATTTAAAATAAGTAAATTAGCGTTATTATAAAGCTAAAAAGCTTAATTTTCAATTCTTTTTAGCAGCAATTGAGATATATGTCTATGCTCAAGGCGTCAATCGTCTCGTGCTTATCTACGTAGCCAAGCAACTTCACAAAACCCCATTAAATATAGTCCAGCGGTGTTAAGTCGCCCGATCTTAGAGGACACGCCTCAGAACCACGACTTGGGCTAAGTCGCTCGCCAAAAAGTTTCCTTAAATAAATTGATTGCTTTGTTGGCTGTATGGCATATAGTCCCTATAGCGGGTCTTTTAGAAACCGAAGCTTGTCCACATCAACATTCTCCAATTCTGTCTCGAAAAAGTCATTAATCGTGGCTCTCTCTATCAATGTTATCAATGATTCTCTGAAGATGTAATGACGTCTTAACAATGGCTTGTTGATTACTACCACTCCCAACTGAGACAATTTTGTTGTTTAACGTAAACATGCAAGCAAAAGTGAGCTTCGTCGTTGAACAAAATTTTCTTGTGGAAGTCGAGTTCGGTTGCCAACTCCTTTTGGGTGTTTGAAGGTCCGTCCGGCTGCAACACTTGCAGAAGCGACGTCTCTGAGAATGCGCCTCATTCACCAGACTAAACGTTTGCAAGACCAGTTTCGAAAAAAAGTATTGCCTGACAATAACAACTTAAATAAATTAATAATAAATATAAAAAATAATTTATTTTCATTTGTGAACTTGGTTTTCACACCAGTACTTCATAAGCCTGATTTATTTCAATAACGTAGACTGTCGTGGAAAGCCACCAAAAATATCTACTACCAGCATGTATACGATTATCTACATATATATATATATTTGTATCGCATTTAACATGTGTTTCGTTCATAACAGCTTGTACTTTAGCAGACAGAATAATAAAATAAAAAAATAGCACTCAGTTACACTCAGTAGATATACATATGTATGTATGTATGTATGTATATGTGAATGCGTATAAAAATCCTCACCTATTTGGTGCACTTAAAGAGATAAATTCCTCTACACACATATTTGTTAGTCATTGAAAATCATTATCCGTGCACAAATCACAGACCATACGAGGGATTAATAAAAGTTCGGTTAGTTGACCATAAAAAAAACAGAAAATTCTTTTTGTATTTATTCGTAATCTTCGTCCTTTCTTCTCTTCTGTACATAATCGCCATTGATTTCAATGCATTTCTGAAGCCTCTAGATCCACTTCTGAAAACAGTCTTCAAAATTATGCCTTTTAAGTTTATCAAATTCAGCATTAACCGCATTAATTACCTCCTCGTTGCTATTAAAGACCTTTCCTTTCCTTTTATTTCTTATTTTTTATTTAATTTTTATAAATATCCGAGGAATATGGTGCTGTGCGTATTTTTTCGATACCAGAAATCGCTATAAAATTACTCGTTATTTAAGCAATGTGAGAAATCGCGTTGTCATGATGTCAAAAGTAGCGCCACAAATCCTCTTTCTTCCTGTTTTCCAACAAATTTTTGAAAACTTTTGATAAGCACTCTTCGGTGTAACATTTTGCAGTCACCGTCCGAACGTTTTCCAGTGGAATAGCAGCTATGATTTTAGTTCGGGCGAAGTAAACTGACATCATTACTTTTGCTGCTGATTTCTGTTGCTTAGATTTTACGGGAGCAAACCCCTGTTGGGCTCCATACCATCGACTGCTGTTTCGTTTCTGAATCGTACTTATAGAACCAGAATTCATCACCAGTAACGTTTTTGCTTTATTTGCTAGATTAACCATTCTCGAATTTGTTTAGGAAAAATTGAGCAAAATGCACTTGAGCCTCTTTTTGAGCCTCATTTAAAATTCGTGTTACCCATCAAGCAGATTTCTACGTTTATCCCAGCTGATTACTTAATATTCGTGGAAGAGCAATGGTATTCAAGCCCAATTCATTAGCAATCATTTCTTGTATCAATCTCAGCTCTCCATCAATTGTGGACTTCATCAGAGCTACAGTGACGTCATCAGTGTAAGATTTTGGTTGACCTTCTAGTTAATCGTCCACTACGGAAAACTGTCCGGTCTGGAAACCACTTAGGAATAGTATTTAAATACGCTGCAATCGTTTCATATGCAATTTGGCATTCATTGAATATTTGTATTGGCTGTCAATTGTGCCGAAACCCGAAGAGAATCACATGGCGAATTTCTGTTTCCTCAGCTATCTTTGCGGTTTCTCGGTTACATTTCAGCCGATGGTCCTAAAATTTGATTGGAAGACTAATAAAGTAATTGCAAAGGATTTGGTATTTTTAGATTTACCAAAAAAACAAATTAAAAGTTCGAACTTTTGTTACACCCCTCCGAACTCCTGTGTATACATATTTGTTACTCATTGAAAACCATTATTCGTGTACAAATCGTAGACCATATATGTACTTAAATACATACATTTGTACATATATATATTATATATATATTTGTAAGTACATATGTGCCTATGTCGGCGGTTCTCGTGCTTGCAGCTAATAATTTTTTGATTAGATTTTTAAAGTACATTTCTCGCAATAATAATGCTCGCACTTGTGTCCATTAACACGCGCCTACAATCTTCATACATATGTGCACGGTGTGTCCTAAAAATAACCGAACTTTATATTTAAATCGTACAACATACAGCGCCATCTATTGAAAACTTGCAACATTAAAAAGATACATTTGTCCTCTTTCAAACGCACCCAACATCATGTAAGTCGGATGACAGATGTAAAAGTGACAGCCATTTAAAGAAAAACCAAAAGTGTGCTAATGGTTCAAAAATAAAATGGAACAAAGAGCAAATATAAAATTTTGTGTCAAACTTGAAAAAAAAAATATTGAAATAAGTTTATTGTGATGATTGTATGAGTCGTACGCAAGTTTATGCGTGGCTTACACGATTAAAAAATGGTCGTGAGGATTTAAATCACGACCCTAGAGCAGGACGTCCAGAAATTAGTAATCGTGCTGAACTGGTGAAAAAAGTCCGTGAAATCATTGGTATCGATGCAAATTTTACTACGAGAATGTTGGCTGAGGAATTGACTACGAGTAAAAAGCACTATTTGGAGAATTTTAACTGAAGATTTGGGGAAAAGAAAGGTCTGTGCGCGATTTGTTCCACATGAATTAAATGACGACCAAAAAATCGGTCGAATTTTTAATGAAAAAAGGAATTTCTCTCATCGACCATCCTCCTTCCAAAACAGAAAACCAAGATGAAGGGAGCATTTTATGATGATATCCCAGCCATTCAAGCAGCCGTAACCGAGGTGCTGAAGAATATTTCTATAAATGACATACAAAAATCCATGCATGCGCTGGTTGATCGTTCCAAACGTTGTGTTGAGTCAAATGGAACCTATTTTGAATAAATAATAACTTTCAAGGATAATATAATGTGTATTTTATTTTATATCCAAAAAGTTCGGTTATTTTTGGGACACACCGTGTATGAATTACATGTATGTATGTATGTATAAAGTAAAATAGAAGGAGCTAAACATACGTATATTTCGTTCGAAAATTGGTGACGATTTTCGGCCGAGCTCCTACTACAAATTTTTAGCGCGCGCCCTGACGGTTTTCCAACAAACCGACGGTCCTTCAGTTTAGTTAAAGCCGCTTTTGAAAAGCCGTAGCATTATTATGTGGAGTTTTTTAATTAATGTTAGAAATACAATCGGAGAGATTGACATTCTCAGCTATGTTGCTATGGTCAGGGTTCAAACCCATTATCCTCCGCATAGTAGCACGCATTGCTAACCACTCGGCTACTGTGAGGTGATTTACAAAATAA